TCCTTGCTGCTTTATAATTGTTAATTGAATAAAAATTATAATTTAAATAAATATAATTTAAGGATGATTATTTATTATCTTACTCTTAGGCCTTTTTAATAATGTATTCACTTTACTGACAATTTAATTCTATATTTATTTAAAGGAATAAAAGCGAATACTAAAAAAATTATAAACTTATTTCTTGATTAAATATTTTAGATCGAGAAAAATTATGTTCTCTTTCTTTTCTTGATATTCTTCAAATGTACTATATATTACATATACTATAATAAGGGAAAATATGCTAAATCATACTTCTTAAAGTAAATATTAAAATTGTAATAAAGCTATGAAAAAAATGACAATTTTTATTAATTTAAAACTGTAGTTCTTTTTTAATGATGTACACTAAACATTAACACAAATTTCACATCGTTTTATACCGTAAATTAAAAATTAAGAAAGTAGTATTTGGTACGATTTACAATACTGGTTTGTACCCATAATTTTTTAAAATTTTTCTCTTTACTTCTATAACAATAAAATTAAAATATTGTAACAAAAATAAAGTTTTATTTCCTACAAAAATTCTCAGTCTACAACAAAATATATTTATAAGAATATTATACGTATAATCATAAATTTTTTTTAAAAATTTTACAAAACTACTTTTTGTGTATCACACACAAAAGTATAAATTAAGTATTATTTACATTACTATAAGTATTTATAAAATTTGATATTTTCTTTAGTTGTCCTTATAAATAAAAAAATCTATAGTAGTAAAAAATACTAAATAAAAAAATTAATTTAGTAAATCGTACCAGTACGATACAGGAAAAAGTTAATGGTATGTTTTATCGAACTTTCATTGTTTTGTCAATTTTATCAATAAAAACTTAATTTTAAAATATTTTGCCGACTTTCCAACGCTTCCATATACAGGATTAAATAAGATGAAAAAATGCTTTAACAAAATAAGTTTAATCGCTTGTCTTTCTTAATGTGATAGCTTAAACAGAATGCTAAATATTACATTAAAATCACACAAAATAAATTTCTGAACGTCAACAAATCGCTTAAGAAGAAAACAAATATTATGGCATTCGAGTGAGGTCTAGTTGCGATACAACAGCATTAACACCCTAAAATATTTTAACTTTGTTTAAAAAAATACAGTAGATGTACGATTTAGCATACTTTCTCCTATTTATAAGTATCAAAATACAATTTGTATATTTTATAATAAAGCGAAAAAATAATATATATGAATGCATTATTCTAACGTCATCTCAGAACAGCACTTACATATTTGTGTGTTTAATTAGAAAAAAATATATTTTATTTAATGTGTTTTGTTTTGACTGACAAGTAATATAATATAAAAAGATATACACATATAAAAGAGCAAGAAAGTGAAGGAAAGGAGAAAAGCGTGGAATAACAAATATTCTATTTCGAGCCCGAGAATAATATGAGCGATATATCATTATCATTTAATTTTTGCATTCTCATCACGCAATCATTAACACAGGGGATTGATGACTTTTCCTTATTTGCCGCGGGGTGTGAAATTTAAATATTCTTATGCCTATGATCGATGAATGCAAAATACCCGATATCTGATCATTATTTTTATCAGCTCGCAAGCATTTCGAAATTGGTATCCCCCTTCTTTTTTACCTTTCCCTCTTTTGCTGCGAACACAAGCTGGGTTTTTATTATTTTAATGAACATTTCTGAGAATGTGCGTGTGTGCAGGCACGGTTTCTCAGACAAATAATATCCGCCTTCTGATTATTATTTTCATCCCTATCGGTTGAGAATTGTGGAAGCAAGCCGCCGTTCGTTAAAAAAAAATTTGGTCTTAAAATGGTCGGATATCGAAGTTATGAGAAATAACATTTCTGAGCAATAAGCAGGATAGTCTCTCAACAGAAATTATCCTTAAACAATTTATTTTATAATAAAATTGTATATATAATGATATTATACAAATAAAGCGATAATAATAATGAATAGATGTACATATAAGATATAATTCTTTTTGATCGATTATTCGAATAAGAGAAATTATTCTGTACATTCATTACATTAATGTTTGTTACATTGGAACAGATAAATATATATATTGTTTTTAAGATAAATAAGTGTGTTAGCATTTTTGTATAAATATATATTAATTTTTTAAATTATTTATTCAAAAAGCAGAAGAAAATAATATTTGGATATGTATTATGATATCTTATTTTATTATTTATTATTTTATTTTATTAAAATAAAATTAGCGGAAATACATATATGTTATATTAATATATTTTAATAAAATTTAAATGCGCGACATATTAATTAAAGTGTAATATTGATTACATGCATCAGAGAATGGTGATATAAAAATAAGAGTAAAAAGAATACATCAGAATTAGAAACCAAATATATGTATAATTAAAATATTAAAAAAAATATATATAGTCACCTATTAGCAATAGCAAATATATAAATTGTAAAATGTATACACTCTTTTCACATATTACCTTCTCAATTATGACAAAATTATTTAGATTCAAAATAAAATTTTAAATTAAAAGCAATTTTTTATTTATTAAATATGTAGTATATAAATAATTTCTACAATAATATTATTTACATTAATACATTTATTAAACAATTAAAACTTGCTTAGAAATACTAATATCTACTTAAGTACAAAGTAATTAAATAAAACAGATAAACATATTTTACCTAAACTTAAATATTATATTTCTATTCAAATTTAACGAGAACAGAATAAATAATACTGAGTAATTTGCATTGTTCGAATTATTTTTATTTATCAAACGGATGTACATTGTTATATCCTCGAAAATTGTTAACATTATACGCGAAAAATTTTTAGTTATATAAAATAAATCGCAGGCTTTTTATTTGTTACATGATACTTTTGCCTTATTTTTAAATTCACCAAATTTTATACGTTGAAGGGATGAATGTTAACGTAGTTATTGGTAAATAGTATTAGTGTGCAAGGTAGCTGTTTCAGAGGGAACAAAATATGATTATTAATGAGTATATTGTTGGTAAAAGATCAATATTGCATCTTCAAAAATATTCATTATTTGTAGTTGGTTATACAATCTTTACTTTAAAATATTTTGTATGTTATTTGTAATGAATTATGCAATAAGAAATATATGAGTGCATATACGCATATATATATATATATGCATAAAATATGGAAAAAGTTAGCAAGTATATTGTGTTGCACAAGAGAGGTCATAGACAATATACATATATATGTATATAGTTAATTATTATATTTATAAATATAGTATATACACAGTTTTATGTTCATAAATATATTGTTTCCCAAAAATAATAAAATTTTTTTCAAATATTGTATTTTTTATTTAAGTTAGATATAAAAATAAATTTTATGTCTTGCATATAAATGCGTACTTTAATTACAACATTATAATTTTTAATTACATAAGGCACTTTTAAATATTTGTAAAAGGAACAATGATATTTAAAAGATAAAATTTTGACAATTTATAAATATTTTGAAAAATTAAATTGATTTTATAATCAGATATAAGGCTATAATATTAATATATTTATTAATAATTAATATTCATTATATTTAATATTAATTAATATTAATTATATGTAATTATAAATTTTAAAAATAAAGAATATATTTATATGTTATTATTTTTGTTTTTTAAATATTGATTTTTATTTTAATATTAAATTTCTTATTGTAATTTTTATATAATTTTAAAAATTATTATAACCCATGATATATTAAATATTATTATATTAATTTTATTATAATACATTTTAAAAATGTAAGAAAAATATAGTTTATTAAACATATTTTACGATAATTATTTTATTTACCATATAACTATTTCTATTGATTTCAATCCTTAAACTATATAGTTGCTTCCTCTATGTATTAGACTCGAAAACAGTGAAGCATTACATTTACCACCAGCCGACAGTCAAATAGCGTTAACTCAGTTTTTAATATGTACTAACGTAAGTATAGTTTTGAAAGTTTGAAGGAAAAGTTTACATTATTATAAAAAATAATAGTAAATTGTGCAATTCTATCTGCTTAAATAAATTATATATATAATAAAATATATTAGTAAACAAACGTATATTATACTTTATATTATTTTATAACACACTACGTTATTATAATAAAATGATAAATGTATATCAATTATCCAAATTTTTTGTCGGATTAAGAAATCTATACATATTTATGACTATGTATATTTATTTATGTGTTAGAAATATAGATTTTGACTTTACTGACTCAACAAAAACTTTATTATTTCTAGTCGGTACATAATAGACGTTTTATGTATGTTACGTTTAATGTATATATTATGTATATTAATGTATATTTTAAATAATATTAAATTAATATATAATAAAATATTTTTATTAATAATAAAAAAATTTTTAAACGCAATTATTGAAATGTTATTTTTGTTAAATAATACAAAAATTTATGCATAATAATTCAATTATATTATCGATTCTAAATGCTACTATAAATGTGTATGTAATATAATAAAAGAAACTACTTGAAATATTATTCTCACATTTATTTACATTATTTCATACATTATATATGTTAATTTTCGTCTCTCTCGAAGAGCATATCGACAACAGGAATAAAGTTACCATCGTTGACAGCATTCCTTATCAACCATCTGATTCCTCAGTTGGCAACCAGAAAGCGCGGCCAGCGCGATTCTATTAGAGTCCCTAGAATATATCACTAGGGATACTAGGCTCTTTCTGTCTCACTTCCTCTCTCTCTTCCCTCTTTTTTCTGCTCTACCACCACCTACGTTCAAGTTGAATTCAACATTGACCGCCGAGAGACAAGCGAGCATCGCGCAGTGCAAAAGGCGCGCACGTATCGCCGCGTTATGAAAAAAATGAATTGGCCAGTCCTCTTCTCGTGTGTCGTGTGCGAATAATCGCGTATAATGCGAACATTACGTTCATGGGGTGTCGGGGTGTCGCATTAGCATGAGCATTTCTCAAGACAGCGCCGCTACGATCGTGTGCAGGGAGGTTTTCGACGAGACGTCCCATCCGACGAATGAAGGTACGTCAGATCTGTCAGAATTGCAGAATATTCGTATGTTCCCTGCTTTCGGCCTCCCGATGACTTGATCGTCGTGTCCGGGTGCTAATCTAGGTCGAGGTGAACTCACCTTGTTTAGCGAAGCGACGTTTACCCTAGGAACGGAACGTTCATTGTTGAACTGATCGATGTCTCGTCCTTTCTTCCCAGCAAAGTCTTGTGTCCTTCGAATGTGGTAATTTTACGTGGATTTTATCGAGTATGAATATTTTCTATCCATCTTTTTTATTGAAATATATATATTGCTCTTGACTAAAAAATTTGATCTGATTTATTGGCAAATTAATTGTGCAAGAGGTTTAGAGAGGCTTGATTAATCGGAAATGTCAGGATGAGAAAAAGGGTGAAAATCCAAAATTGTGCAAGAGAGTTAATTAGCATTTTGATTTAAATTAAACAATAAAGCTTTTTTTACTACAGAAGGCAAAACACATTTAGAATATGATCATTTTGTCCTGGAGCATAAAGTACACATATTTGCTCCGATTTTATTTCAACATATTTTGACATCTCAACTTTGCAAGCACAAAAAATCTATTCTATGCATACATGTATATTGATGTAAAAACATTCTGTTTTGTTATCTCAAAAAAATAATTTGAAAGGTTACATATATATCTTAGTTCCGATTTTTGTTCTTTATTTCGTCATAAAAATGAAATTAGAAAATTTTGAATTAATTTTTTTCTAAATGTATTGTCTTATTATATATTCATACAATGACACACATTATATCGGTCAATGCAAATTTTCAGAATGACCCTACGAACGGCAAGAAAAAGTTCATAGTCGCGTAAAAACAAAGTAAACACACACGTCGCGTCTTACAGAAACTCACTCTTGCTCCTCAAAATCAGCCTGAAAAGAAGTAGGAGCATAAAAAAGAGATCCGGCGAAGCAAGAGTTTCCTTGTTTATTTACATCGCATCAGGCGGGAATACCGAGCCCGTTCCCCAGCCGTGCGCGCTCAGGAAAATCAATAATTCGCAGTGCGGCGAAAGTTTTGTCGTGTCACTTGGACTATGTGTTCTCCCTGGTGTCGCACTCCGGAGTCAAATAAACTCATTTTGGGGTCACGATGGTCGAAATTTTTCAGACCGCTTACGGAATTTATTAGAACGGTGTGCGATTTTTCTTGACTTCCTTGCCAAAGTGGCTGAAAAATCCGGGCTGGATCGGCGAGATAAAAAAAAGGAGGCACCAACACTTTAACCGGCGATGCGAGGCCAGATGGTGGCTCTCCGGTCTCTTATCCCCATACGGCAGCCATCACATCACACCTGTCCATCCGTCAGGGTTGATGGAATTTTTTATCGGGGTCCTTTACATTTGTGGGGGCGCTCTTTCCCAAAAGCCTTGCAGTAAGCAGAGATCTTGCATTTATGATATTCCACGGTCTCCCGGCGTTTGAATCAAAGTCACTACCCTCTTTTGGAGCTTCTGACCTTAATCTTAATTGAGAATATTTGAAAAATATTTTGAATTGGATAACACTCTAGAGGCTATTGATATTTAATAGATGATTTACATTATGAAAAGAGTTGAATGTGTGTCATTCTTGCGCGCAAAAATGGAAAATTTTGTGGAATATTTATGTTTTCCAATTCTTATCTTGTTTTCGATGTTCTAAAATGCTAATTAATTTTGTCGGTTGTATGTCAGTATTATATTATACATTTTTTTTACATTTTTTAAATATAATCAACGAAAGATAAAAATAAAGCAATTATTTTTTTATTATTAAATATATTTTGTATAATTACTCTCTTTTGTATACATGTATATATTTATTGTATACAATTTATTGTATATATTTGTAGAGAGTATAAGAATATATACATCTAAACACATACATATACAATGTATATAATACCTATTTATTTTTATATAAAATCAGATTTTGTGATTTTTAACTAAATTATGAAAATTAATATAATAGGTATACTATAACAAAAAATGTGTTTTAATTTAATCTGTTTATTATTTAAATATTACTATAAATTGAATATTATTTTACCATAAATATAATTTTTTACGTTAAATGTAATACAAAATTATTACAAAAATATGATATAAAATTATCAGAAATATTCTTTTTACATTTTTATTTATGACATATTTGAGAAATTAATCTATCGCAGATGAAAAAATGTATATGCACGTAGCAAGCATGTTAGTAATACCGTGTTTATATCTGTGAATTAATTAAAAAGAATAACATTTATAAAAGATTAATTAAATGTTTATATTTTGTTTTATATTTTTATACCTTTATATGATTTTACTAAGTTAAAAGTAAACACCATTAATTAATATAAATAGATATGTAAATCAATCATTAAATTTAATTATCAAAAAGTATTTATTCCATTTTATAAAAAATTTTTATAAAAAAATTAATATTATTATATCAATAATTTCATTTTAATAACAAACATGTGATTGAATTAAATAGACGTAAGCTTATTTTGTTGTCACAGCATTTGCTATGAAAAAAGCAAAAAAGACTTCGTGTTTTAATACTTTTAACCTGTGATCAATGAATTGTATAATTTATATGAGCTAGATATAATAAAGAAGCAAGGCTAATTACTTTCTAGTCATTTAAGTTTACAAGGGTGTTATTAATAAATTTGCTACGTGTTGTGGATAATACTAAATTTTATAAATAAATTAATAAACATTATATTGAACTTATTGAAAACTTTTTATCTCATTCTTGTCCAATAAAGTGCTTGGAATTATTCCATTGAAATTGTTATAAAATATGCACAGATTTTATTTTATAAAATAATTATATATTTTTTTATTTATTCTTTAAAAGTGTTTTGCGTTATAAAAATAGATAAAGTTGTATTAGTGTATCTTTATTATATAGAAGATTTATGCATTTTTGTGCATTGTTTATTAATACAGAAATTACTTTCTACGAAGGACAAAAGAGTAGCGCATGAATAATTAAATAAATCTTTCTTTGGAACTCATTAAATAATATCGCAGAAATATCGATTGTTCAATCGACGACAAGACTTGGCGTTGTATACTTGATTAGCGATGTACTAATTGATTAATCAGCAACACGAATTCCAGAGCTGCTGGATTATGCAAAACGTCTGGGAATTAATCCCGATGCGGAGCCGCATCTTCTGGACTTGGCCCGCGAGGGTCTCATGGCGGCCCTACCCAAAGGTTGGTCCCCATGCTTTCACGAGGCCAGCGGTGCCTGGTATTATTACGAGGCCTCCACGAACACCACTACCTGGGAACACCCTCTCGATGCAGTTTACAGAGGACTTGTGGAGCAGGCTAGATCCGGCAATAAGAGACAAATGAGTTTTGGTACGCGTCTCAATACTTCATATTTGTTTTACAATTATCTTATTTGAGTAGGATCACACGGCTATATATTTATTTTTTTTAATTGTGACATTATAATGTATGAATGGGGTAGCATGATACTAGAAATATATAAAGGAGTGCTTTCATATTATTTATTTTTGAAATATAATTCTAATGACATTTTAATATATTTTAATTTTTAAATAGTATGTATAATAAATATAACATTTTTTAAAATTTTGCTTTTTTTTTATACATATTTCTTTTATTTAGATGAATTTTTGTTGTTCTTATTTTTTTAGTCTATAAAAAGTGTTTTATTTTAATGGGAACAGCTGTATATATTTTTTAATCTTAAGATAAAAAAATACGTTTTAGAAAAACGTATAGAAATATGTTTCAGAAGAAATATTTTAAAGAGAGAAAAAATAATAGAGCTTGAATTTTAAGATTATTTTTTAAGTTTATGCAAAGATTAATCTAATTATTTTAAATGGAACTAGCTTAATTTTTTAATATGAATTGCTTTCTCGCATTATTTGACATAAAAATATTTAATTACAAGAATTGGTCAAAAATTGAATAATTTATGAGATATTTTATACTTAAATTTATATGCTATAAATATATTTATATAGAATTACTCGTCAATTATATAAAAGATATATAAATTAAATAATTGCAAGAAATGCTTTTTATATAATAATTGGAAGAAGTGTTTATATAGAAGGTTTTTTCATTAAAAAATAAATATTTTTTTTAATCAATTTAATTATTGTTTTTTTTTTTCATCCGTTTGTTAAATCGATTCAATTTTCATACCTTGCCATTATTGCCATTAATGTGATTATATTGATATTTCCCGTGAAAACCACTTTCGTCTGATTGTGAATTATGACTATTTTAGTTTTTCCGGGAATTTAATCTAGTTCGTGTTAATCACGCATTGTACATTTGACGTCTAACTCTCGGCATTGTTAGTGCGATACCAAGTGCTTCACAGTAATCAGTAAAATGGTGCAACTTGGCAAAATGCGCCTCTGGCTTTGCGTCAAAATTACGAAAAGCGCAGCCATATTTTTAGATTCTTCCGCAAAATATCGGCCATGAATATCATGCTGCGGCCGTTAGCGAGAATTTAATGCAGTGTCTCTCAACTATATTTCCGCAAATGTTTTTCTCATCATTTAATAAATATTCAGTGCTTTTAGGTTTTTTATATAAAAAATAATTTATTTTTTATATATATTAAATTTACAAATATATAATATATATATTTCTATTATATATTTATATTATATATATATATATATATATATATATGATTATTATTATTACACAGAGAGAAAATTAGCAAAAGTTGGTGAACATATTTTACAATAAAATCTTTGTAATTGATGGCAAATAATAATTGGCAAATTTAAAGGATATAAATTATACATAAATTATATAACAAATAATAAGGCTTAATTAAAATAATATATGTCGTTTTATTTGGGACGAAAATAAATAAGTTGGAAACTTTATTAATATTGTTATTATGAATAAATAACAAACTTTTTTATTACAATCTAACACATTATATGAATTAGTACATTATAGATATAAGGTAATAAAAAAAATGTTATAAGAATATTTTTATATAAAATTTAAATTATAAAAAATTTGTTTATATTAGTAAAATATTATGTAAAATTTTAATATTATAATTACAACATTTTAAAAAAATGTGTAAACTTTCTTATTCTGATATTCTTTTGCAAAAATCAATTTTCTCTTGATGTTATTGAAAAAAATATATTTGCATGCACTTTTTTTTTAATTAAAGTATAAGCTGAGAAAAACAATAGAAATAGTTACGTTTAGGATTATTATTACTTCTGCAGGATTAATTTGTAATAATGTTACATTAATTTTTGTAGGTCACATAATTTGAAGTTCCAGTTAAAAATATATGTGCAATAGAATATACAGTTAAATTAATATCATACATAATATTAATTTACAAATTAAGAAAAAATAATAAAATTAAATGTATATAAAATATTATATACATATGTGTAAATAATATTATATATCAATACAAAAATTTAAATAGGAAATAGGCTGTGTCAGGCGCAGAATTATAAATTAGATGTTTGTCTTCTTTATTTGATTTGAACATTTTGGTTCTTCCTTTGGATCATTTTTCAGCAGATTTATTTATTAATAAAAAATGTATGCTATATTATTTATATAATTATAAATTATTATTTTGATCTTCATCTGCTCCGCCTTAAATTTTCCGTAAATCTTTAAAGCAATCAAAGACAAGAAGAACAATAGGAAATGTGTACATCATAATCTTAGCAATATATAAAACAGTAATTATATATAATATTTCACACATTAAAAGATTTAAACAGTACAAAAAGGATTATTATAATTATATTTCAGTTTTGTTCAACTGTGATAATTTTATTATAATTATGTCGTCTATATTTATTTTCTAGATCGACAGAATAGATTTGTTCATAAGCAGCCTGCCAGTATTCGTTTTAACTGGATTGGAATATATGCAATTCATAGACGTTACGTAAACGAGTAACAATTTCAAGACCTTGAAGCAATGACTTCGAATGCTTGCGGTCGCTCCTTATTTTTTGCAATAATTATAAAGATCAGTTTGTGACGCGCGTTTAACTTGTTTATGTAATTGAACGTTTCTGAGATGAAAATTATCTCTTCAATTTTAATCTAAAATTTTTAATAAAAATCAATGCTCTGCAGCAAAAAATACTAACTATCTTCTTGGCTATTATAATCTTTATTATTGAATTTTGTATGTTTACACTTGAATGTACCCGGCAACTAAAACTAAAAATATAGTTTTTAAATATTTTGAAAATATATTAATATTTTGAAAATATGTATATTTATGAAAGAGAGAATTATAGATGAGAGTTATTTTAATGTTTTATATTAAATATCTCTTCCTGCATCTTTCTTACAAAAAAGTTTTGCACAACTTGTTTAATTTTAAAAGGATTACAAAACTGCAATATTAATTTATTATTTATTTATATAGATGATGCCACTTTCGAGAATTTTACTAATCATTATTTTTTAAAGTAAAAACAGATTTTTTTAAAGTTATCTTATTGAGACAAATTTAACTATATTTATTAAGATTTTTTACTGTTCTATTTAAACAATTTTGTACATTTTGACTCATGAAAATTGTAATTTGTCTTCTTATGCAACATTTTTCTAGGTATGCGAGCATATTTTTTTTCAGTAGCTTTGAAATTATTTCCACATAATCCCACTACTTTACTATAAACATTTCTATTATTTCTCGCAGTGGATAATCCATTTTGATCTCATCAATGTGATTTAATACTATTATGCAAAATAACCATTGAATATTATTAGCAAAAACATAAAATAAAATTTAATTTGAGGATAAAGTACCTCTCGACATGTTTATAGAACACTAATATTTCAAAATTACAAAATTATGTAATTTATAGAAGAATAAAAAACTCTTAACTAATTTTGTCAACGAGACCTACAACTTTTGTTTAAAAAATAATCGGTTTTCAAAGAAAATAATGATTGGTGAACTTCTCGAAACTGGTGCTATCTGTAAGCAAGTAATATTGTTTATTACTTGTGTCCCTTTTAAGAAAGAATAACTTTTGTACAAAACATTTTTTTAATAAAAGATATAGGAAAAAGAGATATTTAAAAGAAAGACATTAAAATAACCTATCGTTTTCTCCCTGTACACAGGATGTCCCGAAATTCACGAATCAAAATACTATAGCAAGAAAGGTCTCGAGAAAGTAAATTATAAAAGTGTCTACCATTTTTTCATTCCAAATAGTTATTGAGGTTAAAAGATTTAAAACTGACCAATTACAGATTACGATTTAAAGGACGCTTGAAACGCGTTCCATTTTTCTCGTAACAGGAAACACCAACACACGTTTACGCGAACCAACTTGTATACAATAACTGAAACGATTGACAATGTTTAACAATCGCATGCAAATAGAAAAAGAATTCAGGTTACACGATTCAACAGTGGGATGAAATGATTTACAATGTTACACTTTGACGAAAATCAAATTATTCTCAAGACTTTATTGTCACATGTCATATATGTTTTATATAGGTTGTTTTATTTTAAGTGATATAATCGATTATTTTAAAAATAAAATGTTTAAAAAAAAAATATTTTATATAAAAATTGTTGAGCTTCGAGTTTCGAGGGAGACATAATATCATGACCTCGAATAATCTCTGAATGTCCGAAATTCTACAACATTATTAATACAAAACATTTTTTCCAAAAACATCCTATATACTTTTATTTGCTTTTTATATGCATTTATTTTGTTTTAATATATTTAATGGCATATAAATATTCTGAAAAAATTCTGTTGAATATTTAACAAAAATATTATAACAATAATAAAAACAAAATATTATTTTTAATGCTGTAGAAGAAGACTCAAAGACTACAGCAAAGGATCTTGAGTCTCATGAGGACGCAACTTTGCCAAAAGAAACTCTAAAAGAAACTGCTACTATAAAGGAACCTACTAAAGAAACTAACCATCCAAAACCTGGTATGGCAGGCACCAGGATTCCCATGAAACTGGCGCCTCTACGAAAAATAGACGGCTCGCAAAAACGAAATCGTCCTGCGTCCTTTGATAGACTCCAATCAAGAAGGGAAAGTGACTCGAAATCTGACAATATAACGTCCTTATCGAGTGACCGAGCCGCCAGGGATTACACAAACTTGAAATTTCAAGATCCAAAATTTTATGAATGTCCAAAACTGCTGGAGACAACAGATGCAGTCGCAACAACCGCCAACACAACAACATCTGCAAAGAAGGAGGTTGACTTGAAGGAAGTACTGAAGAGATCCGAATCGCTGAGCCCGTGGCACGAGAAGGATTGGGAACAGCTGTCCAGCAAGTTTAGTTCCGAAGAAAACATAATTGATATTGATAAACTTAGCGCCAGCACCTTAGCCAGGCCGGACAGGCCCGAAAAATTTGACAAGGAAAAGCATCCGAGTCAGCTGGGCCAACAAAAAGAGTTAACCCTCAGCGGTGGCGGCTCGATGTTTCTGAAAAGTAATAGAAGCAGGGATAACACGCCTAGTCAAGATGGTGGCAAGTTAGAGGATTTCCAGACATTGATGATCTCCGACGAAATTAATAATGCTGCCGAAGATAGGCCCAAATCCATTCTAAGAGAGAAACAATTGGACGATGGTAAGGCCAATTTACATATATTTTAGAAAATAATTTCAGAATAAGTTTTCATTAAAATATCAAAAACACAAGTATTATTTTTCATTGAATGGGATGGTTAAGGGGACGCTGACTAGGTCTGTTTTACCGACAAATATTATTTTTATTTAATTCTTTATTGGCTTTACAGAATGAAAAATCCTTTACCAGAATTAAAGTATTCATAATAATAAACCTGGGCTACTATATGTGTATTTAAAAAAAAACCAAGAAAATTAAATAATTACAGTTTTCTTATCGTTTAGATTAGATTGACCCAATTCAAAAGACGGATATAAAAATTATTATAACTGTAATTATTTTAGCTTTCTTGTTTTTTAATATACATATGTAGTAGTCCAGATTTGTTATTATAAATACTTAAATTCTAGTAAAAGATCTTTTATTCTAAAAAATCTTTTTTCATTATATTGCTAATAATAACAAACTGTGAATGCTATAATTGTATGTAAAAAATAAAAAAGTTTACAAAAACCCGGTAAAAAATGTAATTTTTTAATTTCTTTTAACCTGAAATTATAACATTTCCCTGTTTGTTAATATTAACACCTTAATGCCCTAATGGCACAACATATCCGAAAGATATTCAGAGAATATACAGAGGATATCCAGAGGACATTCAAACATCCTCAGGATATTCTCTGAACATCTTTGGGATGTGTGCTGTTAGGGTTGTAGAAAAGGATTTATCAATCTGTAGAGTTAATCAAAATATTAGTAATTGAATTTATATAATTTATAGCCAATATAAAAAGATCCATGATTGAATACAACTTTGCGTTGCTATCGATAAAACAGCGTTAAGATCACCTTAAGTAACAATTTAAACGTATAGAACAAAAATGTTAAATAACATTTTGAATCTTTAGTTAATGTTAATACAATTCACTAACAATTATTGTTGATGATCTTGACCTTTATTCAATTTGATGATAGACGATCGACCACTGGACGAAGAACGCAAAAGCGTGCGGTTCGATTTGGAGAAGGAGGTCAACTACAATTTTACATATTCAGAATCCGAGGAGGAATGGGAATCCGAGTCCGAAGATAAGAATCCGCGGATATCGGCCGTAGTCAGCAATAAAGTTACTGGTTCCATTTTATCACCGCTCAAACCGACTTCGCAAAGCTACAACGAAGACGACAACAAGAACGACAACAATTCTGACGAGAAAGATTGGGATAAAATGGAATCCGAAAACGACAAACAACAACATCTGCTTGTCGAGAAGACCGATTCCGTGTCGAAGAACACGAGGATAGTCGGTAAGAGGTTTCTTGTGCAGAACGTTTCGGAGAACGAGCATCGTAATCAAATGACGAGGGATAGTTTAGAAAGGGACAATAGCCTTGATTATTTGTCCAACAAATTAAGTGAAAAGGTGAAGAATATTGACTTGGTGTCGAAAAGCGAGACAGATTGCAGCACCGCAAAAAGCAGCGATTCCGATGAGATGCGTAGAACGAGATCGATCATTGAAAGGGCGAAACACGTGACAAGTCGCTTGTCGAATTGGCAACTTGAAGACGACGAATCGTCCGATGTGTCGAGAGTCGGTCAGAATTATGCGCAGAAGGAGCGATTTGTTAGACCTAAAATAGAATATTCTCGAAATATTGATGATATAAAAATGAAGATGAACAGAGAATATGATAAAGAAATCGAAGCTTTTAAGCTCGAGCTTGAAGTTAAATTGCAGGAAAAGAAGAAAGAATTTGAAGAAAATTTTGCGCAGCAGAAGCTTTTAATGCAGCAATTTTTGATCAAAGATTAGAAGAGGTGAAGAAGGAAATGGCTCAAAAGGTACATTGTAAATTTTTGAGATATAATAATATAAATTAGTATAAGTTTTTCTATTTGATAAAAGAATTTATTATAGATAGACTTATATTTCTCTGAAATGTAATATTATTGTAATTTAATACTATTGTTAAGAATAATCCTTCGTTAGCAATCCATTTTTTTACTAACACAAAAAACTAGGTTTTTTAAGTTTATCACATATTATACTTTTATGTTCTTTCAAGACTTCCAAAATCCAAAAAAATTCTGGATTATTTGTTAATATCTCTATATTACAATAATTAATAGATTTAAAGTCAAATATTAAACCCAATTGTTTACACAAAGCAAAATGTGAACAACAATTTGATAAAAAAAATAGAAATATGCTTAAAAACCCCAGATTGCTAAGGAGAATTAAATTCAATTAGGTTAAAATATTAAGAATATTATTTGGCTCTCGAAATCAACATATAATTTTATAAATATGTCGGCTGTAGAATGCTTAACGCATTGTCTTTTGCGTTAAGCTTCTACAGCCGACATTTATAAAATTATATATAAATTAGATTAGATTTAAGTTAGGTTATCATTATTAATTTCTGAAAAACTATTTTTCGCTATATTTTTCGTTTTTTCGCTATATTTTTACTTAAAAAATCAATAAATGATATGGTATCTTTTTTGTTAATTAAAAATAAGACTTTAAAATTTTATCTCATCAATATCTGATCAATATCTATTAAATTTTTTGTAGGAAGAGCAAGAAATTCAAGTATTGATTACTGAAATGGATCAAGCTAGGATAGAGAACTTGAAGAAAGTCCGTACTGAGTTGGAGGTCTGTTATGAGAAAGAGAGACAAGAGATATTGACCAATTTGAAAACAGAGCTTGATGAGAGAAAAAGGGAGCTTCTGGAACTGAGAAATCAGGAGATGGGCAAGTTAGAAAATGAGCACGAACGCGATCTGGGCGAGGAAAAACTAGCAAAGCTGAACGAGTTCGAGTTAAGAAAGCAACAGACGGAAAGTATTGAGATTCTGAAGAAAGAATTGGATAAAGAACTTGAAGATTTACGAAACGAATTAAGATTACAGCAACGAGAGAAAATTACTAAATTCACGGAAGATCACGAGCAGTGCCTAGCTGAGATCCTTCGTGATTTTAGAATGGATGTGAGTAATTGATAATCATATTAAAAAATGTAGATTTAAAATTCATTATACAGGTAATTGTAACACTTTTGGAAGGAACGATCTTTTGGAAAGAAAAATCTTTTCAGTATCTTATAAATTTTTCAGTTTCTAATTCCCAAATATTTATATTATAGTATAATTTATGGAAAATTATATATTGAAAATAATAATTTTTATATCATTTAAAGAAAAAGACTAAAGAAATGTGATATTGTGAATCTTCCCTTTATACTATAAATTTTAAGTTTTTACCATATATATTTCTATGTGCAATATATAACTAATATTTCAAAAATAGAATGTAGTTTTTAAATATGTGAATAATAAAAATTATTTATTTTATGATTCTAATATTTAAAATTTAAGATCTTTCTAATTTTTTATCTGAAATTTTTATATCATAATTTATATAGATTCTAATTTATATTATAATTATGCGTCTTTTTAATAAGTAAATTTGCCGATTATATGGATATCTTGTAAAATATATTGTATAAGATACTGACAATGAGAAGATATTTAAGAATAATAGGATAGTTGACAGCCAAACATTATTTTAAATTAAACAAAATGTTTCTTATAAATTTTTGACTGTTGAAAATAATACCGCAAACCAAATTTTACTAATACACCTAAAATAATTATTATATTAATTATGTTCAAAAATGCCTTTTTTGAGATTCTTAAGATTTTTTGTAAAAAAGATTAACATTATCTGATCAAATATCATGAATGTATTGTTCATCCTCTACAAAATGCATTTTTTTTTAATTTCAAAATCTAGGAAACCTAAATTGGTGAAAATTGGCTTGCGGCAACGTTTTCAGTATTCAAAAATCTATAAGAAACATCTTTCCTGATTTGAATAATAAAATTTTTTTTATATAAATTAGTGTAATTTATTTATTGTGATATTATAGGAGGCTCTCGCTCGTAAGATGTACAAAGAGCGATTGGAAGAAATTCGCGCTGATTTTGCTCGAGACACGGAGAAGGAGGCGAGGAAACAAACCGACCGCGTGCTTCAGGATAGCATCGATTTTGAAAAAATGCGTTGCGAAAAGCGGCTACTGCAGGACAAATACACGGCGCTCAAGGAAAAGTACATGAAATTGAAGAACGATGTTCGTCTCGCAGTCGAGAGAAGGAGTAGGAGAAAAGAGGGTTATACCACGGCCTCGGAAACCGAGAGATCGACATCCACTAGGACGAAGACGGACAGAACCGAGTCGTCAGAACAAAAGTGAGTTTTACTTACATAAGCAACAATAGAGAATCGCAATACTTATGTCATACGTCCAATAATATTTGCATGGCTGAAATAAGCTCGAGAAACTGTAGAAAAAACGTTCAATATTAATGATATACATATATGCATATGTTTATGATTGAACAAAAAATCAAGACAATCAAAAATTATAAAGTCAAAAATTTAAAATTATTTTTATCTAAATTTTTAAATTTATAATATCTGAGCCTTTTGTTTCCTAGATATATACATTTTGAATAAGTAGATAAAACTTTAAATAATAATTATTTATTAGTAAGACTTTCAATTTGATAGTATAAATTTTAATGGGCTAGTAAGATCATTTAATTTAAAAAAAATAAATTTTTTATTGAAATTAAAATAAATCTCATTTCGAGATTAATTTATTTTAATAAATCCATCTATTTTATATAATAAACCCCACCTAAAGAAGCCTAAATAAGAAAAATATTGTAATCAAATCGATGAATCGGCAATTGAGATTTCTTTACAATATTTGTTTGACGTCACAATAAAAAAATTTCGGATCCCATTATTCCTTAAAAATTTTTTTTAAATAATTTTAATGTTAATTAATTATTTCGTCATTTTTGTTACAAAATTCTTTTTAGGGAAGTTCCTATTAGCCCGATAAAATTTAAATTTAAATTATCTTTTATTTCTTCGTTTCCTCATCTATTTCTGCGGACATACATTTGCGATGCGTGGGTGGGTTGAGAAGATTTATTAATCAATATATTATATTTTTACTCTGTTTATTGTATTTTTCATACCTCTTTTTATTTATATTTATGAGATAAATGAGCGCGTGCGTTACTTTTCAGACCACCCACGTATAATAAACAAAATTTTTATTGACATTTTCTATCAGCTTTGTTCATAATTAACAAAAATAGTCATAATGTAATAATCAACCTCTGTAATTCTTAATATTAGCACGCCTTGCGTACAGCACAAGCATGCTATTTCATATTATATCTCATTGATATTTTTCTTTCTTAATGTAATTACTTGATGTTTTTATGGTAATTAGCGAGAAATTAACATTTAATATAAATTCACATAATTTATTATATTATATATAATATTAAAATTATATAAAAAGTTTATTTTACACTTAATAGTTATATGTATATAAATATACATATATTGTATATACATATATATATATATATATATATACATATATATATATATATATATATATATATATATATACATATATATATATATATATATATAGGTATATATATATATATATATTCCATATAGAGAGTAAAACTGTAGCAAAAAGTATATATATATATATATATACTTTTTGCTACAGTTTTACTCTCTATATAGAATCGTTAAAGTTATAAATAACTAATGTGAAAATGCACTCAAAAAATTAGTATTTAAATTCTTTAAGAAAAATGACTTATAAAGATATTTTGTTATTATATGTATATATTTGCATAAATTATGATTGCTCTCCATATTTTCGTTCACAATCAGAAAAAAGCATTTCCAAATGCTATTAGTAGATAGTGCAGTAACTCTTGGGATGCCTTACAGGATGTAACAAAACAAAGGTATACGAAGGTATCAGGTGCAGGACAATAAATTAAATCAAAAAGTCCTGAGCTACTTTTTAATCTAAGCTTTATTTTTGACGCTATAAATTGTTAAAGTTTGCCAATTAACGCGTGACTACAACAAAAAACAGCGTAGGCGCCGCCTTAGTAGGCGTTAAGGTCTTAAATTAAGGTCAAAGCACACCATCAGGTGCAGGACAACAAATCGAAAAGTCCTGAGCCATTTTTTAATCTGAGCTTTATTTTTGACGCTAAAAATAGTTAAAGTTTGCCAATTAGCGCGTGGTTACAACGGAAAACTGCGTAGGCGCCGCCTTAGTAGGCGTTAAGGTCTACTAAGGCGGCGCCTACGCAGTTTTCCGTTGTAACCACGCGCTAATTGGCAAACTTTAACTATTTTTAGCTTCAAAAATAAAGCTCAGATTAAAAAATGGCTCAGGACTTTTCGATTTGTTGTCCTGCACCTGATGGTGTGCTTTGTATACCTTTGTTTAGTTATACTCTGCATAGAAAAAATATATACTTAATTAAATAAATAAATGTTTTCTCGCTAGTTTCTATATTGAAACATTAATGTTGCACATTCATTTTCAATATCATCCTCACTAGTACCTTCGCAGTCTATCATCAGTTTTAATTTGCCGAGCGCCTCTCACGCGGCGCATCCTGATTAAACGGACTGTGAAGGTGCTTCGTCATGTTCATGCGATTTGCCCTAATGTCTGGCTATAGGCCTTAAATCGTGCTCGCAGTACTCCGCTGAAGAACGCGAGCTCGAGCCCAGTGACAAACGCGAAATCGCAGGAGGAGCAGAGTACGAGCGAACAAATCAATCAAGATCAAAACAATCCGGACAATTCGAGGAGTCAGAAGGCGGCTGCGGGGTTTTCCAAACACGCAGCCGCCATCGCTGACTCGAGGAGCGCGGCAAAATTTGAGTCTGACGACACCACAACCGCTAGCGAGACTAACACTAACATGATGATGAAGAAGAAGAAGAGTTTTAGTAAGAAGGTCGCTTCGGGCGCGGGTCGCTCGAGCGGTGGCAGCGGCAGTAACAACAACGTGGAGAACCCCGTGGAAAATATCAGGAAACAGCTGAAGAAGCTGGAAGATCTCGGCGATCAGCTGCCGAGCAACGAAACGGCCTATACTGTGCGATATCCTTTCCAAGATAAAGGTGATTGTCTTAAATCTATCCCGCGCATCGTTACTTGGCCTATATATTTTCGAGGCAATATAATAAATTCTACTCACAAAGTCTCTAAAGATTTAAACCAGGTTGCAGATCGGGGTCAGTTCACGGCGGTTCTTGCTCTTTCTTTTACAAAGTGATATATAACTTTGTCGGAGAGCGAGAAACGACAATTTATTCTTTTCAATGTGCAGAGTATATTTGAAATGTCTTCTCTTTTTTCTTATTTTTTTTTAAATAAATATAAATAGAACTTGTGAATAAACAAGATTTCGTCATTGTAAGATTAATAATGCACTGATGTAGAAAAAGTTATCAATTTTTCTTGTAAAATAAACAATCTTTTTTTGCAATGTTTCGTGGATAGTATTGCACATTACTTTTTTTTCAAAGATTACAGTGTTGATGCAAGTTAAACGTTATCTTTCAAGTTGTGCTGTTTATAATTAATTGTAAAATAATATTATATTTTGAATTTTGGAAAAATATGTAATTAATGTTTTTATATCGTATTTTACAGTTTAAAAAATTGTATTAATAACTAAAGAGAGTTACCTATTCATACATATATATATATATATATATATATATATATATATATACATGTATATATATTTTTGACAACTGTATATAAGCACACTTTTATTGTAAAATGCTCTATTTTTAATGAAATATTATTCTAGTTTTTTTTTATATTTGTCTTTTCTCTTCCTCTCTTTTTGTTTTGTTTTTGTTAAAATGTTTTTAACAAAATAATTTGTATAAATGGTATACATGTATATGTATTTATGTAGTTTATTTCTTTCCGATTGTATTAATTTGATTATCCATTAATTGTAAGTGTCTTATTTTTTTGCACAGTTATTATTAATTGCATATTTTGTAAATGTATACGTAACTTGATTACAAGAAACAACCACAATAATTAATATTCAATCTCCCTAGATTGAATAATAGCGTAGTATATATTTTATTATGTTTATATCTATTATTTCTATATTATTATAGACTATATCTATAATTTTATATATATGTTATTGTACACCATTTCTTTTTTCTGTTTCATAGGATTATATACATTTTACTTTGGTTAATCCGGTTTATATCTTTCAACTTGCTCGCGTAAGTGCACCAATTTTTTGCTTTCGCACGCTGTATTCATAAATATCCTGTCATCATTTCCTGTCTCATTATTTCAATATTAGGCTTTGAACATATGAAGCTTAAAACTTATAGAGACAGGAGACCTAGTCTCACAAATTGAATGCAACTGCGTTTTCTCTTACAGCACCGGCAAACGCCTCTTCGGAGCTGGAGTTCTTCCGACATCGGATTCATGTGGAGAGGGACTCGGTGAGGAGGGCTCGCGAAGCGCTGAGACAACAGAGAAGTGCCTTTCAGGGTAGGCAAAGAGCTTGGAAACAACGGAGCGCGAGAGCCACTCTGGAACAATTGGTGCAGGTATTGTTATTATTACGAACTAAAATCAATAGAAAATTTTATTTTCTATCACCATTTTTTCAGAGTAAGCCCTAAATGTTAAATATTAATTATGAGAATCAAACGATAACATTAGTTTACAAAATATATTTTTTTCATTATTTTAAATCAGATAAGATGTTTCTTCTAAATTTGTTTTGGATGCTGCGAATCAATTTTTGCCAACACGTTTCCGAAATAATTGAGGTTTTAGGGGATCCTAAATGCCGTCCAGTTTTAGTGATAAAACATCATTTTTGCGCACTTTTTTTTTATTGGTTGAATAGAATAATAAATGCTTTTCCGTGGTTAAAGTACATATAGAAACAAAGCGCAAACCTACCAATTTTATGTAAAAAAACAAAAAAAAATTGTTTTAAAAAATTAAAAATTTTTGTTTTCTTTAATATCTCTTCAACTCTTTTACCAATTAAATTAATATTTTGGAACAATGTTTAGAACAACTAGAATAACTTAAAATAACCTTAAAAAGTTCAATTTTTTAAAAATGTTAGATCAAAAAATTGTTTTTTTTTATTTTTTGCAAAAAATTTTTATTACATTTTGATTTTCTGGAATAATTTAGAATAAATTTAAAACAATCTGGAACAATTTTTAGAATTTTTTAATTTAAAAAATGGGGTGCTAACTTCATGCAGATCTAAATTTTTTAATAAGAATATTTGTCAGTCAGCTCTCCAATTTTTTAAAAACTCCATCTTCATCTCGACTAAGAGCCAAACGCGATGTTATTGCGACAAATTAAGATTAGAAATTTTTGGAAACTGAGGAATTTGAATCCTATGGTTGGGATCTCAGAAATTCCCCTTGTTCCTTCTCTTAACATCCCCTGTAAGAAAAAGACGAGAAATTTTTTACTATATCTCCATAATATTATTATAAGTAAAAATTATTTGATTGTTCAAATATGTTGAAAATCGTTTATATTTATTTTTATTTAATATTTTTAAATAATATAAAGGGTACTATTATTTAATAATTTTAATAATTAATTTATTAATTTTAATAAATAATTTCAATAATTTTATTAAAAAGAATATTTTTATATTATTCTAAAGAAAATATTGTTCTTAATAATAGTATTATTGATTAAAAGTAAAAAGATCTTCAATATTTATTCACAGGAGGAACGCGAGCTCTCTGATATGGAGGTGAGTTTGCATCGTACCAGAAGTCTTCTGGGTGAGAAGGTCATCCATTTAAGACATTTGGAACAATCTCTGGAACGAGTGGCAAACGACAAGCGAAACGAAAACGACGTGTCTTCCACAAAAAATGATGAATTAACACTGAGCGATATGTCGAGTGCCAGCAGCGGTTTCAGCTCGACTGATTTGGGAACTGACACTTTTATAGGTATGTTGCAGAAAAAATTTAAAACTTAAGTTATTTATTAAAATATTATAAATTTTAGACGACTTAAATAAACAGAAGACCAATTTTTAATATTAATATTAATAAATATAAAAGAAAAAATATTTCATTTAATTATCTATTGTTTTGTATTTGAATAAATCTTTATAATTCTTAATTGCATGTCGTAATTCTTAGTCGCCAATTTAAGTATTTGTTAGAAATTATGATAATATTTATCCGTACACAATCCGTACACAAAAGTACAAACTTTCGACTAATATGTGTTGTCAAAGTCATGATTCAGAACAATCTTCAAATCGGCTTTAGCCGATTGTTTATTGTTTATTGAAGAATAAAAATTTGAATGTTTCAGTACTTATTTTTGATTATCTAACTACCGGACTTGAACATTACGTACTTATTAAAGATTAAAAGTAAACGTATGCGAGAAGGAATATACTCCTCCTCCTCAACTTTAATTAAATTGGATTTATATAAAAAATTAGGTCGAATTGGATTAGAAATGTCTTGGATGTGAATGCAAGAAAAAAATTCCGTTTCTTCTCAATTTATATGATGCAAATTATTGTCAAAATTTCCAATTTAAGAAACATCATTATTATTATTTTGATCGCCTTGGATCACAATAATATAAGATTATTCCAAGCTAATGTACTTTTATAATTTTTGTTGTAAGATGGCGCTGATAATTAAATTTATCAATAACAGATAATGGATACTTTTGCAAATACATCTGTGTAGAAATTTACAAAGTAAAAATATAATATCTTGAAAATAATTCTCTTATATATAAAATTGATAAAGTTAATATTTAATCCTAATTTAAAGTTAATTGAGATAAGTTAGAATCTTTCGAGAAAAAAAACGTAGGAAGAAAAGTAGAATTTCTCCCACCCATGCATTAATTTTTAGAAAGAAATCCTTTGCTTAAAAAAACGTGAAAATATTTAACTAATATTTATGTCATTATACAGGGTGTTTCAAAAAGGTGGACTCGATTTCAAATCTCTGTCTTTCTGGAACCACGAACATGAATAAAATCATTACTGCTTAAAAAAGAGGATCATAGAGTTTCAAAAGATCATCGCTAAATGCATCTTCTAACGCATTATTGTTTAACAGATGTAATCATTTGCAAGTGATTTAAAATCCAGTCCATCTTTGTATTATTAAATAATTTTGTTATTAATATATATAATAAAATTATATATATTATATTTATAATAAATTTAATATCTAAATAATATATTAATTTTATTATATATATATATATAATATATTATAAAATAATAATATATAAAAATTAAATCTTACATTGTGTGCATATTTTTATTTTTAATAATTTTTAATAAATAATGAGAACTGATTATAGTTTGTTGAAGGTTATTCAAATTTATTTTAAAAAGATATGTCAATAAAAAATCTTTTCAATCTGTTAGGTTAGAGTGTCAAGATAAATATTTATTTAAAAATGAAAATGTTAATTTCTCTTTTTACAGAATTATTTTTATATCCAATATGTTTGTTTCCTAGATTACCGTCAGTTTCATAAAGAAACAAAGAAATCGCATAGTTTATTTAATAAATTAAAAAAAATTATATCCAATAAAGTTTTGGATAAAAAATTATATCTCATGTATAACTGCTACATGAATGACATAAATATGCATTATATTGTATATAGTCTGTTGTTGGAAATCTAGATAAGCCAGATCATTATCAAGAATCTACTGAAATCATCGCAAGTTTAGAAAATTTGAACTCAGAAATACGAGAAATTTGGGATGTTTTGAACAAACGTCAGGATAGTAGTACTATACCCCCAACACCGGCTCTTATGTATTCTTATTTGCGATGGTTGCGGTTTCATCATCTCACCGTGCAGCCTAACAGCATGCAAGGTAAAGAAAAAAGAGATATGCACAAAAACTTGAATATTATTTTGTGCCAAATATAAGATGTCTCCCCAAAGTAATTTAATCTTATATATGAGATCTGCTAGGATTAATTATATAAAAAATAATAATGTATCTATATAGGAAAAAGTATGCGCTAAATCGTACCTCTACTATATTTTTTAAACAGAATTACAATATTTTAAGATGTTAATGCTGTTTTATCGCAGCAATTTCACACGAATCAAGCGATCCATTGATTAGTGACGGTCATAAATTTATTTTGTATTTTATATGATTTTCATGTAATATCTGACATCCCATGTTAAGATCTCCTATTGAGAAAGATAAACAATAAAGCTTATTGTTAAAACATTTTTTTATTTTATTTAATCTTGTACATGGAAGCATTGAAAAATCGGTAAAATGTTTTAAGATTATTTTTTATTTACAAATTTGGCAAAACAATAAAAGTTCGATAAAACGTACTACTAATTTTAATCGTATCGGTGTGATTTATTAAATTTTACTTAGGTATATATTTTTTCTTTATATTTAAATGGATAACTGATGAAAATATTATCAAATTTTATAATTATATTAAGATAATACTTATTTATATTTTTGTGTTATACAAAAAGTATTTTTGTTAAATTTTTTAGAGAATTTATGCTTATAAATATGGCATTCTTATAGATATGTTTTGTCGCAGACTGAGAAATTTCTGTAGAAAATTAAAACTTTATTTTTGTTACAATTTTCTAATTTTATTGTTAGAGATACGATTTAGAAACTCATGGATACAATTTATCAAACCGGTACTCGTATTATAAATCGTATCAAATACTTTCTTTAGTTTTAATTTACGATATAAAACAATGACATTTGTGTTAATATTTAGCGCATATTGTTGACAAAAGGAGCCATCTCAGGTCAAATTATGTGAAAATGACGTCAAAATGATTAATTGTGCTACGTAGAATAGTTTCAAATGAATAAAAAAATGTTGTCATTTTGTTAATAGTTTTATTTCAATTTTAATATTTATCTTAGAAGGGACGATGTAGCACTTTCTTCTAAAATAATAATATTATTTGTTTATGTACATTTTTTGAAGAAATTTAATTTTTTTAAGTATATATTGGCATATGTGTTGTAAAAAAATATTTTATTTGTAATCTGGTTATTTGTTTTTGTTTGTAAGAATGATTGTAAATACGTCTATTTTTTTTTTTTAGGTGCCTTTGGTACACCCAATATACAATCCAATATTTTATCTCAATTAACCGCTGCGCAACCTCCCACTACCACGACTCAGAATATTATCGCTCAATACGGCCCTAATAGCGGTTTTACCACGAGCGTTGGTACAGTCGAGAGAAACGCTTCGAATTTGATGGAAAGGACCAGAAACCTAAGGGATTGGCTACGCCAAGCTCGTGTCGAAACTACGGACCTGATCAGTCCGGGTCAAGCAACCCTCTAAAAAACCAAAAAGAAAAAAATTAACGTCCAGAAAAAAAGGTTCTCTCTCTTTTTCCAAATCTCTATTATTCCTTCTGCGAAATTAATCTTAATTCTCAATTTAAATAACGTATGACTTTGAATCAAATATTAGTTGTAAGTACATAATATTATCAGTACTTGATTAGTAATAATTAATTAGCGTAATATTTTTATAGAATAGCTTATTTTGTGCAATATAATTCTCAAGTCTATTATTTATTTTCTTCACGTGAATTATATGTATAATTATAAGAATCAGTTTTGGAAACAATTTTGCAACTTCTTGTTAGGAATCGTCAGATCTTTTTAGAGTGTGTGATCATACAAATCCTGTCCGATACACAAATATATATACATATATATATTATCATATATCCCGATTTGTACGGATTTCAAATTTGCGCTCGCTTGCTGCTCCGAATCTTGTTTCCTTCGTTACTGAATCGACGATCAAAACTTATATCAAGAATATATTGTATATGTGTCGTTGCGAAATAAAAATAATTCGTGTGTAAGAGAGAATAAACGTTGAACGTGACAGCTGTGACAGATGTAAATGCATATATATGTAATTTTCATTTAGTCGTTCCTTATATTATTTGCGAGCTTTAATCATGGATTTAATTAATTATTCTTTAATAAATTTTTCTTAATTTAGATTTAATTAATTATTCTTTAATAAATTTGGATTAATTCGAATAAATTACGATACAAAGAAACGATAAATTTAATTATGAGTTCCTCGAATCTTTATAGATCGAGGTTACAGCACTGCATAATTTTTTTTCTATACTCGTATTTCATCTGATACACAGAGAACGAATCCATATAATATAAAAGAAATATATGTGTAAATGTTTACTAATTAAAATAAAGCGTCTCAAGTGGCGAGACTCTTGCCTTCTTGAGTTTTTAGAACGAAATATTGTGAATAAACAAAGTGAATATTGTTCTGCACGATATTAAGAAAAATGAAAAAATTGTATCCTATAGAAAAGTTAGTTTCCTCTTTTGTCTTCCAGAGAGCGCGCGTGTTTTGAATTTAATCAGCTCTACCTTTAGAATATAAGTGTAATCTATACATATATGCGCGTTGACACATGTGCTTTGAGACTTTCGGTAAATATAAACTTTATATATACATATTATGCTGTGTGTAAAGTTTGTAAAAATTGATGATGCAGAGTAGATGCGTATGCGCGTATCTATGGAGATCTTTGTGGATGAACACGTTTGTAAATATACATATTTCGATATATATTACCAAAGTTTACAGGATGTCTTATTTTATTTTAAACAGCTAAATATTGACGAGGTTTTAGAAAAAAATATATCAAACAAAAGTTGTACGCTTTTGAGGGGGAAATAATATCGAGGTTATCAATAAATGATTTTAAGAAGAAATATATAGCTGTTACTTTCAAATAATTTTTTTTTTTAATTATGTATTTTTTACATTAATTGATTTTGTTTATTATTTTGTGCATAAAAGTATTGAAATAAGATCATAGAAGAATGAATATTACGAAATATTTTATTCATTTTTTGACGATTCTACCCTCATAACTTTTTGTGTCAAATATTATGAGAATTTGCTTCATATAAAACAATTAAATTGATCTCTAAATGACCTTGAAAAAGGCAATTTAAGGTCATAATATTATCTCTTTCGAAAGTTTATAATTCTTACACAAGATATATTTTTTCTAAAATTTTATTATTTCGAGATAGATATTTGACTATTCAAAATTATAAAATAAGACATTCTGTATATAAGAAAGATATCTTTCTCTTTCATGCAATACAATGCACGTTATAATGTATGATAATGCATGATATAACGTCTCATTTCTTCGATAATCTGTTGATTCTCTGTATATTTTCGAGATCGATTTTTTGATTAGGATGTAACATGTGCGCGATATAAATATATTATATATTAGTCTAAAAAATTATTAATCGCGTTCGAGAAGAATATCTACATCATAAATATATATATATATATATATATATATATATTATAAAGTTGTGATCGTGCGCGATATTCTAATGACTACCTTGTGATTTTATGGAACACGAATCAAAAGAAAACATAGATAATTCTATTATATATAATATATGTACTTATAAAAGACTTTATATAAATTTCTATAATTTATATCTTTTATACACACACATAAGCCAAATTTTGAATATTTATGTTGAAAATGTATATTGCTGTGTAATAAGAAATTTATAAAATATGCACAAAATGTTGCTAGTATTTTTGACAATTTATCATTAATGAATATTTTGAATATCGCGCGCAATCGTAATAAAATGCCTCTATGCTTAATCAGTCATTTTTCAAATGCCAAAACTTTCTCTTAATTAGCGAGTGCTAGATACCACATTATAAATATATATATAATGTAAATTATATATATTAAATAGAGAATTAAACACATTTATGCCAAACATTTTTTATGTCGATTGAATTTTCAGCGATTGAATTTTCATTACTTCTTTGGACAAAGAATCTTTAGAGAAAGATGATAATATAAACACATATATAGCGTATATATATAATGTCAATCAATAAATATTCAAATATCGTGATCTCATTAAATGTACGATGTAGATTAATTGACGATTGTATGATTTTGGAATGTAGATATATAATATTGAATTGAATAATTACACTTTATGTATGTGTGCGTGTGTAATTTTTAATTTGTGTTAAGTCGAGAAATTACAAAGTAAATTTTCTTTTATTATATATAAAATATACAATTATCTAATATTAGTAAAATTTTTATTTAGTTTATGAAAAATAATGTTTCCCTAATTTTTGGGATATCTAATAAACGATTACGTGACATATACGCAAAATGTATACTTTTCAAACGGAAGACATTATGTGAGATAACATGTATACTTTACTTTTATGTATACATTATATCAAAGATATCTTTTTTTCATTAATGAATAGCTTTCGATGAGAATTATAAATATTAATACGCAAAAAATGATAAAGCAATATGAATAGAGAATCTCTATATAAAACAATTATATTATGTAATATATTTACCATTTTTTGTTATTTCTATTATATATATATACATATATATATATATATATATGTATATACATATATACGTACATATATTGAACGTTACTTTAATTACAAATTCTTAGATCAATTTAAAGATGATTTTTCCTCAATAAAAATGTTGCGAAAAGTCATCATTTTTATATTTCTTTTAGTTTTGCATATATTTGTGTAAGTAAAATAAAAATTCTATTAAAGCTTTATTTAAAATAAACTGAAAATAAAATTTTGTCAATTATTTAACTTCTTAAACTTTTTAATTTACCAAATCTTCGTTTTTCATTGTTTATAATTCAGAAATTATTGACTTTGACATTTTCTCGGGAAAAATTGTCTTTAATATTGGATTATGGAATATTTTATTAAAAACATATTCGACACCTTATACATAGAATACAATATTATAATTATTTATTGTACATTTTAATTATTATATATGAATAGTTTTCGATGAATGTTTTTTTTATATAAAATAAGAATACTAAGTATTAATTTTAGGACATTTTAATATGTTATACATATATATGTATATGTAATATGTATATGAAAGAAGAAAGAAAAAACTTTCTTATTCTAAAATCAAAAAATTCGATTGAAATTATTTCTTTGATTACAGCAGAAATCTTTAAAAATTTTTTGTGGAAAACAATTTTATTTTTTCCAGACAACAATAACTGTTATTATGACGGAAATAAATTACAATCGATATGATTATCCTCGCATTCGTTACTGTTTGTTTCAAATTCTTCTTTAGATGGTAACCACGCGATTAATCGTTGCATATGATCCTGCGATTTATTATTAAGGGAATTTTGCGCCGCTCTTATCACCGGAGATGATTTGCATATCAGTAATCTAATACAAGCAGAATCAGGAGCAGCTATTCTTGCTATCAGTTGATTTGGCAGATTCGGATTTCTCGCTTGATCAATCAAATTTTGAATCTATCAAACAGAATTTTAAAAAACAAATTATAATTGTATTGCATTCTTTTGAACGTATTTTAATTTTAGATTTATTTCAGATTTAAATGTGCATTTATTATCTGATGACATGTGCAATATATAATGTTAACTATATATGAATTATGAATATACTATAGAGTAAAATTTTTATATTTAATATTTGTTTAAAATTATTCAAATTTTAGGATTGATAGAAAAATTGGTTAAAGATCGATAAAAATGTGAATAAGCTAAATCCAATTCTTCTAATCATTATTTAAATTAAAATAAAAAATTAGGTTTAAAGTTTAAAATTTTGTTTACAACAACTCACTTTTTCATTTTTATTTTCTAAAGTGAATTTTAAAGGATCCCAAGTGAGTACTTCGTCATCTATATTTTTGGCAATGTGTTCTTGTGATTTTAATCCAAAGAGCGAACTTATCTGTGAAAAAAAGAAAAAAATGCTGAATATGAAGTAAATATGATAAATGTTCGTACTACATAATATTGCATAATAAAAATATTAGGAATAGTTAAATATAGTAATATTTACCATCTGTGTAAGAAATATGACACTGTTGACCGCGATTGCTGCAACTTTTTGCGAATCAAGTCCAATAAGCTGAAAGAATGCAGAAACGAGATTTGAAGGACCAAATGGCTGTTTTGCATCATTATTTTCATCGTCACCCCGCTTCTGCTTTTGTTTGTGACCTAAACTCTTAGATACTAGATCGGCAATGTCTTTAGCCGTTTCCAAATAGTTACTTGCGTATTGCAATCCTGTTTTTATCTTATCCAGAACATCTGAAATTAAGACATAATTGCTTTTATAGACAATAATGGTTTTTATAATTTTTTAAAATTAAATATACACACGCGTTTTTCAAACTTAACAAAAATTTTTTAAATTTATTTTTTATTAAAAAAAATTTTTTTTTTAAAGGCTATCTAATGAATTTGAAAATTCACATTCTAAATTCTCAATTGGTATGAAGAAAACACATAGCTGTTTTTCAAAAAATATGTTGCAAATTAGATACATCCTTTTCTCAAACTTTTACAACTCAAACAATACTCAATGAAAAAATGGTTCATTATAGTGTTTTGAAAAAGTCTCGACATCAGGTACAAGAATATGTAATAAAAAGTAGGAAGTCCCATTTAAAATTTTCATGTTGACTTTGACCGGGCTTTTCAAGGTCACCTCAAAGTCAAACAGATAACATCACCAAATAGTTTTTTTAAGTCCTACTGTTTTTTGTTTGAAACATTTCTTTATTAAATCAATATTTTCGAAGATATTTTGCCGTTCCGGAACTTTTGCCCCTTTCTGTATATAATAAAACATTACACAGCAACAATTCTGTAGTTACACAGATTAATTTTTAGAAAAAAGATAATAATAATAACAATATATTTTTACAGATTTATTTTAAGAATAATCTCTCACCTTCGGTTTTTGCGAGCTGCACATTATCAAATATAGTTATCCAAATAACACAAAAGAGGAGGCACGAGATGCTGAACATTTTGTTGATTCTAACTATCTGACTGAGACTATATCGAGGATCTCTTGCTGAAAGCAGACTATAACGGGTGTTTTGCGTTAATTGTGCATTTATTTCTATTCTGCTGCGTCTCCAACGGTGCTCAAATTGAGTCGTTTGCGATTGTTGCTCTTCTTGCTTCGCTACCCAAGCATGAGAAAACGACATCCTTCGTGACATGTTTCGCAGCATGATTTAGTCACATTCTTGTTATAAGTCAGTAGAAAGACTGGCTAAGGCGACGAAAGTGCTAGAAGGACTAGTTCAAGTTTGTATCATCTCAATTATAGAATCTGTTTGGAAAGAGTGTTTAAATATATTAAGCAGTAATAATTTTAAAATGTATTATTAGAAATTGGGATATTTAAAAAAAAAGTATGCACAGAGTATCCCAGAATTAGTAAATCACTAAGCCTTGTAAGAAATAAAATATTAACAAAACTATATTCTTCAGTGAAATTAAGTTTACTTTGATAGAATTTAAATGTAAGGCTTAGTTATAAAAGATACATAATGGCAAAAATTGAAAATTTGCAAAAAATAACGGTCTGAACAATTTTACTGACAACTCACAAAATTAATTGTTTCCAAATAACCTGAGAAATCTTCCATTAACAGATGATCCTATAAATTTGGAATACTCTGTATAATAATAAATATTTTTATTTTTTAGCAAGTTGCATTAGAATATAACAGAAATCAAACAAATAAAAGTTAATAAACAAAGTGTGAATAAATACAAGGTAAGTCGAGAAATGTAATAGGATCTAAAATAATATCGTTTTTTTATGATAAGAACTAAAAATGTAAAATAAAATTTTTTATGCAAGATTTTATTTCTGAAAAAAAAAACGATTTAAAAATTTGGAATATTTATTATATATTTACTTCTCCTTTTCTAAATTAAATGACCCCTAATGACTTTGTATCATATATATACATATTGTCTCGAGTAATTATTGATAAATGTAGCAATCTAACAATATCTATTCTATTAATCTAACCTTCTATTTAATTAAAAAGAATTATAAAATAAATTGAATTACTAAAGAAAAAATTACAAAACAAGAGAGAGATAAAAGAAGGAGAGAGAGAGGATGGAGAGGGGGGGGGGGAAGAAAAAGAGAACAAAAAAAAAAGAAAAAAGAGAGAATTATGTATAAATTTATCAAAATAAATACATAAATTATTTTTAACTTATAAAATTATTTTTTCAATTAAGAAGAATAAATTAGTAGTCTAAAAATTATTTTTTCAATATTGTATTTTTCGGTGCAATTGGCTATTGAGGTAAATTCAATAATTCAGAAGATTAGACCTTTTATTTAAGTTTAAAAAAGCGTTTTTCTAATTTCAAATTTTCAAAAAGTCAATTTTCATCAATTTTAGGAAAATTGTAAATATGTTATTTTACTCATTTTTGGTCTTTATGCGGCAAATCACTTTTTTTAAGTTGTTCATTTCTTGATCTATTTTATTTTATAATTTTCCTCTCGCTTGTATCAGTTCTGTACGACGCATATATGTGATACATATATATAATTTTTGTTTTATCTACATATATATTTTAAAATATTTTTAGCTATGTATTGCAGTTTCCTAATATTTTGTGCATCTTGCACTTTACAAATGGCATCCGGGGAACGATCACTTTTATATCTAGATGAGGTTCGCAGTTTAAGCGAATTGCCACTGGAGAAACTGATCCAAATAAAATCTTCTCTTGAAAACACGGGATATGGTAAAAAATTATTCGTTAAATAATTTACGATTTAATATTAGCAAAATTATTTTTTAATATTATTATATATTATTACTTATTATAATTTTATATTTAAAAACAAATTCAGATAATATTGTATAATTATATAATTTATTTAATTATATAATTATATAATATATTATAATATTATATAATTTATTTCTAAATAAATAAATTTAAATAGTATATAATGTTATGCAGAAATATTTCTTTAAAATCTATTTTTATTTGCAGATAATACTGATGAAATTGAAAATGCACGCGAAGATATATCTAGTAGAAGATTATCGGTGACAATGCCAATGGCGTTGCCATTGAAAAGAAGTAGTAAGAAACCTATGCGGCGATATGAGCACTATGATGAAAAAGGCAAGGATTCGAAGATTTCAAAGATCTTTCAGCTGGCAGTAACTGCGCTTTCGTTTCTTGCATTTGGCGGTTATCTCCTTACACTTATAATAACAGCAATTCGTCGCAATATGGCTAATAATGCTACAGCCGGGAATGTCGTCGTATTTTCGGTAAGACACATCTGTTTATAAATATATATATTATTAATAAAAAAAAAAATATATATATATATATATATATATTAAATATATATTATTATGTATTAAAAATATTTGTATGTTATATATTAAATATATAATTATATTATATATTTTTTGTATATACGGGGTGTTTCATTTTAATTTTTGGGTTAAAATTTCTTAAAAACCAAGGTTTTCATAAAAAATGTTATGTACAAAAGTTGTAGAATTTCGAGGGTGACATCTTATTGTAAACATAATCTTATTCTAAGTAGAGGCGTTTTCGAAATCATCATTTTTTAAAATGGAATTACTATATAATTTTCTTACATAAATTTATTCCTCATTTGGCGTAAAAATTGTTAGAGATGAATAGTTGAAAAATGGTTAGAAATACTTTATGCTTCATTCTGACACTTTTTGACAAAAAATATAAAATATCTCGTAAAATATTTAGTTCTTGATAATCTTACTTTAATAACTTTCTGCATAGAATAATGAGAGAAATCAATGAAATGGCGGAGTTATAATATAATCTTTAATGTCAGAAAAACATAGTTATTTTTAAAAAATCTGCAGTTGCCCTCCTCCCTCCACACATTGCAAAATACATTTTTTTTACTCACAAGAATATATTTTTCTTAAAAAAGTAATACGTAATAATATGTTTATCAAAATAATGACCTTTGAAATATCGAAAATGTCTCACCAAATAAGACTATGTTTACAACAAAATGTCTTCCTCGGCGTCCTACAATTTTTGTATAAAACATTTTTTGATGAAAGCCTTGATTTTTAAGAAATTTCAATCCAAAAGTTAAAATGAGACATTCTGTATATTAAAATTAATATAATTATATATGTATAAATTTCTAAGAAATTTTTTTTAAAAGTCTTTTTTAGTTTATTGTTGATGTAACTTACAAAATCTTGACTTATAATATATTATAAGAAATATAAATATATATATATATATATATATATATATATAGATTCTTGATAAATATATAGTTAATCGATCATACTTAAATTACTAATTATTTTTTCTAGAATCTGCAAAGTTTACAAAAATTAAATCGTCAAAGGCGTAACATTTTAATATTTGATCCAATGGAGAATAATTTTGAAACTGACAAACTTTATGAAGGAATGATTATGCTTTCAAGAAGTTATGCTTTATACAATTAATTATAAGGTGTATAAAAATGTTTTATTTTAAGATTTATTATTCAAACATATTATATATATTACAATTAGTAAAGATATAACTAATCTAATATAATAAGAAAACAAGAATATTTCGTAAAGCGCCAGTAAATATAATCACAAGGATAAAACTCTTTGAAAAAATTTCTTAGACGACCAAACTGGGCAAAAAATGTTAATTTATTAGATCTTCCTCATTACGTTTCGACCTTTGGTTTAGGTCCTTATCAAATGAACAAACGTTAAATGTTAAAATGCAAGATTTTTTGATGTCAATATAATAAAATATGTATAATAGTCATTATTATAAAAATATATGTGCAAAATCACGTGTGTCTACTGAGACATTTAGCTAACAACTTGTTGAAGAGGAAGATCTAATAAATTAACATTTTTTGCCTAGTTTGGTCGTCTAAAAAATTTTTTCAAAGAGTTTTATCCTTATAACTAATCTAATATAATAGAATAAATCAATAATAATAGCAAATATTTTATAAAAAATAAAACAAATTTGTGTCAAAATGTTAATTTTTTATTACAATTAACTTAATAAAATATTATTTTTAAATATTCAATAAATTTTATTTATTTTTTTGTGGATTAAACCAACTTATATACATATATGTATATGTATATAAAGCATATTGTAATATAATTTTATATCAAATAGAGTAAGTATTTGATAATTAATTTTCAAAAAAATTTTTCCTGTTTTTTTGCAGTCTGACTAACATAAGAATTATTTGCATCAATCGATTTACTGAATTCGAAGAATGCTTATCGCACAAATCTGACAAACCCTTGAAAATCTTAAAACCTAATAAAATCGAATAGAGGACCGCGATGTGTACATATCTCGAAGAATATTCTTAGCGTGTGGGTAGAAAGGCAGCTTCAAACATGGCTCTTCAAATAAACACCTAAGTGACTGTGTACTTCGCAAACCTCTACACGCAAAAATAACCATATGGCTCTTCCAGAGATATCATCGACCACACACATACATCTCTATCATATCATTGTTCCATCAATACATGCAATTATTATTTGTAACATACTCTTCAAAATTCAATCCATTTCTGATTACGTGTCAATCATGTTCGAAAGTATAATAGCGACTATACATTTTACATTTTTTATAGACATTTAATTAATCTACATATAAAGATTTTTATTTTTTAATTAGCCGAATTTTTTAATTAGTCTAATTTAATTAGCGTGGTTTTAAATAAACAATATTATATCTTTAATTACTAATGTTTTTTTATTACTAATGCTCGAAAATTTCTGAATGTAATTTAATATTTTTTTATTTGAAACTTTGAGATCTGAATCTTGTATTATATACTATAAAAAAATAAGGCAAATAAAAATTTATAAGATTTAAATGTTTAAATAAGTAAAGAAATGTCAAATTGTAAAATGTCAAAAATTATGACAGAAACTGTCAAATAAAGAGTTTATTCATAGAATAAAAAATCAGCTAATTAATTAAGTCAATTTTAAACGGAATTATTATACCATTATTGACTCCTTAGCTTTTCAACGAGTATTTCTCGTGACGCGAAGAATATTAATTTGAAACTTGTATTAAACTGCCTCCGACGCATCATTTGGTCGGACCAATCTTCTCTCAGGTTCCGCCTACCAGTATTTTCGTGGACCAATCCAGTTAATCCAATTAAAATACAACTGGGGGCGCGTTGATTTTTTTTCGACCAGAAATCTTCTCTTAACATGGCACAGTCTGTCTTCTATCATTCACTTTTATGCTGTTCTGCAGCTTTCTTGAATATTTTTCCGAAAGTAATAATTCCTTGTTATGAAGTGATTTGAATTCCACATAGTCAAACTATTTTTTTTTATCAAAGGTGCAATTAATGTAATTCCACATAATAATAATATGATAAAGAGTGAACAGTTGAGTGAAGAGTTCAAATAAACAGTGAAGAAGTTGTTATTCATAAATATCGCTAAAACTTATTTAATACTAGTATTTAATAATATTTTTAATCATATAATGTAGCAATATATTGGTGTACAGAGACGTAACATATGTAAAATATTAACGCATACTTTCAATTGGTGACGTGAGCGTAATAATTGATAGTGCCATTTGTATTTTGAATGAACTCGTAAGAAAGAGAAGATGATTGGAATTAATACTCATCTTATGAATAACTCTAGTTCTAAACAATTAAAGTTTGGCATGGATCGGATATTATCAAATGAAATTCGCACAAAGAAAACAGGTAAAACTTCACATATTTAGAAGTTATATATATATATATATATATATATATACATATAATTTGTAAATTATATAATTAATAGAATCTTGCTTTTGGATGGTTTATATATCTAATAAAGTAAAATATTATTTTTTATATTTAATTTATGACTAAACTACATATTTTGAATAATTTCAATAAATTAACTCATTTCATATTTCTTTAATTAAAAATCTACTTTATATATTAGTTTTCTGTCAAACAAAAGTTTTAATTGTGGTTTGAACATATTTTATGCGCTTTATATTGCATATTTCGTATTCAAAGGGAGATTTCTTTTAATTCTTCAAAACTTATGTACGTTGATAGATATTCTTAAGCCACTTGCGATACAACTTCCGCCAATGTGTTGCGCTTGTATTGAAAGTTGCGGCCAATGCAAAAATATCAGAGCTTGCATGTCATTCCCGTATGTGCATTCATCATTATCCGAGGGCATCACATCTACGTCTACTGGAGTAATGCAGTTAGCACCTTTGTATCGGCCGGCATCATTACGTCCTGTACTAAGAAGTGAGTTATATTAAGTTATATTACAACATTTATAATTGTATAATTTTTTTCAAAATTTGCAAACTATATATATTCTATAGAAAAATTACAAACATTTTTTTAACCAAAATTTATTTTGGCAATAACTGTATTATTTTATTGCACCTTTGTTATTTTTATTACATTTAATATATTTTGTAATTTCATAAATTTTAAATTAAAATTCTAATTAACAAAGAAAGAGAAAAATAAATTTTCAATAAAATTATATGATTTTGTTTTTGAAAACTAAATTTGTCAAAAGATATTAATTTTTTGTTAATTACAAGATCTACCAACAAATTATCGAAAACAATCAAAAATTATACATAAAAATACTTCAATGTCTTTATAGAAAAAAAATAAAGTTTATATTCGTAAAAAAATTTGCAATGAGAAAAAGATACACATCCAGTGATAGACATAAATTATATATACATATATAATTACGTTTAAAAATATAACATGTAAATATAATTTTTTTAAAGGTAAATCTTAATAATATTTTAATATAAATAAAAAGCAATATAAATATAAATAATATAAATATAAAGCAATATTTTATTTTTAAAAATTCCATGAAAAAGATAGACTTTATTTTGAATGAGAACGTTGTGTAGATACGTTGAAATCTTTTATTCTTAATTAATTAACGATTTATTAATTAAATTGAAATGTGAGTCTTTGCACAGATTTACCAGATTATTTTAAAAGGGTCTGACCGAAAGATCACAGATTACGTCATTGACAAATGTTACCATATGGACGCATTATTTTGTCCCTCTGATATCCAGAAGCAAGTAGAGCAAAATATTTACGTGTCAGTGTATTCTCGTGTTTCCTGTCTGTGTTTAAACGACATCTTAAGTGCCACCGAGCGTTTACACGTATGGTATAAACGGCGGTTTCAATGCATTTTCTCAGTCGATTATTATAAAATTTGACAAACATATATACGCATCTCTTCTTTGGTTTTCTTGTTAATTATTTTATTGTTATTAATGTAACATGTTATAAAATTTTATAAAATAGAATTATAAAATAAAATTATTTTTATATTTTTATTAAAATAAATATAAATGAAGAGAGATAAGAAGCAATAAAAAAATATATGCGGAATTTAAACTCACTTCTTTATAATCTGCATTTAATATACTAAATATTATAATAAATTTATAAATATGTAATATATAAAACAATAATATTTGAATCATTATTAATTTATAATGTGTGATTAATAGGATTATTTGAGATACATCTATTTTTTATTATTTTCTTTCAACATTTTATATCAACACATACTTGTTTGAATAATTATATTAATTTTTCATTTAAAGTGAATCAATAAAATGTAGCGGAATTCATGAATTAGAAATATACGCTCAAAGATTAACACATGAAAATCCCAAAATAACTGTGATGTTAGAGGTATCTGTACAAAGATTTGGCTGAGTGGGAGCACCACACTGTTTAAATACGTACAGATGTTGTATACTTTCGTGCGGCTGTAAATCAGCCCGAAGTATCCCATCTTGGAGGCTTCTTTGGACTGATTGTGAGATCCGTAGAAACTGATACCCATAGAGCCAAAAGTAACTCTTATGACGCTGTCCACCTGATTCACAGATCTTTTTTTCTTTTTTGCAATGTTTTGTAAATGTTTATATTAAATTATAAATGAGTTGTAAAAGTTTAGGAATATATTTGCAATAAATATGTTATAATTACGTATTTGTAATAAATATTTTAATAGAATTATATTTGTAATATATATTATTATTAGTAAATTACCATGATATTTATAATAAATATTTTATATAAAAAATTTCTATTTTACATTTATTTATATTTATAACAAAGACAATTAAAAATATTTAATTTAATTAAAATAAAATTATAGCACACAAAAATAAACAGTTAAAAAAGTAGACTAAGAAAAATAAAAATTCAGAATTTTATTTATCTTTATTGTAAACGGTCATAATTAATTAATAAGAAATGTTTTTCATAAATTTTATATGGATTAATATTTTTGTAATTTAATTTAAAATAAAGGAAAGAGATCTGCATCAAGATTTTTTCTCTCGATCGTTTTTTAAATGTTATACTAATATTCATGACTATAATACAGAAGATAAATTCAGATAACACATTTTCCAGCACCTATATCATCTTCATCCTCAACAATGAATTCTTCCGAAACAAATACGCGAAGAAAAAGATCGTGGTCCAGAGCCGTGTTTAGTTCTTTACAACGGAAAGGCTTGGAAAGAAGATTTTCATTACAAAAGTACATCACAAAGCCAGACAGACGACAGTTGGCAGCGACTTTAGGCTTAACAGATGCACAGGTTGTATTATTTATAAAACATAAGATTTCTAGTATAAGTTTTAGAAAAACAAAATCTCGTAATAATAATATTCTCTCTCATTATAATTGCATATAAAAATAATATTAATAATAGTGATTTATTTATTTTAATTAATAGAACTTGCTTTTAGGTCAAAGTTTGGTTTCAAAATCGTCGGATGAAATGGCGACATACAAGAGAAAGCGAAAATGCTGCATTGGCTGGTCCAGATTCCACGCAGAAAGATTTTTCGCAAAAATTAGTTAAATCCAACGCTAATGACGCGACACAACAAAACGAAGAAGACGTAGAAATCGATGTAGATTTATAAAACATATATATACATATATAAATAATTTGATTATTTAATAATACATTAAAAAATGTATCAAAAAAATTTTAGCATTAAAAGAATTATTATTATAATAATAACATTACAACATTACAATGTATATTAATGTGTAAGCAATGTCACTGTGTTAATAATGTGTGGAATAATTACGTATTTTTTTAAAGGAAAAGAACAGTATACAACTTTAAAGTTCAATTTTGCAAACATATAAATAATAACTGGATTAAATTATAATGTAATAAAAAAATTTTATTATAAAAAATATTTTATGTATGAAAGTAATTTACAATATAATAGACTTGTCATATTTACATTAATATAGTTTCCTATTAATTTGTCAAATTCGTCCACTTATAATTATAAAGGCTAATAATAAAAAGATAATATAAGAGCCAGCTCATAAAAAAATTATATGGATTCTAATTACTGCATTAGCTCTTTTTGCTATTTTTATTATCTTTTTATTAATTAATACTTTATATACGCGTAAAAATATTTTTTAATATTTTGTATTAAATCTCGAAAATTATATAAGACAACTATATATATATTAATGTCAAAGAATGAATTTATAATCGATACGATTGTCTCTTTTTTGTCGATATACTTCCGCGGCAACGATTTTGTTATTTCTTTCTTTATCGATGCAAAGATTTATGAGGTGGTTATATGCGATAATATTTCACAATTATTTTAGTATTTCTAAGCTGTATATTTTAGTGGAGCAGGGTAGCGGAAAAAATATTAAACTTTCCTAAGTATGTGTATTACATATATATATATATATATATATATATATATATATATATACTTGCGTCTGTGTTTGTAATTGTATATTTACTTGCATAATTGTGATTTTACAAATAATTATAATTTGATAAACATTTATTTGATTTTAGGAGATCAAACAATATCATAATCGCAAAGATGATACATTGCTTGCGATCTACCTTTGTTACCCGATACCTTTCTTTGCAAGTATATGGAACATGTTTCTATCGCTCGACAACGAAATTAGCGGACACATTAGCAGCTAACGAGGAAAGAAAATGCGTATCACTTAACTCCAATGACATAATAAGTAAGAAATATAGGGTGTTTCTAAATTAGTGCGAAAAATTTTAGATGATTTTTTTGTTGAAAAGGGAGATTTTTTTATATAAAGATATATTCTTTCCTAAGGAGTACACTTCTTCAAAGGAAGAAGTGAAAATTAGATATTTTTTTCTAAAAATTATTGATTTTACGAAAAAATAAAAGAAATAAAAAAGGAATGAAAAGCTTTCTAACGCATATTTTTGATCACATTCTGATCGGTCAAAAAGTTTTAAAATAAAATATAAAATAAAAATAATATATTAATAAAAAATTAAATAGAGATTGTTATAGTTTCATCCTCTTATAACGTTACAGAAAAAATTTTTTAAATATAATAAATATCGTTTTTACTAGTGGAAAATATTTACCAAATTTTTTTAACTTGTTTAAAATTTAAGAAAAAATTAAAAATCTAATTTTTACCTCTTCCTTTAGAGGAGTATACTTTTTAGAAAGAATATAATAAACTTTTATATGAAAAATCCTTATAATTTTCGACAAAAAATCATTTCTTAAAATTTTTCGCACTTATTTGAAACACTATATTTATATACATATTTTTTTATGTATAATAACTATCAGTAGATTCAAATTAAATTATAAATTGTGTTTCGCTAAATTGTTGCATCTGCAAATCTTAAAAAAAGAATTATACTTTGCTGCAATAAGTAAATTATAAAATTAAATATTAATAGCCATTGATCTCGTTTAAATTTTTTTATTATTATTAGCTGCCACAGTAACACAATCACATGCAATTCCGGCAATAACTGCACCTGTGACGTCATCAAAAGCGATGCCATTATTGGAGACAGTGAATCCCGAGATAGTTACGGAAGACATTGAAATTTCTGCATCAAAGATTGAACCATTTGGTCATGTAGATAAAACCTCGTTGCCGTTCGAGGAGATTCCTGGTCCGATGATACTTAAATTATGGGAAAAGTATTGGAGATACGTGCCACTTTTGGGTACGCAACTGTTTTGCAGTCTGCTAATCAGCAGATTTATCCAGGGTATGATCCCTTGTAACTCAATTGCCTGAAATTTGAAGAGTTATATTATTTTTTTTTTTCTAAATTAACGGTGGCTAGAAGAATATATAATTTTTTGATCAGAATGCAAATAAAATTTCAATTCTTCAAATTTTAAGCAAATTGTCGTTAAAATCTCAAGAAATTATACATAAACATATAACATGAGGTAGTAAAGTTTTCCGAAATTGTATAAATACATATATATTTTTTAAATTGATTATTTATATTCAAATTTAGATTGATAAGCAATCAAATGCTTATTTATATGTTTATTGTTCGTAGGAAAAAGATCAATAAACTATAAAATAAACTATTTTATTTTTATCAATAATAAAAAAAATATTTTATATTATATGATAAAATATAGTATAATGTATGCATATATGTATATAGATAAAAATGTTATATATATATATTTATATATACATATATATCGATATACATATTTATAACTATATATAATATTATAATATAATTTTTTAAAATTATGCAGTACAAAATTGAAATTATTAGAATAATTAATCAATTATTAAAACCACTTGGACGAGCAAATTTAAAGAAACATTAAAATTAATTACATATAATTAAAAATTAAATATAAATTAAAAGTTAAAACAAATTAATATAAAATTTACAGTGTATTTTATATTCTGACTGAAAATATTTTTTATGGGTTAATATTGTAGGACGATTATCTTGGAATCGCAATGTCACGCCGATTAAGTATTTATTCGATGAGTATGGATGCATCGTGCGAATTAATGGTCCCCTTGTAAATGACATAGTTATGATTCACAGGTGAGATATTACAATTGTTTTTTATGTTCATCTTCAAGCAAATTCATCGATTGTTTGTTAGGTCTGAGCATATAGCGGAAGTATTCAAGCAAGAGAGTGAGTCGCCTGTTCGTAGTGGCATCGACATTCTTCAACATTACCGGCTTAATCATCGCAAGTGTCGTTCCGCTGGACCGTTCTCCCTGCATAAGTATAAATATGACTGATTTTATATATAGAATATATAACACAATTTATATTGCAATAAATTTTAATTTAAAATTATTTTCATTAAATTCATTAAATATTAATCATTAAAATATATACAAAGTATTTCTAAATACATAAGTGCAAAAAACTTTAGAGATGATTTTTTGTCGATAATTAAAAGAAAAGTTTTTCATATATTTCTATCTCCGTCCCTAAGGCGTTACTTTCTTTTAAAGAAAGAAGTAAAAATAAGGTTTTTAATTCTTTTCTTAAATTTTTTGGACAAGTTAAAAAAATTAGTAAATATTTTTCATTTCTAGTAAAAAGAATATTAATGAATATTTTTTAAATACTTTCCGTATTTAGTATATTATATGAAACTAACAATCCCTATTTAATTTTTTATTAACTTTTTAACCAATCGGAATGTGATTATCTAAAAATATGTATTAAAAAGTTTTAAATTCCTTTAGAAATTTTTTCTTTTTTTCTTTTTTTCTTTTTTTCTTTTTTGCAAAATCAATAATTTTTCAATTTTTAAAAAATAAAAGCCTAATTTTCATCTCTTTTGAAGAAATGTAATTATTCAGACAGGGAGTATAAGTATAGGAGTATAAGTTTATATGAAAAACCGCTCTTATATAATTGTCGATAAAGAATCATATCTCAAAATTTTTTGCACGTATTTAAAAACACCTTGTGTAAAATACACAAAATAATAAGAAATCTAATTTAATTATATTTACAAAACATTTTTATATATTTTATTGTATATTCAAAATATCTTTATATATTTTATATTCATATAAAATATGAATATACTTATATAAAATATATAAGATAATAATAAATCTAATTACATGTATATTTACAAAACATTTGATATCATAAGCAAAACATTTTTCTTAAATTAAATAAATATACAATCATATTTATTTTTTATATTTATATAAAAGTATTTATATGAAAGTATTTTGTATAAAATATTATTTATGTAAAAGAATTTATATAAAATATTTATATAACAATATTTATATAATTTTTAGAAAAAAATATTTAACGTTTTTGTAAGATATTAAATAATGCAGTAATTTTGTAAACTTTATAAAATACCAGGCAAGGTTTAGAATGGTTAGAACTGAAAGAGAAAGTTGATCAACCATTACATGAAACAACTTCGAATTATGTCGGAAAACTGAATTTAGTGTGTGACGAATTAGTTAACAAAATTCGTAGAATACGCAATCGACAAAGCGAGGTATGCTACATGTTAACAAATTAAATTTAATAATTAAATTTAATTTAATTATAAATCAAATTTAATAGATTAATGTAAAAAATTTGATATAATAATAATATTAATCAAATAATGTTAATTAAATAGCGCACAAAATAAACGTTTAAAGAATAGAGGAAAATTATGAAAAAACAATCTTTTATGTACATAAATCTTATAAAATTATATCAGTGTACGATAATTATGAGAATAAATTTTCAAAGATGACAGTGCTTGATTGCACAAGCATAATATTATTATCAAATATAGCTTAATATAATAATGGTATACACTTGAAAAATAGTATTTTAATTACTATTTGAACAACAGGTACCAACAAATTTTCATCAGGATTTTACCGCATGGGGTTTGGAATGTTTCTATGTAATGATGTTCAATAGGCATCTTGGTTTCCTCGATTCTTCGAAATCAACATCCGAGGCCACAAAAATTATGGATGCGTTAAGTACAGCTCATACGTATATGAGTCGATGCGAAACTGGATTTCAAGTTTGGAGATTTTTCGAAACTCCATTCGCCAAAAAACTTTTTACAGCTTGCGACATCCTTGACGAGTGAGTCACGAAAAATTTGATTAGAGAAAATATCTCAACAAAAAACTTATCAAATATATTAGTATTCCGTTTTGTGTATATTTATTGTATAATAATAATTATATTTTTAACAATAATTATATTAGGTCCTTAAATAAGTTCTCGCTGTTTTTTTTGTTAAAAAAAAACATTTATTTAAAATATAAGGCTTACAATAACTTTACTCAAAGTATTGTCTATCATTAGAGACCACACAGCAATACCTCCAATTCTTCGTCTTCAAACTTTGTCGGTGCTCCAGAACGTTCTTTATCTTCAAGGTCAAAGTCATTATTTTTAAAGCGCCTAAACCAGTCTCTGCATGTCGTATTCGACAGAGCATTGTCACCATATGTTTCAACAAGAATTCTGTGTGCTTCAGCTGCAGATTTCTTTTGAATAAAGCAGTGCAATAAAATTCCCCGCAAAAACACTTTATTTGGCACAAAAGTAGACATTTTCGCAATAGGTAATTAAACACGTGGTTGACACTGTGGTAAACTGTATCTACTAGAATTTGAGGTTACATATAGTACTACTTAGCTGATGCGTTTCCGTACGAAATTCCATGCACAGAGTGCCGCTACGCCATCTTTTAAGAAACAGCGAGAACTTATTCAAGGACCTAATATAATTATAATTTTATTAAATATATTATTTGATTGTGCAATGACCACAAAATTTTTATCCTTTAGTAATATTTTACTTTGTTGATTTGATGAACATTTACACATATGGATCTTTTTAGGATTATTGAAAAATATATTCGCCAAATGCAGAGCAAACTGCAGATTTCTTCGCTATCAAAACAAGAAAAATCTATGAATGAAGAAAAAACATTATCATTGCTCGAAAAAATGATGATTCGGGGTATCAATTCGGAAGATATTGCTATCCTTTTGATGGACATGATTATTCTAGGCGTCCAGGCTGTAATATGCAATATAATATTTGATATAAACAAAAAATAAATATATAAACATATGTAATAAATAATTTTTTATTTCTAGGTTATTAATTGTGAGGCGTTTCTGCTTTATTTCTTAGCAAGAAATCCTAGAATACAGAAACGTTTATATAACGAAATTATCTCTATTATACCTAAAACAGACAAAGCTATAACAAAAAAAACCTTGGAAAATATGCCATATTTAAAAGCATGCATAAAGGAAAGCCTTAGGTAATATAATTAATAAAAATAAAATAATGGTTATTTTATATAGTCTTTCTCCATTATAATTTAAAAAACTTTGAATAGTCATATATTAGTATCTATAATAAGCAGCTAATTAATAGAATAATAAACAAGAAGTGTCATACTTTTATTTATTTTTGGAAATGATTCTTTGTTATAAATTATATAAGTTTTTTTATATAAACATTTACTCCTATATTCCTCCTTAAGAAGTTACATTTCTTCAAACAGAAGATAAAAATCACATTTTTATTTTTTTCTCTTTTAGTTAAAAATTAGACAAGTTAAAAATGAAATTTGATAAATATTTTATACTAGTAAAAAAGATCCTTATTAACATTTTTAAAATTTTCCCGTTTCATTATAAGAGGATGAAATTAACAATCCCTATCCAATTTTTCTATTAAAACTTTTTAGCAAATCGGAATGTGATATATCAAAATAATATGTGCTAGAAAGCTTGATTCCTTTAGAAACTTTTTTATTTCTTTAATTTTTTTCGTAAAATCAATAATTTTCAAGAAAAAAATAACTTAATTTTTACCTCTCTTTAGGACGCAGATGAAAATTAGATTTTTATTTTTAGGAGTATATGTTTATATGAAAAATCTCCGTCAATTTTTGACAACGAATCATCTAAAATTTTTCATACTTATGGGGCCCCCTATACCTGTACATAAAATATATTATATATTTTTGTGAATTTTATATATACACACACGCACACGCACACGCCCACACTTAATATTATATGTATTGTATAAATTTTTTATGTGAAAGGTTGCGACCAGCATTTCCCTATTTGACGAGATTATTATCATCGACAATTTCGCTACATGGATACACGATACCGAAGGGAGTAAGTTGAAAGTACCAGTTTTTAACTCTATAAGTAACCTCCATAGCAAAAAACCAGTGATATCACAGTGATATGCTCTGGATGTCATAGCGATGTGCGAATGCGAATGTCCGCTTTGTCACAATGTAACATCACAATGATATCATTGTGACATCACACTTTGTGACAAACAAGTGTAATATCACAATGATATCATTGTGACATCACACTTTGTGACAAAGCGGACATTCGCACATTGCTATGACATCCACAGCATATCACTGTGATATCACTGGTATTTTGCTATGGGGGAAGATAATAAATAATTTTTGCGTTCTAGACCTTCATTATAATGGCGAATCAAATAACATCGCAACGCGAGGAGTATTTTGAGGATCCTGGCAAGTATCAGCCAGAAAGATGGCTAAAACAGAATGAAAATGCGAGTAATTTTTATCAAGAGTATGCATGTCTACCTTTCGGACATGGTATACGATCCTGTCTAGGAAAAGATTTAGCTGAAATGCAAATGATGTTACTCACTGCAAAGGTAAATTTTGCATATAATAATGTAACAGGAAAATGGCATAATTTAATATTTTCTTTTACAGTTGGTACGAGAATTTACAATTGAATACGATTATGCTGATATTCAAAGTCAATTTCTTATGGTTAATGTGCCAAACAAATCATTACGTTTTCGATTCTTAGATAGGAACTAAAGAATAATAAAAATTAGACATGATTAGAAGAATTTAAGAAATATAATTAATAGATATGATTATATTACGTAGGATTATTTTTCTGTAAAAAAATCCATAATAGGTAAAAGTAACAGATATACATATATTTTATGTCAAATTACATATTATTTTATTAACAGAATAATTTGAAAGTTACAATAAATATGTATTTATGATTATTGTGTTAAATAGTAAATAATAACAAGAAAAGTATAATTTATATTACTTGTTAAATGTTTTATTAAAATATATTTTAATTGCGATAGATAAATTAAATGTATTTCATAAACATATAAAATAAGTATATAAGAATAATTGGTTACTAACAAGTGCAAATTTTTATTACAATACTGTGATTCTATAACATAGCAAATGTTTTATGAAAATAGAATTCACTGATTTTTATTTTAGATTTGAGTTTCCTTTTAATCTTGATCCATTAAAATACGCACAAATGCCATGTATGAAAAAACGGTCGAAACATACTGAGGAATAAAAAGAAACTAAATTATTGACTACTTTTCAATAATGTATAAATTGCTATTGCATATAAAAAATCTAAAAAATAATTTGCAATTCAAAGAAATATAAAAAATATATATGTACAGAGTGTCTCAGACCACCCGTACATGCCGAATATTTCGAAAACTGAGCACAACAGATAAAAATGTTTTAAACAAAAGTTGTAGGGTCTTAACAAATACATATAATGATGATAAATATTTGACCTTGGCAGCAGTTATGAAAAAAGTTTCAAGGTCAACTTTAAAATCATTTTCAAAATATTCAGCATGTACGAGTGGTTTGAGTCACCTTGTATATACAGGGTGTCCCGCAACGTGATATCTACACTGAAACTATGTATTCTTGGTGTCATTCTAAGGAAAAAATCTTAATACACATATGTCTTTAAGTCGATTGTTTTAAAATTATAGTAAAAAAGCAAAATTGCATAAAATAAGGTAAGTATTAATTATTTATTGAAGTTAATAATATTATTTATTAAACGATAATATTAAATAATAATTAACTGCTTATAATAATTAAGTGCTTTTCTCGCACTTGTTCGGTAAAGTAAGTCATACATTGAATCGTTGAGAAATAAATCTCTTTCTGCACGCTAAACAGCAATCGAAAATCGAACTTTTGTGAGTAGCATTATGAAAAACAATTACTTGCCTTGTCATAGAAAAAAAATATAAATAAATGTGTTAATAATAATTAATAGTATATTGTGTATCAAGTACGGAAAGTTGACATATGGTCACAAATGCGGAGGATGGACGCACGAGCCGAAGGCGAGTGCGACCACCCCACATGAGTGAACAATTGTCAATCCGCACGTGATACACATACTATTTTGTATTACAAGTGCAGGCAAAGCGCGCTTGTGCGCAAGGTGGCCGATCGCACGCCGCCATCTTGCGGCGGCTCAGCCGTAGGCAATGGCTTTGAACGCAGCTTATTTACTCACCGCGTCGCCGCTAGATGACGGCGTGGGAAATCGGCCGCTTTCCGCACAAAAAACATACACACAAAGTGCCACTTTGCCTGCACGTGTAATACAAAAATAATAAATAAATAAGTAAATAATTGCTTTTGTATCATATGTGTATTAAGATTTTTTTACTTAAAATGACACCAAGAATACATAGTTTCAATGTAGACATCACGTTGCGGGACACCCTGTTTATCCATTTCTAAGAAAGGCATGCAAAGTCGATTATCGCAAATATTGTTGCTGTTTTTTCGCGATACTGATTGGTTGTTGTCTCGATTAACATTGTGTGTTATATTAAGGCTCCTGGATACCCACCGCAGCCATCTTGGATTGATAACATCAGAAGAAAAAATACCATAAAAATTCTTGCGACGTACGTGAAAATAGAAAGATTTTAAAAATACCGGTTAAAATAGATAAAACAGATCCGTAAAATATACCGAAAACTCTTCTTTTATTCGAGTAATCAATAAATAACATGTACATGTCAAATAAAATTGAGCCTAAAGATAAAAACCAGTTGTTTGACAGATATAGAAAAAAATTAATATTTGCTTTCACATATTAAATTATGCCAAATAGAGATGAGTCTTCGATATATATATTTTAACATCACGACAATTTATTATTTTAAACACAAAAACACTGCATCAAAGATGAAAAATAATGCTGTACGTTGCAATAAGAATCTTTTAGTTTACTAAAATGTCATTTTTGCTTATTTATTAATTATATTATTTTTGTTCATTATTGTACATCTTTTATCGATAAAACAATATTGAGATTTTTATTTTCACCGTTTTCAATTAGTCGTTACTGTCAACGCGGACTTGGCAATTGAGTGTGCAGAAGCCTTAAGATTATATACATAATAAAAATTTAGTACGTAATAGACATTTGAGAATTAAAATAAAAATATATAATAAAATTAAGATATAGCTGTTTTAATATAATATACTATAGCATTTTTATTTTTTATTTTAAAAATAATTTGAATTTTATTTCGAGGTATCGCGAGACCGAGGTCACGCGATCAGTGGATTCACTGCGGCATATTAACCGCCCGAGTGTCTTTGGCTCACGGGTGAGTCAAAATAAACAATAAAAAATTGTAAAATAAACAATAAAAAATGATATCAAAGGAGCGCGCGATGTACATAAATTTAATTCATGAATTTCCATTTGTGATGATTAAAACCACAAAAATAATTAACGCAGCAATAAAACGCCAGGCAAACGGCCGCACCGTTAGTACGGGCGCCGCCGCTACGCGACGCACGCCGAGTTCGTTCACCCGTGAGCCAAATCATTCGACGGCTATATATATCGCGCGCGGTTAATTGCCCAGCGAGAAGTCCCTAGTTAAAAACGTCGAATCAACAGCTTTGAATCAAATGGTTTTGGTGTAAAAACCGTTGATTCGACGTCGCTTACTCTTAACTAGTGGATTTCTCACTGGGTGTATAAAATAATAAAAAAAATGATGTAGTAATGATATTATGAATAATAATATATAAGTATAATTTATACAAAGTATATATATATATATATAATATATATATACACTATAAAAGATCAGTTATCATTAAATAGCACACTTACCGAAGCGTAATAATTCATCGATAAATTTGGTAATGCACATGGAATTGAAACAGTGACCGGATGTTGACTTCTTAATATAACATATATTAAAAGCTTTTGCGTGGCCAAGTCGTCGTCGTACCATAATGAATCATAAACAGCTGACGCAATGTCGGTGCTCTAAACAAAGTTTGCATAACACGTTATTTTAAAAAATATTATAACATTTATATTCACTCAATTAATTATGCGCTTTATTAAGGCTCTTGGATACTCACCGCGACCATCTTGGATTGATGACGTCAGAAGCGAGAAAATATACCATAAAAATTCTTGCGACGTACGTGAAAATAAAAATGTTTTTTAATAAAATACCGGTTGAAATGGATAGAACACACTTGTAAAATATACCGAAAATTCTCCTTTTGCTTGGGTTATCAATAAATAACATCCCAGATGGCCACAGTAATTATTATGACATCATTTTGATGGCAAATGATGCATTTTGACATCAAAATGATGTCATAATAATTACTGTGGCTATCTAGGATGTATATGTCGAATCAAATTGAACCTAACCATACGGACGAAAACCAACTGTTTGATAGGTATAAAAAAAAATTAATATTTGCTTTTACATATTAACTTATGCCAAAATGAGAGTCTTCGATATATTTTAACACGACAATTATTTTAAACACAAAAACACTGCACTAAAATAAAAAATAACGCTGTACGTCGCAAGAATCTTTCGGGCTGTCGTTTCTCGCTTAGAAAAAGAGACAGAACTATAATCCGCCTGATGTCGCTACCGTTAAAATTTGGAGTTCTACGGCGAGTATCCAGGAGCCTTAATTGCGCTCGGGCTCTCATAGTCAACTCATCTTATTGAGACGTAATTAATTATTTATTAAATTTTAGCAGAGCCGAAAAAAAAGATTGTATATATTTCAATCATTTAATTTAATATTGTAAGAATTTGTTATCTATAATGTATAAGCTAAATTATAATATAATCTATTTATTAATTAACTTACCGTGTTTATTACATTGTCAGCTGGCCAGGCGTACATGTAAAGTTCTACAAAACCTCCCAAAGCAATCATAAAGTACGTCCATTTCACTGACCATGGTTGCTTCTGTATACATTACCATGTATATAATATTATATACATACACATAAATATACTGTATGACAAATTTCATTAACAATAAGTGAGAGAAATGAATATTTTAATATCTGTATATATGTATAATTATTAATATATATATTTTTATATGTATAATTAGAGAAAGTATTTTGTTCTCTATAATAAAATAAATGAGAACATAAATAAAAAAAGTAATATTACAAAGTAATACAATAAAATAATTAAAGTATTCTTTTTACTTCTTATTATAAAACGGTAATGATGCAAAATATGTAATAATTTTTTTACTCAAAAGAGGATACATATATTATACTTACGCTCATAAATGTAAGATAACCGAATATTACAGCGCCAATACTAAAAGTTACGCATAATAGCGCTATGTAACGAATAGCGAGAGTTACTTCTTTTGCATATCTGTAAGTAACTCATTTTCAGAATATTTTCTAATTATATCCTTAATTATATAATGTTTGTTGTATATAAAATTAGTGTGCATTAATTATTTAATATTTTTTTATATTAATAAAAACGTGCTGTTATACAAATAATTTTATCATTTATAAAGATGAATATTTTAATATTTTTCGAAAAGTTTCATATTAATAATAAAAATAATTTAATTAAATTTTAAGAGAATTGAATGGTATCAATGATAAAAATTACTAATAAAAATATTTTAGCTAACTCCAAATAAATATAAAAAAATTCGATGCAATTAATAAAGATAATGTTAAATTAATAAAAATAATTATTTAAACATACATTTTATAAATAATCCTGATTTTGAAATATATTATGTAAAGACTGAAGAGGTGAAAATAATGTACTTTAAATCATGTGGAAATTGCTTCTGATAATTGATGTTGTTTTAAAACATTTAAAAATATATATACAGAGTGTCCCAATCTTATTGTATCATCCAATGGAAGATTTCTAAGGTTATTTGGAGACGATTTTTCCTGAGCGAAAATGTTGAGAAAGGTCATAATTTTTTTAATATTTCCAATTTTTGAAATCATGTGTCTTTATTAAAATTTTATTTTTACAAGACTTGATAAAAAAATTTATTTTCAATCGTTTATAACTCGAAAATTATTAGCACTTGGATATTTTCGCTGAGGAAAAATCGTCTCCAAATCGTATAAAAAAATCTTCCATTAACAAAGCGGTACAATAAGTCTAAGGGGATATCCTGTATATATTCAAAACATTTTATTTTTTGTATTTAATTTAATCAGCTATTGAGATAAATTCACTAATATATTACGTAAGATTATATTTGAAGTCATTCAAGTTTAAAATAAAAACTGTAAACATATTATCAATTTTTTAAGTAATTTTAAGTAATTTAGATTTTTTTGCCAGTGTGTCGAATTGAAGAGTGTTATTTTTTATTTTTAAGTAATTTCATTATAATATATATAATGTACCTGAGTAATATGTAGTGTTCTCGAGTGTATTTTATGAATTCTTTCATATTCGTCATTGTACGATAGCGTACGGACAAAATGTGAAATCTGGCAGCTACAAACCAAAGTAGAAGAGCAGGAAAACTGTTGGCGCTAACTTGTGTCGCACTTTGATAAATAGTTAACATATGATGTGCGTAGATAATAGTTTTCAATGGTTGATGATGTACATCAAATGGATACTCCGCCGCACTGGGAAACGGTTGTGGCGAAAACAAGGGTGTAGCTATCATACTGAGGGCTGTCATTAATACCCAGCAAAAAATGGTACCTATGATAATCGATATTTATATAATATTGAAATCAACAAGATTTTTTTTATAAAATAACCATTAATTTAACATTTAAAGATTATTATATTTAATAAATAATATCTAAAACAAAATTACTATATTTAAATATTTTTGATAATTTATATAATAACAATAATTTATTTCTTATTTAAAGATTAAATTAATATATTTAATGTCATCAGTAATTATTTTAAACTACTCAGTACTTAGTACTGAGTAATTTAAAATCAGTACTTAGTACTCAGTAATTTCATAAAAATAATAAATTAATATAAAATTAACCCTTCTTCTCTTTCTCTCTCTCTCTCTCTCTCTCTCTCTCTCTCTCTCTCTCTCTCTTCCTTCTCTTTCCTACTATTCCTTACGCTTTCCTTTTTCTCTCTTTTTATAAGAAAAGAGTCTTATTGATTTAGTAAAATTTTTTATAAAAATAAGCTACATGTGTGAAATGGGAAATACTAACTAAAATCAAAATATTAAATAATATAATTAATATTTTATTTGACTTTTGTTAACTTTCTGATCGTTTTATTATTATGTTTAAAGAGTGCTTCCCATTTTCTTATTGAAAAAAAACTTATAGTTTGGAGCAGACTATATTCGAATTTTTGTATTCCTTTCTATTTAAAATATTTAAATAATGTAAGGAATAAATAAGTAGTCTATCTGATGATATAAAGTTAAATATAATAAATGACATGAGATAAGGATAATGTCAAAATTTATAATACTTTAATAAGTAAACAAAGAAATGTTGGTATTTAAGTAGAATATAATACTCTTTTTGTTGTGCAATTTTTCACGCATTTTGTCTATTACTGTCTTTAATTTGTCCAAGTTAAGAGTAATCTGTATTTAATTTAGAAATTTAGTTATATTTACTAAAAATTCGCAATACGCGTTTTCAATTTTACCAGGTGTTCAATACTATCTTTTTTCAATAGAGGCTGGCCAATTTGCAACACGGAAATTCCGAGGAAATACTAACAGATCACGACAAATTTTACGAGCAAAATGTTTAGAAATAAATTATTTAAAATCAATAAAATACAAACCGTCTACCATCCGGACAGTATAATGGATAAAACATGCATACATATAAATAAACTAAAAACATTCAGAAAATTGAAAAGTAAAAAAAAAAGAAAGAATTAAAATATTAAAATATAAATCTTTATCGCGACTCAGCTCAATAACGGTTGCTTTTTAGGAAATCGTGGAAGCTCAAAATCTCAGAATCATCACATCCATCCGAATCGATATTTGCATACTTGAGCAAACTTTTAGGCAAACATCCGTAATAAGGGAAGGGTTGTCCTTCCTCGAAAGTTGTTACTGCATATCTTAAGGGGATGGTGAAAGCGTTCCAGCTGGGCCGGGGCACTTCTATCACTCTTCGACGGCCAGTGATAACATCTACAGTTACCCGCAATGAGTACGGAGTATTTGGATTTCGATAAATCGCGGCATAAGCACGTTCGACGGGGTCACTCAGTAACTCGAAACCCACAACGGGTTCGCGTTTATGGTGCATACAACAGAGGTCGCAGAGAGGGACACGCCTTCTCGGGCGTAAGTGATATCCGTATATGTGACAAAATTAGAATATAAATTGCACATGATCAACGTCGTATGTATGTCAAAAAGAGACAAACAGAGACTGAGGAATAAAAGTCAACACAACATTCTTACAAGGCAATATATACGGACACACTAGACCGAAAACAACAAAACATTTTACAATATCGTTCCAAATAAGTAGAACTAGAAAAACAAATTAAAAGACATAAATAACACGATGTACAAAATAACCAGTGTTATGCTTAGATAATTTTAAAATTAGCTAGATAAAGATGAGTAAAAGAAAAATAAAGATGATTTTGTTTTTAATTTATCTAGATAAAAGATAAAATTATATGGCGATTTATCTAGATAATTTTCTAGATAATAATTTTTAAAATTGGAAATACAATTATAAAAAAATGTAAATTATAAAAAGGATATAAAAATATATGTATTTATATTTTTATTACTTACTGTTTAAGTTTTACTATTTAAGTATGTTTATTTTTATATGCTATGATTCTAAACAAAAATTATCTGAAAATTATTCTAAATAATTTAGTATAACATTTTTTCATCTAAGCTGCACACACACACACACACACAGTTATAGATTATACATATTTTTATAATCTATACAAAGATAAGATGCCACCAAAGTTTTATCTAGATGATTATCTATATAATTTTATTTAGATAACAGCAAAATAACAAAGACAAATTTTTCAAAAGTAATTTATTTATTTATCTTAACGGCATTGAGTAGAATAATTATTATTTTTGTTGCAACAATATTGGTAGTATGGATTATCATTCAAAATAAAATAGACAAAAAAGACTTAACTCCTAATCCGGCCATGATTTTATGTCTTGTATGTAGCATACAATAGTATAATTAAGATGATATGAACAAAAAATTTTATTGATATAAATAAAAAATGTTAATATTTAATTTATTTAATTAATTAATTTTATATATATATATATATATATATATATATATATACAGGGTTTGTCCGGAAAGTAATGCGTCGCATTTTTTTGTGACGCGACTATACATCGCAGAGCGATGGGACCGGTTGGGGAGGAAGGGGGGTACCCTTAGCTTTCCAACGGTAGGTCGCTCAATTGTTTCCATGCGCTTGGAGGGTTAGGACGGCTTATTCTGTGAACCTCTGCTTAGTGGTCGCGTCGAACTTGTGATGGAGAGAACGATAGAGCAACGCTATGCGATAAAGTTTTGCGTGAAGCTGGACAAGACGCCGCTGGAAACTTTTGAAATGCTCAAGAAAGTTTTCGGGGACGATTGCCTTTCCAAATCGCAGTCAAACAGATGGCACAAGATGTTTTGCGCATCGGTCAACACTCTGGGCACAAGTTTTGCGCAAATCTTCCGCATGGCCAAGTCTTCCGATACAATCTCGTGAACAATCGTTTTCGGCAAGTTCAATAATTCCGACATTAAGCGAACATTCATTCGACGGTCTGAATTCAATAATTGGCGCACACGAGTCACATTGTCGTCCGTTCGCGATGTTGACGGGCGTCCTGCGCGGGCCTCGTCGGCGACCTCCTTCCGACCTTCTCTAAACATCTTGTGCCATCTGTTTGACTGCGATTTGGAAAGGCAATTGTCCCCGAAAACTTTCTTGAGCATTTCAAAAGTTTCCAGCGGCGTCTTGTCCAGCTTCACGCAAAACTTTATCGCATAGCGTTGCTCTATCGTTCTCTCCATCACAAGTTCGACGCGACCACTAAGCAGAGGTTCACAGAATAAGCCGTCCTAACCCTCCAAGCGCATGGAAACAATTGAGTGACCTACCGTTGGAAAGCTAAGGGTACCCCCCTTCCTCCCCAACCGGTCCCATCGCTCTGCGATGTATAGTCGCGTCACAAAAAAATGCGACGCATTACTTTCCGGACAAACCCTGTATATATATATATACATATATATATATATATACATATATATATATATATATATATATACTAGCTTTTCGGACCGCGCTTCGCGCGGTCCTCAAAGCCTTTCTCATTCCTCATAGCCTATATTATAAATCCGTTTTAACACAAAAAATTAATTCTTTTTTGTATTACCGCGAACTACTTCCACATTTGTTGTCCGACTTTCACGAAATTTATATCAAAATAAATGTTTAAATTTTTTTTGGATGACTACTATGTTATCTATTTCTTTCTCCCAGATATTTTATTTTACACCGCGTTTTGCATATATTTAAATATTTATTATATATTTTTATTTTTATTTTCTTGTTTATTTTAATTTCCACACAATTTCATATTTTTTAAATATAAAACATTATTTTAGTTAATATATACTTTAAATATTTTTTTTATTACTTAATTATTATATCCTTTTTTACATTTTACTCAATTTTTTATTTCTAATGTACCCACCGCTAACCCGCTATTATTAGCTCTCATACAATGTCATAATTCTTCAATTTACAAAATTTCCCTGTATATTACATTTTTTGTAAAACATTTTTCACTTTCTTCAATTAAATGTCCTTGATTGCTACATTCATCAATTTTTTACACTTTCTCTTTTTGTTGCTCTAGAAAATGCCACATAAAGTTGACCATGAGCAAATACAGGATGTGGCAAATAAATTCCAATTTTTTCTAAACTTTGTCCTTGTGATTTATTTATTGTCATAGCAAATGACACTCGAATAGGAAACTGTCTTCGTTTAAACTTAAATGGCAGTTCCAAATCATTTGTAATTAAATCTATCCTCGGAATCATAACAATTTGTCCTCGAGCAGGACCTGTTATAACTTCTACATAAATTATATTAATTATTTTTTAAATTAGTTATAATAAATCTTATACCATTACAAAGTCCTTTTTTAGTATTTAAATTTCTTAATAAGATTACTGTAGCACCAACTTTTATTTTAAGCCGATGAACTGGCATTCCAGAAGGTGTCAGTGAGTTTAGAAACTCAGTTGGAAAATTTAATTGCTCCTGTGGATCATCACTTACAATACAGTCAATAAAGGCAAATTTTTTAAAAATTACTTCTTGGTGTGACCAAGTCAATAAATGCGTATGCACATGGGTGCGTGGATACGTGGGTGGGTGCGTGGGTGGATAAATAAAGTGATAAAAATTTGTTAAAATCATATAGTAGCCATCCCGGACAAAATTTGAGTACAAATTTCGAAAAAGTCTGTGAATAAATGTTTGAATGCGTGGGTAGATGCATGGGTGGGATAAAACTTAAAAGAACCACACAGCAGCTTTCTCAGAAAAATTTGCAACATTTTTGTACCAATTTCGTGAAAATTGGTCCATAAATGCGCATGCGTGTGGGTGAATGCGTGGGTGGAGGTGTAACACTTGAAAAAACCACATCGCCCCCATCTCCAAAAAATTTGCAACATTTTGGTACCAATTTTTACAAAAATCCGTTCATAAATATGCGATTGCGTGGGTGGATGCGTGGGTGGGGGCGTAAACTTAAAAAACCCACACAGCAGCTTTCTCAGAAAAATTTGCAACATTTTTGTACCAATTTCGTGAAAATTGGTCCATAAATGCGCATGCGCGTGGGTGGGTGCGTGGGTGGAGGTGTAACACTTGAAAAAACCGCATCGTCGCCATCTCCAAAAAATTTGCAACAATTTGGTACCGATTAAAAAAAAATCGGTTCGTAAGTATGCGATTGCGCGGGTGGGTGCGTGGGTGGAGGCGTAAACTTAAAAAACCCACACAGCAGTTTCCTCAGAAAAATTTGCAACATTTTGGTACTAATTTCGTGAAAATTGGTCCATAAATGCGCATGCATGTGGGTAAATGCGTGGGTGGGTGAGTGGGTGGAAGTGTAACACTTAAAAAAACCGCATCGTCGCTATCTCCAAAAATTTTGCAACATTTTGATACCATGTGTTCAGAAATATTGCAAAAAAAATTTTTTTTGCAAAAACATACCCTCCTCTGAGGAAAAAAAATAAAAATTAAAAAATTAAAAAAAAAAACCCACAGCAGCCACCCCCGAAAAATTTGCAACATTTTGGTACCAATTTCGAGACAATCGGTCCACAAATGCGGAAGTAGTTCGGGTACAGACAGACAGACAGACAGACGGACGGTGCTTATATATATAGATATATATATAAACTCGTTAAAATAAATTAGGCTTAACATCCACAGAATTAATTTCATAAGTTTATATTTAAAAGATATAGTTTTTTGTACATACCATAAAACGATTTGCATCTGTCAACATAGAGTTGCAAAATTTCTTTTTCATATTTTTCGGCTTGTTGGTAATAATCCTCCATTTCCAAAACAATGAACTGCATTTATCAAAACGTATGTTAATAATTTTGTTATTGATTTATGAATGCGTGTGAATTAATATTGGAATATTTTATTATTGATTAATAAATCAACTTAAGTTCATATTATATATGACAAAGTTGCAAAATTTATGGCGCAAAATCTAGAAAATAATAAGTATTAGAATAATTATGTCTAATAAATATTCATTTTATAAAATGTAAAGTTTTATTAATCAATAGAAATGTATAAGACTCTTGATAATTATAATTTAAAGGTAAAATAAAGGATGGCTAAAGCACGATGTTGGAAAACGCGAAAGTAATTACTTTATTACATTTATATATCCAAAAACATTAGCGGACGTTTTAAATCTTTAGATCACCTTCAAAATTATAAATAATTACAAAAAATTGGATAAAAGATAATATAATAAATAAATATAGACATGTCACTAATATTAGAAAGAAAAAATTTAAAGTAAAAACGAATAACATAATAAATACGCAAACGGTCGGTGTCAGCAGTTATATGCATATATAAAAGCGACATGTTAAATTAAATTAAATCCGTTAAATTAAATTAAATTACGTCGTCCACGTAGCACAAATATTACTTTGATCTTAAAAGTTCCGACATTTAGGTCGAAACTTTTTAATTTGTTGAAATTTAAATTTGCTTAATATTGAGTCTTACTAAATTTTCAGTTGTCATATTTTTTATATGTTACTATTAATTTATACAAAATGGATCATTTTAATTTTACGTTAAATATTTTTTTCTCATGCCTTTTATAAAAAAATGTTTCGTATAAAAGTTGTTTAAAAAAGATCTTTAAGAGGGAAGAAGGGAAAGGTGGTCAAGATGGGCAAGGTAGCAATATCAATTTGTTTATCAAGTGTACCACTTTCTAGAAATTAACTAATTACTTTATTTAAAGATAAACCGATTTTTTTAAACAATATTATAAAATATTATGACTTATAGAAAAATAAAAAACTTCAATTAATACATATAATTGGATCTGTCTCTATGAAATCAACAACTTTTATTTTATTTATTTAAAAAAATTAGTGAATTTGCCAAAAATGGCGTCATCTGTAAATAGAACAAAAGATATTTAAGAGAATATTAAAATGGCACTCTATATGTATAAAGATAAATATATTTACTCTCTTAATTTTTAAACATACTTTTTTCAAAAATCAATACAAATAAAAATACATAAAACTTCATAGGATATCTATTTCTACAATTTGAAATTACATATCCTTACAAAGAATAAGTTTCTAAATACTTAACTAGTTATTGATTTCATATTTAGTTTTCATTACTTTTTAGAACAAAATTATTCCTTAATCTTTATTTGTATGGAAAAATTGTTTTTTGAGGAAAAATTTTATAAAAATTTAGTTTTTTAAGATAAATATTGAACTATTGTTTTATAAGTTATTTTTTATATACTTGGTAGGAAAAAGTGTGCTAAATCGTACTCCTTAAAATAAATATTAAAATTGTAATAAAACTATCAAAGAAATGGCAACATTTTTTATTTATTTAGTGCTATGGTTCTTTGTCAATGATATATAAGTATAAACATGCTAAACATAAATTCAAACTATTGTTTCATATCATAAATTAAAAATTGTAATAAAGTAGTATTTAGTACGTTTTACAATATTACTAAATTGTACGTTCAAACTTCCATTGCTTCATCAAATTTGAATAAAAAAATAATCCTAAAACATTTTGCCGATTTTTCAACGCTTCCATATGCAGGATTAAATAAAATTAAAAAATGCTTTGGAAAAAAAATTTGCTTATACAACAGCGTTAACACCTTAAAATATTTTATATATCTTACCTGCAAACGTTTGTTCTGCATCGCGAAAAGTATCAGTTGCAGTAGAATTTGTAAGGCGGCGCTCAATTCGCATCCCAATTTCATCAAAGTCATGTAATCCTTATTCTTACAGATTGTCCATATCACCGCGACGATAAATAACGTCGAGTTCGCGCAGCAGAAATATCGAAAGGCACTGTGAAGAAATCGTTGAAGTCTCGTCGCGTTCGGCGACAGCGGCCAACAGCAGGCGAACCTCAGGTATATCTTCAGGAAAGCGATCACCCTATCCAACGTTACCTTTTCCTCCATAACATACACGGAAGTGTTCTTCTTGCTAATTCACGGCGAAAACTTAAGCTGGCATAACACATGAACTTTAATCACCCTCGCGATATCGTCGAGGTTATTTGCTCGAATTATCGCGCGGTGCATAAAATATAAGTAACGCGTTGCATCCTATATTCGAAATAGAACGCATCAATTTTGCGAAAGATTTCAACAAGTGATATATTAGAAAATATTAAATTTAATTTTTTGATTCTTAACACACTCTGGCTACAATTTTATAAAATAATAATCTTAATAGTTGCTAAAATAAAATTAATAAAAGAAAAATATATTTTGTGAAAAAAATATATACTTTTAATATTGAATACTTTTCATAATTTTGATATTTTGTGTAATTACTTAATATTCTTATATATATATATATATATATATATATTAGAATATATATATATATATATATATGTAAAATATATTTTGAAATTCTCATACTTCGAAATTTGCAGAAGTTATTTTACTTTAGGAAATGTGAGAGATTATGTGTAGGACATGATTCCTGTTTTATTATTTTATTAAGACTATTAAGAGAAACTTTGAGGGAAGAGTTTTGCGTACAATATTGAATTTGTAATACTGGCGAGAGAAATGTTATATTCTCAGTTAAATTGATTGCTACCTGGAAAGTTATGCAGGTGAAATAATTTTCATCGATACTGACTAGATATCTTGTCTTGGATTGCTTTCCCACTGTATAAGAAGGTAATGATCATTAATTAATAATGTGCATCGAACATTACATTATCTTCTGCCTACAAACGCTTTCAGACTTTACATTGCGTTTATGTAATTACAGACTAACGGCAATTGTCTGGTAATAATTAAATATAATATATAATGAAGTGTAATTAGCAATAAAACAGACACACAATTGTAAAACTTCTTTCTAGCAATTGATTATATTTAAAAATTTTTTAAATTGTCTAGATAAAAAAATGTGTGTATATGTGTGTGTGTATATATATACACATATGTGTATAAAACGAATTCAGTTCAATTTCGGATTTGAAGCTCCTAGCTCCTCACCGATCATATTGGAATTGACGTCAAAGACGAGAAAACACTAAATGCTAAAAATTTTTGCGTTTTATTTTTAGAAAGAAAGATATTTCTATGAAACATTAAATGGCTTTAGCACATTTAAAATAGTACAAAAACTAACCTTTTCTCTTTATAATCAATCAACAGCTGTAAAATGACTATAAAAGGTGCAATCTGTCTGGTTCTTGCACATACGCAATCATTCCGTCTGATATTACGAATAAAACAAATAATTTTTCTGTAATTTATGGATATTTTGTAATTAAATAATATTATATTATAACATTATGCCAAATTTTTTCATGTATGAAAATTAAAAGCTCCCATTAAAGTATCTTTATGTGCAAATTTTATTATAATCCTGCAGGTCTATAACATAGCAGACATTTCATAAAAAATACAGCTGCTCAAATTTTTACTATAATTAAAATTTTTCTTCTACTCTTGACCCATCATAAGTCGCACAGCTGCCATGTATGAAAAAACAGTTGAGATATACTAAAAAAATAAAAGAAAAAAATCGATATTATTAATAATTTTTTAAAATTCTAATTGTAAGACACTGTAATTATTTATTTGAAAAATGAATTAAAATTTGGAGCAAATCTTGTTGTTAAAATGCAAAAATTGAACGATTTGTATATTATATTATAATATGTATATATATATTAAATATATATAATGTATATAATGTATATATAATGTATAAATACATATACAATACAATACATACACATAATACATATAATATAGATATAATATAGCTAAAATATAATTATTAAATAATATGCTCTTACCGACGCGTAATAATTCATGGATAAATTTGGTAATGCACATGGAATTGAAATAGTGACCGGACGTTGACTTCTTTGTATAATACGTATTAAAATCTTTTGCGTGGCCAAATCATTGTTATACCATAATGAATCATAGGCAGCAGACGCAATATCACTACTCTAGTAAAAAAATTTTAAGAAGCACATTAATTAAAAAATTGAAACACATTATTTATATTTATAACATACAATTCATTTTATAAATAACCAACCGTGCTCATTACATTATCAGCTGGCCAGGCATACATATAAAGTTCTACAAAACCGCAAAAAGCTATCATGAGGAACGTCCATTTCACTGACCATGGTTGACGCTATTATATGTAAATATTGGAAAGAGATAATAATATATATACATATGTATATAGCAGATTACTTCTTTTAATTACATGCATACATATGCATACACGTTTATATTTGTTACAATTTATTTTCTGTTTAATATAATAAGGTATAGTAACATATCAATACATTGTATATACTTACATATGTATATAATAATATGTCTCGTCACTTATTATATTAAATAAAAAACAAATTGTAACAAATTTCATACATGTGTATAGGTATATGTACCTACCTATCCATGTAATTGAGAAAAGTAATAAATATAATAAAAATATAAATATAATAAAAATTTAAATAAATAAATATAATGACAATTTTTTGCAAAAAATGTGTAAAATACTTTTCACACGAGATTATAGTGCAATTACTTACGCTCATAAAGGTAAGGTAACCGAATATTACAGCGCCAGTACTAAAAGTTACGCATAATAATGCTATATAACGTACTGCAAGTGTAACTTCTTGTGCATATCTGTAAAAGAGAATTTAATTTCAGGGTAATGCTGTAAATAAAAGTTACAAGCAGTATGATATAAACAAAAACATCAAAATTCAAAAAATTTACAAAGGGCCCTATTATGAATAATTACTTTTTTTATATCGTTTTAAATAGTTTTAAATTGTTTAAAATATTACTATAGAAGTAATAAGCACGAAACACTATAAAACACTAAATACTAAACAATAAAAAATAATAAACATTAATAAAGATTATCTAATTATTAGTAAAAACATAAAATATAACTACAAAAAAGTTACCTTTATTTTTCAAAACTAAAGACTATCTCAAACAATTCCAGATAAATATATAATGTATGTAGAAACATTTATAGCATAACTAAAATTTAATTTAAGATAATGTTTATAAAATGTTTTTAAAACATTTTTGAAAATATTTTATATATTATCTTATTAAACATTTTTATATCCTATTAAATTATTCAGTTTTCTCATTATTATTAATAAATAATCAAACATGCATGCATATAAATCTTTAATTTTGCAATCACATTTTTTATCTTTTTTTGTATTCCTTTAGAATATTAATATTCAAAGCCACAATCTCCACTTGATTCCTCTCGACCAATAGAGCCAAACGCGATGTTATTGCGATAATTATGAAGGAAAGAACATTTTTGGAAAGGAATTTGAATCCTATGGTTGGGATCTCAGAAATTCCCCCTGTTCCTTCTCTTAACATCCCCTGTAAAGAAATAGGCGAGAAAAATATTGGTCCGAAAGTCGGCTGAATCGGGAAAGTCCCGATTCAGCCGACTTTCGGACCAATATTTTTCTCGCCTATTTCTTTACAGGGGATGTTAAGAGAAGGAACAGGGGGAATTTCTGAGATCCCAACCATAGGATTCAAATTCCTTTCCAAAAATGTTCTTTCCTTCATAATTATCGCAATAACATCGCGTTTGGCTCTATTGGTCGAGAGGAATCAAGTGGAGATTGTGGCTTTAAAAATTAAAAGAGCTGACTAAATAAGTATTCGCATTATTAATATTCAAATTTGAAACGTTTTCTTAATAAATTTTATAAAAGTTAAACTAAATATTGTGTAGATTCTTCTTAAATTCTTTTATTCTTTAATCCTTTTTTATAAATTAAATTATAAATTAAAAAGTTTATAAATTAAAAAGTTATCGAAATTAAATATTTTACTAATGTTATTTTACTAATAATCATATAATAATATTAGATAATCAGTAATATCTTTATTTTTTAATCTTTCTCTTATTTTTTATAAATTTTATATATTTTTAGTAAAAAATAATTAAGTGTGTTTAGATGTAACAAATTTTAAAATTTAAATCAATACAAACATAAGTACTCACAAGGTAAATTAAAGGAAAGCGAAAAAGAAAATCAAATAGAAGCCATAAGATTAAATAAAAATATACATAGGTATATGTACATAGTTTTTTTAATGAGAATGTAAATATTGCTCATTACTCTAGTAGCCCTGTTAATTTAATTCATTTAGTTTTTCTTATATAATGTTCTTACAAATGCATCTATTGAATGCATTAGAATATATATATATATATATATATATATATATATATATATATATATATTATATTTTCCAATTCTTGCTATTAATTCAGAAAGAATATATTGTTTTTTGTAATCTTGTAATTTTTCTACATATTTCTTATGTACCTGAGTAATATAGTATGTTCTTGCGTGTACTTTATGAGTTCTTTCATATTCGTCACCGTACGGAACTGGTCGGACAAAATTTTAAACCTAGCTGCTATAAACCAAAGTAGAAGAGCAGGAAAAGTATTAGCGCTGACTTGTATCACACTTTGATAAGCCGTCAATACGTGATGCGCATAAATGAGAGTTTTCAATGGTTGATGTTGTACATTGAATGGATATTCTGCTTCACTCGGAAACGATTGCGCCGAAAACAATGGTGCGGCTATCACGCTAATACCTGTCATTGCCAACCAGCAAAGAATGGTACCTATAGCAAATATATATATAATATGTGTATGTGTATAAAAATTATTAATTGATTATTTATGATAATACTCAGTAATTTTTTACTTTTTATAATATGTCTAATATAGTATCCTTTTATTGTATTTAATAGTAAGATCACTGTCATTTTTGTGTATGTGTGTAATATAATAAATATCTATACTTAAAAATATATAAAATCTTTCTTTTTATAAGAAAAAAAAGAATACTATGATAGCTATTCAATCATTATATTAGTAAATTATCGTAAATATGTGTAAAAATATGAATAAAAAATGAAGTATTTTATTTAATGTACATTTGACTTGTTTTAACGTTAGAAAAATAAATGTAACTAATTTATATATATATAATATATTTAAATAATTGTACTCTTATATATACATACCATAAAATGGTTTGCATTTGTCAACATATTTTTGAAAAATTTCTTTTTCATATTTTTCCGCTTGCTTATAATAATTCTCCATTTCCAAAACAATAAACTACAAATTTATCGAAACTGATATTAATAGTTTTGTTACTGCTTTATAAATAATAATAATAATATTATAAACAATGATTATTATAAAGGTTTTACTAAGTTATTTTTTTCTTTCTCTTTATGTGTTAATTAATCTTATATATTTGTTTATATATGACAAAATTGCAAAAGATGCATAAAAGATAACAAGTATCACAAAAATACGTTTAAAAATTATTTATTATATAAGATAAGTAAATTTATAATTATATTTATACGCACATAAATATATATATAATTGTACAAAAGCTAGCTTTAATATATATGCGGATACAAATATATTACAAATTTTGTTAAACTTTTAGAAGAATAGGATATACATATAGGAGAAAGGTATGCTAAATCGTACTAGCTAAGATAAATATTAAAATTATTATAAAATCAAAGAAATAACAAATTTTTTTATTCATTTAAAACTATGGTTATTCGTCAATAATATACATAAACATGCTAAACATAAATACTTTATCATTGTTTTATATTGTTAATTAAAAATTAAAAAAAGATAGTATTTGGTATGATTTATATTATACCGGTTTGCTAAATTATACCAATGTGTTTTCAAATTGTATTTTTATAAAAAATGAAATAAAAAAATAAAATTCAGATTAATCAATAAAATTAAAAATTGTAAAAAATGAAGTTTTATTTCCTACAAAACTTCTCAGTCTGCAACAAAACATATCTATAAGAATGTTATATTTATAATCATAAATTCTCTTAAAAATTTAACAAAAATACTTTTGTTATACAAAAATATAAATGATTATTATCTCAATATAATTATAAAATTTTATATTTTCTTCAGTCGTTTATTTAAATATAAAAAAACTAAGGCCTAAAAAAATTAATTTAGTAAATCGCATTAGGGTACGATAAAAAAAAAAGTTAGTGATACGATGTTTTACCGAACTTCCAGTGCTTCGTGTTTATGAATAAAAAAATAATCTTAAAACATTTTGCCAATTTTTCAACGCTCCTATGTACAGTATTAAATAAGATAGAAATATGCTTTAATAATAAATTTATTTGTTTATCTTTTTCAATAATAAAAAAATAATTTTAACATGTATTTATATACAAATTTATGTTAACTTTTTGTCTTACTATTAATTGTCAACCGTCTTTTGCAAAAACAGCATTTCAACTTTTTCATGGAAAAGATGTATAAAATCTCTTACCTGCAAACGTTTGTCCTGCCAAGCAAAAAGCATTATCTGCAACGGGACTTGCGAGACAGCGCTCACTTGACATCCCAACTTCATCACCAGGAGCACGTCGTCGCTGTGGTTATAGAGGGTCCACGCGGCCGCGACACTGAGTATCGTCGCATTCGCGCAGCAAAAGTATCGAAAGGCAGTATGAAGAAGCCTCTGAAGCCTCGTCGCGTTCGACGGCAGAGGCCAACAGCACGCGAACGTCAGGTATACTTTCAGAAACGCGATTACTCGATCCAGCGTTGTCTTATTCTCCATAATAACACACGGAAGTGCCTCGACGCGACTCACAAGGGATATTCAAGTAGACATAATGCGAACTTTAATCATTCTCGTGATGTCGATAGCTTTATATATTCGTGTAAAACATGTAATGACACTCTGTCGTGTGCGAGACGCCAAGCATTGCATAGGATATGAACAGCATTATCTATTATATCCTACATTCTCGGCGCGAAGTGCATCGATTTCAGTGTATGTGATAGGCTATTAAAGAACAGGCTGTTTTGATGATTACAATTCTGTAAATTAATCTGTTAAATAATTACTAAAATTTACGTACTGAAAAAATCATATAATATATTGTATAATTAATATATGATAATAATATAATAATTAAATATTTTGATAGAATGTAGCTTTTAACATTGCAAGCTCTTCTTTAATATTTCAATATTTTTATGAAATTACTTAATGTTTTACATACACATATGAATTCGAAACTGATACCTTTTGAAGTTGCGAAAACTGTTTTACTTTTGAAAATGTGGAAGCCTATTTGTAAGACGTTTGAATTTGTGCTCATTTCATTAAGATTATTCATGAAGTTTTACGTATAATGTACTGAAGTAAAACAGCATTTATGTGAAACTGCTGACGATCTTAGTTATTACGATTGATTATTACCTGGAAAGTTATTTTCGCGGAGAAATAATTTTCATCGGTACTGTGTAACTAAATACCACCTCTTATTGTCATTAATTAATCATACGATATCGAACCTAACATTGGTTCAGACCTACAAACACTTCCATATACTATATTATGTTTCCAGATACTATATTACGTTTGTAATTGCAATCTAATGGTATATAATTGTCTAGTAATAATTAAATCCAGTGTAATAGCAATAGCGATTACAAGCTATTATAATAAGGTGGTTAAATAAAACAAATTTAACTCATTGTTAGTAGTAATATGATGTAGACAGGAATGATCTGTAAAATTAATGAACGGCTTTCATATTTTTATTTAATGATTATAAATTTTAAATGTTACACTTTTATATTTTTCTTTAATTTGTTACTTTTATTATTAAATGCAGAATATAATAAACAATCAAATATTGAATAAAAATTGTAATACTGAATAAAATAGTAGGTTTTGGCAATACAATTTAAGAAAAATGCAATTGTACTTATTAATATTACTAACAATTACAAATACATATATAACTTATTTCTTATTTGTTCGATAAATATGTACATGTAATATATATATATATATATATATATATATATGTACATATTATTTATTAAAATTATTTCATAAAAATAATTTGTTATTATTACATATCTTTTTGTACAAAGTAATTTGTATTGTTACTTAAAAAGTAGTCATTATGTCTATAATTCTCGGTGTCTTTTTAGTGCTAGTACACATAAAATTAAATTGATAAGAAATTTCATATTTCTAAATTATGTTTTTATCAAACTATAAAAATAATATAACAATATAATAATTTCAATATAGATTGCTATAGATACATATGTAATAATATATGTAAAACTGTATGTGTGTGCATATATTTATACTATTTTTATACGGTTACTACCTGACAGAGTATAAACTATAATTATTATTATTTATTGAAGTATATTAGGGAATTGCCAGTACAGCACGCTACGCGCGGAAGTTGAGAAACTTGTAAAAGTGCAAGCGAAGATGTTCGACTTTGAACTTGCTTTACTTGCACCTGGACTTTGGTCGCACATCGAGCTCGAAAATACAGGGACCTGTATCTAGGTATCCCTACCAAAAATCTGCAGAACAGCAAAGAATGAAAGACCAGTCGCGATCGCGCACCGGGCAGTAGTGTCAGTAGTAACAAGAAGACAAGTACAGAGATACGTAAAACTTGCGATAAGTAATTGCGGTCAAAGTCAGTCGTGTGCGATTCTAATAAATTTGTATGTTGATGTTTGTGAAAGACAGTCCAATTTGAAAAAAAAAATAAATAAATAAAAATATTGTCAGTATATTTTTAAATTCCAACTGTGTAAAGAATCCTAATATTGGAAGTTCCAATCTCCTTTTCGGCAACGATTCTAACATTTTCGTGGCACAATAAAATTATTGGTGGCTTTTCAGAGGATTGTCACCGAACTCTTGAACAAACTAAGACCTACAAAAACAAATACTGTTAAAATAGACATGTCAGTACAAAACTGATGAGAAACCAACTGACGCCACAACACAGCAACAAGAATAGCGGACAATCCAAACAGTAAGAAAATCATCAGGATCAACTCTCATGGAAATCTATCACTAGTAAGTCCAAATAATCACTTATTTCGAGTATTTAAATTACTGTATATCAGTAATTTAAGTATTGTATATCAGTAATTTAAGTACTGTATATCAGTAATTTAAATACTCGAAATAAGTGATTATTTAAATTTACTAGTAATAAATTTCCATAAGGGAAGCGACTGAAACCAGAGTAGAAATGATAGCGTCCAAGGTAGAGATGTAAAAAAAAATCGATTTTTAAAGATCGATTTGTGTGTCACCATATATCGATTTTTTAGATCGATTAGATCGTGATACAATCATAAAAATTGTGAATCAATTTTCACTGAAACTATATTGCATTTTTTATTTTTAATCAGAAAGAAATATTTTTATCGGCTCTCAATATTAAGAATATAAATATGATGTTTTTTAAATCGGCCAACAGAGTCAAAGCACGAAAAATTAATTATTCGGAACTGTATCTCTTGGTTTGAGATCACTAAGTTCCATATATAAAGCGGGAATTTTATTTTTAACTTTAATTTTATTTTAATTTTATATGCGTTCACTTTATTACTTTTCTTCATTTGAAATATTTGTATTGATATTAAACATGACATAAATCTATATATCTGATTCAAATACTTAAATTGAAAATATTTTTAAATTAAATATTTTATTTTAAAAAAATAGCAAAATGAATTAAACGCATTTAGTAAAATTAACTTTTTCTCAATGTAGGTAAAGTATGTATTATGTAACAATGTATTAATTTTTTAATAAAGTATATTAATATTATTATATATTTTAATAATCTTTAAAAATATAAACCAACAATATTAATCCTTCTTTTTTAAATATAACTAATTTTTCAAAATCTTAACATATAAATGTCAATTTGACAATGAGTTATCACCAAGAGTCTTCTACTTTCTTGTATTTGTTTTGTCAATCTTTTATTATTTGCACAAAAATATGCGCTTTTAAATTTTTAAACTGTCTTTCTACATACTGATTTTGAATTGCGATCTTATTTGAATCGATTGTTTCAGGTTCGATTTTATCGTGAATCGATTTTTAACCTGGCGATCTGAATCGATTAGAAAAACACTTCTTTAGAAAAATTGGTATCCCTAATCCAAGGACCAAGGCCGCTATGACAACGTCATGGGCAACGCATCATGTGGAGCAAGGAACTGGAGTATCATCTGTCAATGTTGGACCTCCAGCTACATCAACACCCATAAATGACCTGCAGCAGCGTCATCAGTCGACGTATAGCGATGCAAGTACCGTAAGTCGGGAATTTTATTATTGTAAGATGCGAATGTCAGAAAGCACTAACAACTAGACAGTCGACTGCGAACCCATTGTGGTTACCGAGCGAACCTGCGAGACGAGCTGTCAGAAAATCATCAGTAACGCAACAAAATAACGTGCGTAGAAATTTAGAATATTCGAGCAACAGCGAAACCGAGTTATCCTCGAACGTTGTTAACAAACGCGAATTTCCGTTTACTAGTTTTGACGGAAGCCCATTCACCCCATATGAAAGTCGACAGAAAAACCGTATGTTAGCAAAGCTCCAAATCGAGTATCTTTGAAAAGGGAATTTTTACTATCTTCTTACACAAGCAACATTTTCGACGAAAATACTCAAACGGGAAACATTGCTGCAAATATACCTGTCACCATCGTAGACGACGAAACAAACGGACTCCGACAAATTAGCAACCAAATAGGACGAGGTACAAGCAAAAATAGGACCGACCTGCAGCTTCTCAACATTTTGAAAGAAATATGCGCAAAAGTAAATTCTCTCAATCGGCGAATAACGCAATTGGAGAATAAAATAAATATAAAATCACACGACGACATAAGAAAGAATCGACGAAGCAGCTCATCGTATTTTTATCGTTGAAAGAAGCGAGGAAGATGATACCAGAATTCGACGGTACGTCGCAAAAACGACTGCGAGAATTTTTAAACATCAGCACGTACGCCATTCAAAATATTAATCCCGCGGAAGAAAAATCGTTGGTGCAAGCACTTTTATGTCTAAAGTTAAAGGTAAAGCCTTAGAAGATTTCGAAAGGCGAGATATCCAAACGTTCGAAGAACTAAAGCAACAACTTAAGGTGTGTTACCAAACAAACAAGGAAAGCACGGCCATTTACAAATCAAATTCAATTCGCTTAAACAAAAAGTAACGAATCAGTACAAACATTCGGGTGACGCGTCGATAAACTCGCTATGAAATTATATGAGTCCATGACAGAGGACGAAGATTATTCCGCCGCAGAAAAACGAATGATTTTTCAAACTGTACAAAAGCAAGCGTTGATAAACTTTCAAATCAGATTATACAACGACGACGTGAAGATACTCGTCCGTTCACAGCAATACGCGACGCTTCGAGAAGCGATAATCAACGCGAGCGGGGAAGAAAAATTTATTGCAAGAAATAGAGACGTATCTATCAGAAGTCGGCATTACACTTCTACGCGACAAATTATATAGATGATCATCTAGATGCAATTTTGGTATCTCATTTTTTTATATAGATATTATAAAAATATATATTATCTATATCCGTATTTTACATGAAAAATATTGTTATCTTTACTAAATTAAAATAATTTTAGAATAATGTTCAGATAATTTGATTTAGTCATAGCACATAAAAATACTTAAGTAATAGAAATTTAAACAGTAAATGATAAAAACTTAGATTTATTTTTTTACTTAGACTATAGACGTCTGTCGCGGCTAAACAATAATAATAGCAATAATGACAAGAAGACAAGAATGGAAATATGTAAAATTACAATAAATAATCGATAGGCGGTTACCGATAGAATTGAAATTGTCATATATCAGTATTGGAAGGCAGTATTAAAATAAGACAGTCTAGTTAAAAATTAAACAAACCGATTTAATTATAATTAAATATATTATCATAGAGTAATATATTTTCAAGTTCCATAAAATTCTAGTATAGAATCCAATTTAACATTCTTTTCGGCAATGATCCTAATTCTATGCTTCATCCAAAACACAACAATATTTAAGTAAATATTATCTGCGTATATTTCTGTGTATTTTTAAATTTATCGCAATGCGAGCTTATGCAGCAAACTGCATATAAGAAAAGTTTCCGAATCTGTTTTTACAAAATAAAATCATATGGTAGTTATATTAATATTTTATTAATTACATATATTATTTTCAAAATAATTTTTAAAATTTATTATCAAATATTTATATTGTACAATTTTTCAATTTTTAATATCAAATAAGATCTATAATAAGGTCTATAATAGAATAAAATCTTCTTAAAATTAAATTAAGAATAAGATTTTATAATATTTATTTGCTAAAACAATCCATTAAAATGCAAAGTACTGTAACATAAGTATATCATAAATCGCTATAATATATATGCAGATTTTAGAAAATCACTTTTCGATAATTGACAGATACAATTATTATACAAGAAATATTTGTATTACATAAGTATCCGCCTCGTTAAATTAATCGTCTGTTTCTTCAAGTATAACTCGAAACGTAGCTAGATAGGAAAAAGCAGTCGAGACGTACTAAAAAGTTTTAAAAATTGAATAAATATTTAATAATTTAAGTAATTATTTGTATTGCTTATGTATGGCAATGAAAATTATAAAAATGTTGTCACAAGCCAATATACATATAGATTTAGTATTAAAAATTGTTAAAAATTTATTATTGAAAATAAAATATGTTATCTATAGAATATAATTACCAAAAATATTGCATATAAGGACTTTCTTTAAATAATTTAATACTTATATTTTAAAAATAAAAGTAAATAAAAATGTTGGTGCAAGAGATCATTTAATACATCGTTTCAAGCATATTATATTTATTGAGTAGTGTAAAAATAGTAACTATATTCATAAACAGACAAAATTATAATAATAACAAAAATATTATGATAAAATCAGTGAGACATAATAATTTAATGAAAACTCACAGACGCATAATAATTTAATGAAACGGTCGGTAACATGCAGGGTACATTCACAGCTATAGGTTGTTGGCTACGTAATAAAGTGTGCACAAAATTCTTCTGAAAATCAACTTTTCCATTGTACCACATTGATTCATACGCAGCGTGTGCAATATTAGTGCTCTAAAATATTGAGTTCTAAATATACATATATATATATATATATGTATATAAATATATACACTCCTCAAAATAATTAAAGAATCAGAAAAATTATCCCAAAATTTTTCTAATTCCATGAAACTTTAAATAGCTATAACTTTATTTCGCAAAATGAGAATTTAAATTTTAAAGAGTTTTAAAGATTGAAATCTCTACTTTCGAAAGGTCATAGTTTTTTTCATTTTCTTTAATTCTGATATTTTTTTAAATATAAAAAATGACGAACATAAAATGGAAATTTTTAGTATATAAAAGGCCAACTAATCGAGCATTATTAGATGATATAAGCTAAGTACTTATTCTATATAAGATAATACAGTACAAACGTTTCGACCGCACGCGGTCTTCTTCAGTATAGGAATTAAAAGTAGATGATCATAAGTGATTGTAAGTCGCAATTTTATCGCCAAATTCGTATGTCGGTTTTGCTATCAGCGGGAAATGGAGTATCGTGAAAATTTTCGTCTTGTCGCAATACGCGCTTAATGTAATATATTTTTCTATTTGTAACCAGTCCTCAGCGTGTATGGGGAACGGAAAATATGAGCCTTGCGGTATTTGATGTATAGCTTTCTTCAACTGCGCGATTATTGTTTCTACTAACATTAGTTTTTAACTGTATTGTACCTTGCTGTATATGTGTGAGGTAGTCTAGCACGTTTTCTGCGTCACGTATCAGTTTGGTAATAACCGCTATCGTTGTTAAAAAATGTTTGGTAATGTCCTCGCGTTCAAAGAATGCCTGTATTTGTTCCCGTAATAATTTCTCGTTTCGCTGGACTATATTTTCTAGCGTTTTTATATGCGCTATTGTTGTATTTACTACTTTTAGTTGGTTTTTTATCGCGTACTGTATTGTTTCTTGATTATTATTTATTAGTTCTAATTGTTGATTTATGTTTTCCTCATCTGCTTCCAGCATACCAAACAACGTTTTTGCAATTGACCCTATCCTGTTTATTATTCCCCGGCGTTTATCAGCCGGTGGTTTGTATACGGTTTGGATTTGATTCATGAGGTTTCTTAAATATTTTATTTCTCTTTCCGCAATATTTTCGAAATTAACACACGCATCATTTTGATATTGGACGTGGAATTTCATGTCTTACATTTTTGCTGATGCTGCTGAATGTACTCTTCAAGTTGCTTATGCCTTTGAATCAAGTCTTCTAAATTACAATCGTTACTTTCAATTACAATTTACAATTGTTTCTTAACTCTAAAAACGTGTACTGTTACTTCTTTTTAGTATGGATCTAGGTAAATTCTAGTCATTGTCAAGTATTGTTACTCTCGGTCTTTTTTAGTGTCTTTTTTGTTTTTTATTTTCCAAACTACAATGGCAATACTAGATATTACGATTAAAGTTATTATTATTCCGCTTGAGGTCATGGGATAAATAAACTGTCTCTTTGTGTAAAACTTCTGTTCGTTGTTTCGTAAATTGTTGTCTATGTCGTTTATGTTGTTCTTAACTCTATTAATTCTATGTTGTGTGTCCGTAGTCTCTGCAATACTTCCGTAAGCCTCTTATTATGGTTTTCTAAACTTGATTCATATATGACAATGTCGTCGAGATATACAAGACATTTGAGCCCTTGAATCCCGATCAATACTGAATTCATTAGCCGCTGGAAGGTCGCAGGTGTGTTCTTCAGTCCAAATGGCATTCTGTTGAATTCGTAGTATCCAAAAGGAGTTGAGAAGGCCGTTTTATTTTTGTCGTATTCAGCCATCGGTATCTGGTGGTAACCTGATGCTAAATCGAGCGTTGTAAAATATTTAGCGTTCCCCAGTTGGTCCAAAATGTCCGTAATATTTAGTAGCGGGAACGAGTCGCCTATTGTAAGGTCATTTATCTTTGGGAAATCTACAACTATCCTGAGTCTTCAGTTTCCGGATGCGTCAGCTTTTTTTGGTACTACTAACAGCGGGGCGTTCCATTGGCTAACGCTTGACCTGATAATGCCGGCATCTAGCATCTCTTTAACCTGTTTGTTTATTTCCGCCTTATGCTTCTCCGGCAGGCGGTACGGTCGTATGTTGACCGGTGCTGAATCGGCACGCGTGGTTATCTCATGTTCCACGGTCGCGGTGCAGCTCAGTGATTCTCCATTCGAAAGAAATAAATCGCAGTATTTTTCGCATATCCTGTGTATAACCAGTCGTTCCTCTTGATTGAGATGTTCTGTGCGTAGTAGTTGTCATATTTCTCTATTCCGCTTGGATGAATATCTTGGCGTTTCGGTATCTATGGCGCTAATTCCGTATGTCTGGTCGTGTTTATGTTGTCTATCGTTACTAATGGCGTACGGATTTCAATCGTTTCGTTGGTTGTATTGATGACGCTGATCGGACATACAAAATTTTTCGACTCGACTAGGCAACGCCCTATATATACACCAGGTGCGGTTTCTGCGGCCCTTACGACTCCTACAGTGTTTTGATTCGTGGCGGCTTGAATGATTGTTTCGCTGCGCGGCGGCAACCGGATTTTGTTGTATGATTGAAGATTTAGTACAGAATCTCCTATTACGAGTTCTATCTCCCGTTTTTGAAATTACACATTACTCCCTGTTTTCATAAGAAGTCCAATCCGAGGATCCCTTCATACTCCATAAGGAAATTGTCCTTGACAACGTAGATTGTGTGTTTGATCCGTTGTTTTCCTAAGTTGACAGTTGCTCGTATTTTTCCAATTGTTTGCGCTTTATGCCCTGTTATCCCTATCAATGTAAGCTTGCCTTTATAAATTAATGTGTCGTCCTTTAAATGCTTGAGCTTTATGAGGGATATGGTGGCCCCGGAATCGAACAGCATCTTTACTCTGTTGTTCCGCGCTTCGCGTATCGGCATCGTAATCAAATCTAAGCCCGTGGTATCCTACGGTACTTGCCTCATGTGTGATACGCGGTCAGTGCCCGTCGCCAGGCAGGTGTAATACGAGAAGTTATAGCTATTTAGGGCTATAACACACATTTATTTGTTGAGGTGTAACTTCGTTCCTCAATCATTGAATCGTACAATTGCATTGCTAATAAATCGACGCGTTGACCGAATTCTTGCGTGTTTTTGTTCGGTTTCTGTTTTAAAACGTTAAACTCCCATTGCAGGCTCACGGTGCTGCGCTTAGCTCTATAGCACTCCTCTAACTGTTGCTTCAATTTGTCGAATGTCTGTATGTCATGCGTCTCGAAATCTCGTAAAGCCTTCCCGTCGAATTTGGTGAACAAAATTTCTTGTACTAAGAATTCTTCATCCGCGGGATTAATTATCTTATGTGGTGTCTCATCGAAATCGGAGATCAGTGCGCGAGCTTCCTTCAAAGCTAAATATCTCGACGGAATACTTCGTCGATTCCTTATGTCATTTTCGGATCTTCCGTATGTATACGTTGCGTTGAGGTCGTCGCTATTCGTTTTGGGTTGATCCATGTGTCGCGTATTTCCGACTGATTGCCCGCTTCGTGTTGACCTTGGTTTCCTTGTATGTGCAGGGTGGTTGTATCTTTGGTTACGTAAGCGGTCCAATTCGTCCCTCATTCCCTGTTGTCCTTGGATAAATTTGTGAAGTAGCTCGTTGACCGGACTAGAGACGGGATGTCCGGCGTCGACATATTGTGCGGCGGCATTATTATCTATTATGTTTCTTAAACATTCGATTTCTCTGTCAACGTCTTCAGGGGGGAGAAAGGGGGGGGGCATGTTGGGATATTTCGTCTCATTTCGTCTCCTATTATACTACTGTCTACTAATACGGGTGAATAATTTCTCCTGACTGAAACGTGGTCACTAGATGTGCAAGTCGCGGATTATATTCCCTGACTATTGTTTGGGTTAGTCGGTTGGGGTTCGTTCCTGACCTGCTCAACTTCGGAATCGGAGCTAGTGCCTGAATATAGTCTATTGAGGTTTGCGCGTACGTTTTTGCGAATGTCTCGTGCAGCTTCTTTGGCTATCTGCACGGAGCCTACCGTACCGAATCTATATATAAATCGAGCTGGTCCGCTCCAAAATCGCGGTTTGAAAGTGACGCGTTTTTTTGGTCGTTCCGACATTAAAATAGTTTTTTTTTCCGCGCTTAATCCTAGTTACGCTCGCTGAGGAGGTAGTTCCCCGGTTTATTACAATAATTATTTCCGCACTTACAGTAGGAGTACGGCTCGCATTTTCGGCTACTCTGCTACGAATGCGGCGCTGCTGCCTTCGGTGTTAGGGTTGTCGGTGACTCGGCCCTAGTCCTGCAGTGGTAGGCTGGCAATTTTCCGCTTTGTCTTAAACACTTGTCACTAACTCACTGTCCTGACGATTCCTGCAGTTGACCGTGGTGAGTGGTTCCCGCTTTTAAAGGTATTTTATCCTTTTTACGTCTTGGTAGTACTTATGATTCAGCAGATCTTCTAAGATACGATTCTTCGGCAATCTCACCGCTGCCACCAAATTATGTTGTGCTCGTGTGAGACACGGGAGTATTTTATGGGATTGTTGCCGAATAAGAACTGGGAAGTCCGGACGTCGTTCAAGGAAGAAACATCTTTCTGCTTTTTTTTATCAATGTATTTTATTTAGAATGTCAGTGTCGCTGGCGTACAATTGTAGTTTGCTCTTGGTTCGCTGTGCGCACTAATGATTATCACGTTGAAATACACTTATACGTCTCGATATGTTTATTGATACTTTTAAATGAGCCCCCGAGTGTTTCGGGTGAGGCCTTTTTATATCTTCTAATCGGTTAGGCGGTCTAGGTGCACGCAAAAAAGGTTAATGGGACGCTTTGCGTGCATTTTTCGGAAATGGCCTAACGCTTGATGTTTGTATTTCGCAGCTGTTGCGCGCAAAAACTGCACCAGCATGTTGCGTTAGCATATGTCTTTTGAAATATAATACATGATGTAATGTTCATATTTTTATTTATATATTTCTAGTTATAGTTTTAAGGCTATAACAATAGTCCGTATTCTTTCTTTCATTTCTTGTGCGTAATAATCGTAATTATATGTTAGTTTCGGAGATTTTGTCAGTGGTGTCGGTAGTTCCGTCTATCGTTCATACATTAGTTCAAACGGGGTACATCCCGTTGCTGTGTGTGGTGTCGTATTATACTTAAATATTGCGAACGGTATCCATTCATCCCAGTTTATTTGATCTTCGTTAATATAATGTCGTAGGTATTTAGTCAGCGTGCAATGCGATCTTTCTAATTGTCGGTCGCGTCTCAAATTACGTTGCGACTTAATGCGTCAGCGTTTACGTTAGCGCTTCCGGATTTGTGTATTATTTCGTAGTCATATTCTTCCAATTTGAGTCTCCATTAGTCTTGACCCGGGGTCATTGACATTAAATAAACATATTAATGGTTTATGATCGATTATGATTTTAAATTTTGTAGCGTATACGTATAGTCTGAAATGTTTTACGGCTCATACTATCGCAAGTAACTATTTTTCGGTTGTATTATAATTTTGTTCAGTTCGCGATAAAAGTCTGCTGGCATAAGCAATTGGTCGGTCATTGTCTACTTTTCCTTGTGACAATACTGCTCCAATTGCATAGTCGGAAGCGTCGGTGGTCATTATGAATTCTTGTGTGAAATCCGGGTATTGTAATATTGGTGCAGTCATCAATTTCTCTTTAAGCGTTTCAAAAGCTGGTCCGTCGATCACTCAAATTTTTTTGCTTTTTTCGTGAGCTTTGTTAGTGGTTTGGCTATCTTCGAAAAATCATCCATTTTCTTATAGTATCCTGCGAGACCTACAAAGGACTGTATATCCTTTACCTTCTGTGGCCTTGGGAATTCTTTTATCGCTATTAGCTTCGATGGATCCGGAGATATTCCATTTTCTGAGATTATGCGACCCAAATAAATTACTTCTTTGCGTAAGAATTTGCATTTATCTGGCTGTAACTTTAAGTTACAGTGTTTTCGAAGTCTCTGTAATACTTCTCTAAGTCGTTTGTTGTGATCCTCTAGACTTGTTCCGTATATGACGATATCGTTGAGGTAAACTAGGCATTAACGGCGGTGAGATTTTGAATCGATAAGATTTTGAATCGTTACACCCGGGTGAGAATTTTGAGATCATGGCGTAACCCTATTTGGACGTTTATTAATGTCTGTTCTTTAATAGTTTGTTGAATCTTACGTTTATTCGCCGGGGTGTAGTTCCTTCCTTCAATCATTAAGTTGTATAGTTTCATTGCTAATAGATCGACGCGTTGACCGAATTCTTGTGTGCTTTCGTTCTATTTTTGTTTTAACGCATTGAATTCTAATTATAAGCTCGCTGTGCTGCGTTTGGATCTATAGCATTTCTCTAATTGTTCCTTCAATTTCGCGAATGTTTGGACGTCGTGCGTTTCGAGGTCTTGGAGGGCTTTTCCGTCAAATTTTGTGAACAAGATTTCTTGGATTAAAGACTCTTCGTTCGCGAGATTAATATTTTGCATAGCGTAAGTATACACGTTTAGGAATTTTTTAAGTTTATGTGATGTTCCATCAAATTCAGGATTCATGGTACGCGTTTCTTTTAGGGCTAAATGCATTAAAGGGAGACTTTGAACTGACAGTTTTTGTGATTGATTTCACTGTTTAGAATTCGGGCGTATTTTGTTACCCTTTTGACAAAACGTACTTTCGGCAATCCTACCGCTGCCACAAAATTATGTTATGCCCGTGAGAGGCACAGGATAGTTAAGAAATCGTTGCCGAATTGGAACTAGGAAGTTCAGGAAGGTCAGAAAGATATTTACACCCGTTTTGTAGTTTTACAGTAATTTTAATATAAACAGTTAGTTTTTTTATAACTTACAGTAGTCCAGAGATGGCGTGATTTACTCTATTCTTACACGTTTCGTGTGTTTTACTTGTATTCACAATCTTGATCGTAATTTTATTGCATATTGTTTACAAGTTAACTGGACCCGCGATCGAGTATTGTTAGCGGATTCTTTTTTATATCGGATAATTAGGTTACAAAACGCAAACAATGAAGGTTATTTGAACGCTTTGTTTGCACTTTGGATGTTTTCTTAATAAGCACTTACTCGACGTTAATCTCGTTTTCGGATTTCGTATGCTTACTCGGCGTAGCCTCATTTTTTGGATTTCGTATGCATGTCGAAATTCTTATTGCTTCAGCGCTTTCGCAAGTATGCATCTTACTAATATAAATAATGTTAGTAATTATAGTTATAGCTTTAAGGATTATAACACTTTGCATAATTTTTTTAAAGTTTAAACAAAAAGGAAAAACTCACGAATTTCTTTGTTATTTCCATTTATTTGTAAAAAGTTCACTAATTAAGAAGAATTCAGACTGAATTCTTTTTACTTATATAATAGAGCAAAGATTCAACTTTAAAAATTCATTTTTAAAATTCTTGTACGATGATTTTTAACGGAGTTATCAACGATTAAAGTGAAAATGACATTTTTTCTTTAATTTGCAATAACTTGATAAGAAAAGATCAAAATTTAAATTTAAAAAAAATGATTTTGCAGAGAAAACTTTAGATTTTAACGTAAAAATGTCAAAACATTTTTTAAAAATTATCCTGTATATGCGACATGTTTACAAAATAAAAGAAAATTTTCCATTTCGTTATGTTCGTCGCTTTCTATATATAAAAAATATCAAAATTGAAGAAAACGAAAAAAGCTATAACCTCTCAAAAGTAGAGATTTTAAGCTTTAAAATTCTTTTTTAAAATTTAAATTATTATTTTTCTAAATAAAATTACAGCTATTTAAAATTTGCCTATTTTTTGGTCAATTTTTTTTTTATTTCTTAATTATTTTGAGAAGTATACATTTATAAGTAACTTACTGCACTTAGCAGATGATCAGCTGGCCACGCGCATAAGTATACTTTTGCGAGAGATGAAATAAAGAAGATTAGAAATGTTGATTTTACTGACATTGGTTGTCGCTATTAAAACAGAAATTATAATATAACAAATAATGCTAATAACTTTTATGGTATATTTATGTTTTATTATGTCAAATAATATGGAGATGATTCTTAAATTACACGATGCGTATGAAAGAGTTATTTTGAATAAGGTGCACTTTTATAAAAGAAAATTTTGTTAAAATAATATAAAAAATAATAATGTGGTATATTGTTATAAAAATTTTTTGTTTAGTGCTTATAAACAAAATACTTTAAGAATACACTTTTATAAAATTGTATCTGCATTTTAGGAAAGACAATAATAAACATTTATTATTGTAGAAACTCACGCTGAGAAAAGTGCAGCCAGTAAATATGATAACTATTGTACTGACAGCCAGTGATGCTAACATCACATATCGAATAGAAAGAGTTACTTTTTTTCCATACCTGGAACACACAATACATTTATATTTATATAAATCTTGTAATTATTCGACTTTTTGAAAATGTTTTATATTTTTAAAGCAATAAATTAATATATTATAAAATATAATGAAACAAAACAGTCATATAAATGTTTGTTATGTATATTTTAAGCAGAAAATATCATATAAATTAAATTTATGTATTATATATATTTTCAACAAAAACGAACTTGCTTAGAAAAATTTATATTATATGAAAATTTTATTTCGTAATTATATTTTGTAATTTTAATCTACAAATACGTAATTTTAAGAAGCAAAACAATGTGTTTTTTAAAGCATAAAATGGAAAAATAAGAAAATTTTTAAAAACCACTGATTCTACGTTAAAATTAAAACTTCAAGTTTAAAAAAATGCGTTTTTAATTTGTAATCTAACGATAATTTTTCGTCGAGTTTTAGAGGTTTGAAAATATAATTTTCAAAATGGGAAGTGTTCCCTATTTTTTTCTGAATATATAGTGTATATACATATAGTATTGAGTATTATTATTTACCAGAGTAATTCTTGATGTTCTTCTATACAAGCACGTAACTCGGCAAATTTTGTGACTGCCCGAAATCTGCTCGATAAAATATCACATCTCGCCGATACGAACCACAATAGAAGCGCGATGAATATATTTGAGCATACCTGCGTATAACTTTGATATATAAGTAGTATGTGATGTAAATAAATGATGGTCTTCAAAGGTTGATAGTCTACAGAGAAAGGATAATCTATGTCGATAGGAAACGGATGCGGTTCTACGATAGGACTAATAATAAGCAGCAGACCGGTTACAGTGAAGGCGCATACTGAACCTACATAAATTGATTTACAACTATCAATATATTGATGAAAAACGTTCCTTTCTGTTGGTTTCGCATGCTTGCAATAATTCTCCAATTCATAAATTACGTACTGTAATTGAATCATAATATTAGATAATTGTTCATGACATGAACAAAAATATAATGCAATTGAATATTATTTTGCATAATATAGTTTATATTTTATATTAATTAATATTTTTTACAAAAATATATGTGCGTGTATATATGAATTCAAGATTAATAATTTCAAAATATAATTTTTATACAAAAGAGCAAAACATGATATATGCGTATAAAAAATAGAGTAATAAATAAATTTTCCAATGTTAAATATATAATTAAATGTATAATTAATATATTAAATTATATTAATTTATTACATTACAGATAAATTACAAATAATTCAATTCAAATTGAAGAATATTGCATTTGAACAAAGATAACCCAGATAGCACAAGCTATTCGAAAAGAATTCATTTGTATGTCACCAATTTTGAGTCCTTTTCAAATACATATAGAATTCATTTTATAAAATAGAATTCATTTTTATAAAATGAATTCTATATGTATTTGAAAGGGACTCCAAATTAGTGACATACTGGTGACATACAAATGAATTCTATTCGAATAGTTTGTGCTATCTAGGAAGTCATTATTTTTATTTTGCAAAAGAATTAACAATATATATATATGTATATATAAAATTCTATTTTTATTATTATAAAACTGTGTTTATTATTTAAAATAATACCGTTTAGCTTCTTACTTGGAGACTATCATATTGACTCGAGAAGCAAATTATTTGCAGTGGAACTTCTGTAGTAGTGCATAACTCACAGCATAATTTCATTATCAGAAATAAATCTGATCGATTGACATAAATTGTATATATTATTGCAATCATCATAATCAATCCATGCAGGATAGAAAAATAGCGAAATATCTTATTACATATCTTTTCTCCTTTTGTAGCAGTGAGTGGTAATGGCCAGCAGCAGGCAAATAACAAATCCGCTTTCAAAAACGCGATCAGTTTCTCGATTGTCAATGTATTTGCCATAACAATTGTGTTAGGATTATTCTCTTATATTATCGTATTACATGAGATGCACAAGATTCAAACTGTCTTTGTCGACAGAGGATATCTATCGTGTATTTCGCGCGAAGAATTACGTATAATTTAATTACTATCCAGATATATCAACTGTAAGCATGAAACTTTTTAGATAATGTAACGCACGCAACCCTTCTGACGCACATTTCCTGTCTTGTAGTTTTGCTTCTAGCAGAGAATCATGTGTTTAAGTCTACAAATTATTCAACCAGCGAATAATGTATCGACGCTGAGCTCTACTATAATTGTACAATTATCTTCCTTACTTTACTAGACATAATTTTAATTTCTATAAGTATCGGCAAATGGTGGACGGTAATGAAGGAAAATACGTAACTATCAAATAATATTATGAACACAATATTGATACAAAGTTAGTATTGTCATATAATTTCTTTTGAGAAATTTAATATACATACGTTTAATGTACTTTATTGGGCGTGTGTGGATGTGTGCGTGTGTGTATGTGTATGTGTGTGATTAATTATTTATGTTAGTGTTACAAAAGTTAATTATTATACGCAAAAGGTTTGAAGTTTACCTATTTCACTATAAGTTTTATATATTAATTACAATTAAGTTAAAGTAATTAATTATTTATTAATATTTGTTTTATGTAAAATTATTATTAATTTCTTTGGATTTACATTTAAATTTACAACTTTGTTTTTATATAAATGTAATAATAACAATTCTCAAATATATTATTTTGTTATTTCCATTTATTGTTATATTGCTTAAACTTATTTCAAAAAATAAATTATTATATATTATTATTAATATATTTATATTGTATAATTACTATTAAATATTATATTATTACTAAAATTGTAGTAAAATTTAATTTGTAGATTATTTTGTTATTTACGTTTATTGTTACTCGCTACATTAGAACTTTTTTCAAGTAATGCTAATATGTAATTGTATTAAAAAACTAAATTTTTTTTTAAATTTTGGTATTAAATATTTAAAGAAAAACGGATTATTAAAAGCTTCTAAAAATCAATTCTTTAAAAAAAAAAATTTGCATTTTTTGTTGACTATGCCTGGTTTTTAATAGCTTATTTTTTCATTTTCAATAGCTAATTTTTAATTTTACTAAATATATAATATTATATCTAAATATTAACTTTTTCGTTGAGTTTATATAATAGTTATTTATATATAATATAGTTAAGAAAAATGTGACGTCACGTACACTTCTTAACGCGAGGCAAAGGCTGATGAGTAGTCGCATCAGAATAAGAGAGCGAAAATGAGCGAGAACAAGATCTTCGAGAGACTTAGCGCCGCGAAAATTAATAATAATTATTATTAATGCGTTTTATTTTATTTTATTTTATTTTCGGGAGCCTTGCCAAGAAAGAAAGAATGTTATTGTTGAGGAGGCAGGAAAAACAATCGGGGAATCAAATATCGAGGCAAAAACGAGGTCAATAATAAACGAGGCCGACCTTGATTACTGGTGCAAACTAACGAGAACAAAGGCGGCCGAAAGAAAGGAATTCGGCCGGAGCGGACTGCGAGAAGAGAATGGGGGTTCTCGCAAAAAATCTGCGTAGTTGACTAGCGAGTGCGTACTTACCCCCGACTCGCCAGATTGACCCTACCATATCGATTGCGAGCGGACATTTTCGGTAGATTGGCGCTACTGCTCGACCCCGAAAGACGTCTGCCGAGAAAGAGAAGAGAGATTGCTAGAGACCCGGAAGCTACCGCGAGAACGATAAGAGAGGAGATTCCTTCTGGTGAAGCTATTCTTACTGTATAATTAATACATCCGCTCTGTGAATCCAAGTTTCGATCGTTCTGACTCGACGTTATTTCGAGTAAATTGTTGGCGCAGGTTCTGCTCGTATTTCGAGGTTTGTTTTTTTTTGTTTTATGTTAGTGATAAAGCGATTTAAATGATATTTAAAAAATTGATTAAAAGAAAAAATGAAAGTATCGATTATATTAATAAAATAATTTAGGATATTCTTTTCGGGATATGTGTGCTGTTAAGGGGATGCCGGATGTCTGTTTTATCGATCAGATGATTATAGATTTTTCTGCACCAAAATCTTTTTATTGGTTTAATAAAATAATAAATACTTTTCCACAATTAAAACACGTACAGAAACAAAGTGGGAACCTACTGATTTTATGTTAAAAACAAGAAAAAATTTAAAAACTAAAATTTCTTTATCGACTTCTGTCGTCAGGTCAAAAAAAATAATTGTTTAATATAAAAGTTCTGCTGTTTGTACGTACAAAATAAGATAGGTTCCGACTAGAAATTGAATGAAGAAGTATTAGTATATTTTTAAATATAAGTTTAAAAGCCTAATAAATAAGAAAACAATGCAGAAAATTTTCACGCATATGTGTTGTATACGTGCATATGTTTAGACATGTGTGGTGCTAACCTATCATGTGTATATGTGTATACGTGCATATGTTTAGATATGTGTGGTGCTAACCTATTGGAGTTCGGCCGTCTCTCCGGCATCCCTTTAAGAGTAAAAAATGTAATGTTATGTATAAGATTATATAAATTTTTTTATGTGGCAGTATTAAATAAATAAAAATCGAATATATGATTAATCGATTGAAAATATTGATTGATTAAAATAAAACTATCGATTATTTCGATTAATTGAGGAACATCGTTCATCCCTAATTTGAAACCGAGGGGACCATCAATGTTAAATTAATTAATCGCGAAAATCGCGACGGCCCTGAGGACCCGGAAGCGCCACTGGTGGCCTGTTGAAATATTAATGACGGCATGTTTTCTGCAGGTCAATCGCTCGCTATTGTTCGGCGAACCGGTGAGCAGATAGAAGGTCTGAGGAGAGCGATTACGAGTGGATTCTTAGAGACTCGGAAATCGGTAAGACAAATTACGTCATATCGTTCAGTCAATTATTTTAAATATCATAATAATATCGTACATTAGATCGTCGCTGTAAGTTATATTTCCTACTTTTATATTGTTGTCGCGGTTAAAATGTTAACGACGGAGACGCTCTTTCTCCCAGCAAATCAGTCAATTTATATATTGTGTCGCTTCTACTTCGTATATGTATTTATTCTATCGTCTCTGTATTATTATCGTGCATATCGAAGCGTTGAGGTCGTACATCTTATATATCAATATATTTTGTGTATTTCGTTTATTCGACATTTTTCCTAGTGTATATTGCGTATATTTCGTTTGTCGCATGTGTCGTCGTATACTGCTGAGAATAATTCGAAATCATATTTGCATATTGCGTATTTTTTATCGAAAGTCATCGTGCGTTATACTTTTGTCGCTACCGAATTATCTTCGTTGCGCAGAAAGAAATTTGTAAGATTGAAAGAGAAAAATTACATCTATTACTGAGATCACGTATATTTTATTACTATATAGCTACTAATTTATACGGCTGCTATTAAAGCTTATTGCAATATTCTACGCTTCTATACTTCGTTGTTATTACACTGAAAAAATTATTGAATACGAATAAATATTTATTTCAATATTGCCTAATAAATCATTTATTTGAAACTAATAATATTGATTTGATGTAAAAATATTTTATATAAGAAAATCCTTTTAAAGGCAGATAAATATTTATTTGTTTCAAATAAAATAATTTATTAGGCAATATTGAAATAAATATTTATTAATTTAATAATTTTCTTTCAGCGTATGATCGAGAGCAAATTAGTTACTGAAGGAGAAATTGATACTCGCTACATTAGCACAGCTAACAATAAATTTGTGCACTCATTAAACAATCAATTATGATCTTCAAGATTGCAATTTAATTTATTAATTCTTTTGTTCTCGATCAACTATAAGTAATTACGGGGATAATCTATTGTTATCTGTTCTCTATTATTTTTTTCTATTTTTTGTTCTTTTTACTATATTTGTTATTGTTTACCTTATTATTTCCATGAATTGAGTTACAATTTTGCCATCACAATTGATTATAAAATTTTTTTTGAAATTGGCTTATTAAAACTTCATTGATTTACCACATTTCTTATCTAATTTCTATTGATTATGTATAAATTTGTTGTATAAATTAGTTATTGTTTTTAATTAACAAAATTGCTTAATTTATGATTTATATATATATATATATATATATATATATATATAGATTATTTAAAACTTTTTTCTTTCATCTTTTTGAATAAATTGCCTTCTGCCTTTGTACTGAAAATTTATATCGCATTAATGAATACATAATATTTATTGAACGTTACGTTTATTAAAATATTATAAATTTAATCAAATAAAAATAAAGTAAAATCAAGTAAAAAGTATCCTAGTGCGATATAAATTAAAAGTATTTGCATAATATTTTTAAACAAAAAAATTTTAACGCTGTTCATAATTCTCTATTCCCCCCTTCGGTCTCTTACATAATAAAAAGATGATTTTTTAAATTTAATTTTTCTTTACGTATTTGTTCATAAATGCTTATATAAAAACAATAATACGAAAAAATGTTTTTTCTTTAAAGAAACCTTTTTGAATTGACTTATTGAATTGTTTTAATTTAAAAAAATTTTCTAAAATTGAAAATACAATTTTTCCAAAGTTTCTTTTCTTATAGAGATGACGCTTTGCAAAAATATTTCTCTGAAAAAATGATAATTTATGCAATTTATATAGAATTTCTTTTCTGGTATTAGATGCAACATATTTAAAAAATTTTAAACCATATTTTTACGCTTTTTTTTTGCATAAAATGTAATATAAGTCTAAACTTATGTATTTTAGTTATAAATACAAAATATCTGCATTTATTTTAATGCTTATTTTATATTTTTCATTGTTTATATTTATTATAACATATTTCAATAATTCTGAATTCTAAATAAATTGCACAAATCATTTTTTGAAAGAAATATTGAGAATCTTTTCAAGACGTCTTCTACAACAACTTTGTGAATTTTTATTTTATTTTATGAATGTTAATTTAAATACACAATTTAATAAAAGAATTTTACAACAATTTCTTGTAAAAGACATTTTTTATTAACGTATTTTTTATATCAAGAATTGATAAACATAGACATGTCAAGAAAAATTAAAAAATATTTTTTTTCTATGTATGAGAGAAAAGGTGGTGATTAGCTATGCTAAAAAACTTTTTTATTTAGAAATACGCAAATACTTTTAAATTATTTCGCACGGGAGCACTCTCCCCATCTTATCCGGCTACAGCCTTTCTCTTATGTATTGTGCATTAATCAAATTTTTTTTAAGATATTGTTCGACATTATACTTTCTTATATTTCGTCTATGTGCATTAAAATTTTTGTAAAATTAAAGTGTGTAAGACGGATTTTCGTGGAATTTTTTTGCTATTTCACTATCTTTACTTATTATTGAAATAAAGAAATTTAATCGACTTATTGTGAGCTTGCTCGAGAATAATATTGGATGATTGTGTTACTGTGTTTTCGCGTATTTTTATGCCTGGTTGTTCGACGTGTGTTCTGATATGTATGTGATAGGCTTATTGTTTGCTTACTTAATACCGATTTCCAAATAAAATTCTACTTTAGATCGTTAATTATTTGGGTTTCGAGGATTTACAGTATGTTAGGAAAATAAACTTTAATTTTGATATTTATCTCGTTTTCGTTAAATAATGATTATCTCGCGTGTTTGCATTTTGTTTGAAAACATAAAAAGCATAAATTCAGAGTAAGATGCGCAACTAGAACGTGTATAATTGTCAATTAGTCAAACGAATTAGGAATTGTGCTTACACAGAATATCAACGAGAGCACTCAGCTTTCGCGAGTAGAACTTATCCGATCCGTAAAGAAAAATTCGGTAACTGAACAGAAATGCTTAGCAGTAGTATTGGATATTAAGAAATTTCGACTATATCTGGAAGGATATAAGTTTACGGACGTAACAAACCATTGAAATTTACTCTCAAATATGATTATTAAATCGTACATTGAAAAGGGGCGTTGCCATGTGCTGGATGCTTTATCAAGAATGTTTGATACCAGGATTTCAATGATAGTTGCCGTAGAGGTGGTATTATTGCAAATACCAATAACGACTGATATACAAAATGTTTCGCAGACGTAGAAAATAAAGTCAGATTTCACTGATTGGCGGATCGTGGATAATTAGCTTTATTTCTATAAACCAAAAACTATTGTATCTGATATCTGGATCGGTAGAAACTAGTGTTACCAATGCATGTATTGTCATCGGCCTCACAGACCATTGCTACCAAACTGGTATCGAAATTCTAGTTTGTTTCGGACGTAAAATTCTATTTCTGACCGTATACGAATTTGTTGACTTAAACGATAATTTTGTTGGGAAATCGCATATAAAAGGTCTTAAACCCTACCATTTTTGTACTTTCAGATCGTTGCGAAATTACTTATTGCTGTCGAAGTGAGCACGTCGCGTTGAACATGACCGATCCTTGGCAAAATTTCAAACGCCGCCATGCAGAGTCACTCCGCGAAATAGCGCAAAGGTTGCCGGAGTATCCTATGGACACTGACGATTTGATGAAAGACAGTTTGTTCCGCTTATACGACGTTTATGCAGTTTATAAAGTTCTGAAGGCAAAATTCCCGACCATTCGGGACTACGGAATACAAACTGAAAAAACCTGGTCCGTAGATCAAGCCCTTTACGACGTCATTGGCCCGAATTTCGCCAAGACCAAAAATGAGACTGCACAAACTTCTGTCATGGATCGACACATGATGGAATTTTTTACCAAACGTTGTAGCGATTTCATGAAGAACTTGCGTCGGTATCAGGATTGTGGAACTGAGAAGACCTTGTCCGTGGATCAAGCCCTGTGCGGGTTCTTTGATCGGTATTTTGTCGAAACTAAGGATGCGACAACACAGACCGATGCGTATCAACGCACAATAGGGACTCAAACAACTGAAGCGTGGATTGATCATAGCCGATCTCCGATTTCTCCTAAAAAACGCCCGCACCATAGTCCGTCCCCGGTGCAAGAAAAATTGCCAAAAATGCAAATTTTCCGTCATACTCAATCATCCACGCTAACTAGGAGACCGAACATGTGTTGGAACTGCGGAAGTACGGATCATTTTTATTCAAGATGCCCAAATCCTAGAGTCGACCCTTTTTGCTACGGATGTGGCCGACGCGGGGTCACATTGAGATTGTGCCCGGTCTGCGGCCCCGATTGGAAGAATCTCGGGCCGTATCACCCCGAAAGGGGCCATCTGGGGACAAGGAAGTTCTCCTAGATTGCTGCCGTTTACGTTTTTTATTCTTTTTTTTTATATTCATTTATTTTTGTTGCTGCCGTCAAGACTTCTCCCGCCGCACGAAGAGAATTTTGTACGGATTTGGAATAAAGAGAATTGAGACTTTAGATACTTAATTATGAATTTATTTTATTTTATATTTGCATTTACCAAACTCCTAAAATCCATAAGATTTGAACTTTTGATAGCTTGTCTGCACATTGCACGTTTTTTTGGAGTTGGAATTACTGGTAACATGGCGAGATTTGGGAGAAAATAATCATTTTTAGCATATGAATAATAAATCAATATATAATGAATAATAAATCAATATAAAAAACTTAAAATTAAAAAAATAAAAAATATTTTATTAAATAAATTTATTATACATATAATAAATATTAAATATGTATAATATTATATACTATATTATATTTATGTAGTATATATTTATTATGTAAAGAAATCTGTATAAAAATTTGTTGCCTTAGCCATATGTATTTTACACAGTTAATAAATTAATAATTAATATATTATTAACTTAATATTTTAATTAAAGTATAATAAATAATAATATTAAAATATTATATTATATATTATACATATTTTTTTATTAAATATATAATAATTAAATATATCATTATAAAATATATAATTTATTAAATATATAATTGTTTTTTATAATTAATTTTAAATAAGTATGCGACGCACTGGATATTGAATACATAGTATCAATTTGAATTTGTTTTCCTTTAAACAAAAATTATTGTATCATCAAAATGTATTTTTTCTTTTCTTCTTTTTATTTTTTCATTTTCTCATCGAAAATTCATCTGATATGATATATCTTGTAGTTATCACTTTTTATCATGTTTAAATAAAAATAAGAATAAAAATTAAAATGTATTTAACATATTGTTTTATTTGTTACATTAATGTAAAAAAATTTTTAATAAAATATATAATAAAAATATATCTTAAAGTTAAAATTGCGGACAAAATTAAGAAAATAATTATAACAGTTTATTTGCATAATTGTTTTAATATTTTTTATTACTCTGAACAAAAACAATCTATTCTATATTGTTCACTATAATAGAGAAAGTAGATTTTATGAAATCTATCTAATGGATCCCTTTGAATGATGTTTCCTTATCTTCAGAAAAAATTATTCGAAATGTTGTTAAATATGAAAATACCGTCGAGAGATACTGTAAAATTATTAAAATTAACTTGTAAGTATAAATAAATTATGCTTACTGTATAATATTAATAATGATAATATATTTTATAATAATAATACACAAATATTAAAATCAATAGAAATTTAGAGCATCCTGTATATATGTATTAACTTATTTATTATATCTATTTATTATTATTTAGGTCCACTTTAAATCAAACATGTGGGAAAAAACAACGATTGATGGTCATTAAAAATTGAAATATAATGCTATACCGACGAATTTTGGACCAGTTTTGATTTTTTTAACTGCTTTGGAAGAATCGGAAGCGATACTCGAATAATCGTGTAGGGCCAATCAGTGAAAGAAATATTAAATAGCTTAACTCTTCCTTGATCAAATCTACTGTGGCATAATTAGGTGTAAACTTTATCGGATTTTTTATTCATATTTTAAAAACTGTTTATCAAAAACACAAAAAAATATTGTTGAAAATTATCTATAAACATTATTAATTTGTAATTTAAAACACATTAGTTCTTTATATCATATACATTTATAATCTTATAAAAAAATTTTAAATTAAATTTTTTTGCGCAAATAATTATATTGTTCATAATTATATAATGAAGTATGATGCTCTGTATTATGTAATTAAAATGATGTTACAATGTATTATCTTACAGAGGCATAATGTTGAAGAGATAAGGCGTCTAATAATCCAGGAACAGATACAACTATATTTCGTTGACATCGTAGCAAGGTGTACAACAAAACCTTTTGTGAATCAATACTTTGATTATACCATAATGAATTATAAGCTGCTTCAGCAATGTTCGAACTCTGAAATACGATTTAAATGCACAAATGTATCATTTTTGTCATACAGTACTCACAATTACTAAGAGATAATAAAATTGTCTAAAGCTAACAAATTTTAAATAGCTGTAATTTTATTTTTAAAAAATTTTTAATTTAAAAAAATATTAAAGGTTGAAATCTCCATTTTCGAAGGATCACAGCTGTTTTCCGTTTACTTCAATTCTGGTATTTTTTACATACTAAAAATGATGCACTTAACGAAATGGAATATTTTTTCCTTACTTTATAGATGTATGTTTACAAAGTGTATGTACAAGATTCAAAAATTTTTTTTTACTTTTTCGCGTTAAAGCCTGAAGTTCTCCCTGCAGAATTGTTTTTCTTAATTTAAATTTTGATTTTTTTTTATCAAGTTATCGAGAATTGAAGAGAAAATCGTCATTTTTAATTTGATTGTTCATAACTCTGTTAAAAGTTATTCTACAACAATTTTAAAATTGGATTCTTAAAACTGAATCTTTGTTCTATATAGTATGATATAGAGGCCGAATTTTTTTTAATTCGTGAACTTTTTATATAGAAGTATACAAATATTGAAAAAATTCGCGCGTCTTCTCTTTTTTGTTTAAACTTTGAAAAAAATTACAAGGACTAAATAAATTTTATTTACTAAAATTTTTGTGCTTCTTAATACTCCAAATTTGACGACAAAACACAAATTTATTGTGATAATTTCTTTATAATGATTTGTATGTTTAAAATGGTCCATGCGTATACAATGTTAAAAGAACTTGATTTGTTTTGATAAGAAAATTTAAAAAATAATTTTCATTATTCAAGCTTACTGTTCTCATTAGATGATCAGCTGGCCAAGCACATAGAAACACTTTCATTAATGACGTAGAACATAGAATCACAATTTGAACTTTCAAGGATGATGCTAATTGCTATATTTAGAAATGTTAGTAGATAAAATATATTATATAAATAAATATTATTGAACAGTGTTACTTATAACGATTATAATAAAAACTTTTAGATACGCACACTAAGAAATATAACACCACAGAATACTAGCGCTGTAGTACTAACACCTAGTGATGATAACACTACATGTGCAATAGAATTGCTCATCTTTTTCGCGAATCTGTAACGATTTATTATAATACAGATTTATTATAATAAGAATTTTGTAGTTAATTAAATCGTGAATTACGGAAAAAACTTTGTAATAAAAAATTGCATTAAACATTAGTGTAAAACTTCCACTATAATAGATAAAATGAGTTTAAGTAATAATAATACGCAAATGCAAATGTTTCTGTCCTAAATTAGATTCTTTTCAGTGATATAAAAACGCAGAAAGTGAAATATCAAAGATTATTGCTTCTCTATAGAAAAAACTTTTTCGTAAAAAAGAACTTTTTAAATAAAACTTGATATTAGCGCTAATCGATTTCAATGACCTTGACATATGTTGTCAAGGACATATGACTCTGAATAATTTGCAAATAATTTTAGCCGTCGCTCGTTATTTCTTACAAAGTTATTAACAATTAAATTATATTATAACATGATCTCGATTTTAAATACCATACCTTAAAACTTCTTGATGTTCCTGTATACATATTTTCCATTCAGAAAGATTTGTAATCGTACGGAATTTGTTAGACAAAATCTCGAAACGTGCCGCCGTAAACCATAGTAGAAGAGCAAGGAAAACATTAGCACTTACTTGACAAGAAACTTGATACACACCGAGTGCTTGATGAAAATAGATTACCGCTGCCATAGGTTGATAGTTAACATGAAATGGATAATCTACCTCTAGTGGAAACACACGGGATTGAATGAATGGCACTAAGAGTGAACCAATTACGGATGCCATAGAAAAACCCAAGGCAATTCCATACAGTAATATATATTTATTAATATATTGTTGAAACACATTCCTTTCTTCAGCATTTGCTCGTTTATAACAATCTTCCATTTCGTAAATCACATCCTGTAAATTTTAAATAAGAGAAAAAGATACAATTATTATTTACTTATGTATCTAGACATTATTAACGTAATATATAAAATAATATATAAAAAAGATCACGATTTTTTGTCAAAAATATAAAATACAAATTTTTAATGAGATACTTTTTTTAAATTGAGAAAGAATTGGAAAATTGATAATACATAGATATTTTTATATTTTTATTATAAATTCGAATGACTTCAATACACTATCTCTTTCAATAGATCACTCAAGACAATAAAAATTTATTTAAGTTAGAGTTGGATTTAGTGATTTATACCATTCATGTTTCCATATACATATAGTAATTTATATTAATATAAAAATTAATTTATTCCATATCTGCTTAATGATATTTGAATCAATAAAAAAAAAACATATCAAAAATAATATCACAGTTTCGTTAATTAAAATTTTATTATGGTTTTAATAGAAACAAATTTACAAATATAAATTTTCAATATTGATTTTTATTGATATCAATTTTATCGATAAATATATAGGTGGCACAAAGTGTTACAAGCTGTTTTTTGCCACTGCTAGAATATTAACTTGAATTTCTTTTTATTAAATGGAATAAAATGTCTGAAAATTTGATGTAGAAAAAAATGTTGATGGCCTTTAAGGAACAAAAGGACTCCTCCTTCCATTTTTTCTTAAATGAAATCACTTATATATATTTTTTTACATTAATTGATTCCTTGCAATATTCTACACAAAAAGTTATAAAGATAATACATATGTTCAAAAATAATTTACGAGATATTTTTTATCTAGCAGCTACATTTTTTTCTTAAGAACAGCTATGTGTTTTTTTACATCAATTGATTTCTCTGATTAGTTTGTGCATAAAAGTATTAAGGTAAAATTATCAAAAATAAATATTATATAACTTTTTATGTAGGAATCGATTTATGTAAAAAAAATATATATATATATATATATATATATAATGATGAAAATTTGAGAGAAAAAAATGTTGGGTGCCTTTAAGGAATGAAAGGAGGCCCCCAATTTTTTCTTAAATAGAACCACTATATATATATATAGTGGTTCTATTTAAGAAAAAATTGGGGGCCTCCTTTCATTCCTTAAAGGCACCCAACATTTTTTTCTCTATCAAATTTTCAGATACTTTGTAACATTTAATTAAAAAAATTCAAGTTAGTATATTTAGCAATGGCGAAGAAAACAGCTTATAACACTTCCCAGATAGCCACAGTAATTATTATGACATCATTTTGATGGCAAATTATGCATTTTGACATCAAAATGATGTCGTAATAATTACTGTGGCTATCTGGGTTTATGTGGGCCACCTTGTATATTAATTTGTAGAACATTTAATAACCTGTAATAGTAATGTTTATAGTAAATATATATTGTATACGTACATATATATAAAATATAGAATATATTTTGTACATACATACAACATTATTGCATATATAATCATATTATACATATATCTATGTATTATATACATAAAATAAGAATAAATATTTATATTTTAATTGCTAAAACTACTGCAATAATTGTAATCTTGAATTGTGTATATATATATATATATATATATATATACATATATATATATCTCTCTAATATAATAAAAAATATATATAAATATATATATATATATATAATGTATATATTAATAGAGAGGAGAAGGAGAGAGAAGAGAGAGAGTAATAACTTTTAAATAAATATTGAACACTATTAAAGCCTTTCAAAAATTATTATTAGAACTGTAATTTGGTATATATATATATATATATTTATATATATTTTTTATTATATTAGAATTGTAATTTATATATAATGTATATATTAATATTATATATATTGCAAAATTATATAATATACATATATAATATATGTATATTGCCAAATTACAGTTCTAATAATGATAATTTTTGAAAGGCTTTAATAGTGTTCAATATTTATTTAAAAGTTATTACTCTCTCTCTTCTCTCTCCTTCTCCTCTCTCTCTCTCTCTCTCTCTAAATAAGTGTTAAATAAATGAAACATTTCTTAGCAAATATAAAATAAAAACTAGTAATATATATAGTGTTCCATAATTATATATATATAACATTATATATATAATGTTAGAAGAAAACTTGTAAAAGTCTATAATTATATTGGTTGCAATTATGTAAAATCCTATATTGTGCAGAAAAAACAAAATCTATAATTATATAGTTTTACATGAGTTTACAACTACTCCACATACAAGGGAAGTCTACCTCAACATCACGCGATGGTTTTATGAAACGAAACCTATAATTATGTTCAACATGGGTTTGTTGTATGTTCTTATTCTACATCAACAAAGTTCTTATCAAATGAATAATAGATGCCATCTCTGTAACTTTTTAATGATTATTTAAAGTTATAACATATGTATGTAACATTATGTCAGAATAATTGGAGCCTGTTAATCGAATATATATTTTTTATTTTATATATATTATATTTATCAGAAAGAAATATTTTTATCGGCATTCAATATTAAGAATATAAATATGATGTTTTTTAAATCGGTCAACAGAGCCAAAGCACGAAAAATTAATTATTTGGAACTGTATCTCTTGGTTTGAGATCACTAATTTCCATATATAAATTAATCTCGAAACTTACATATGGAGAAATAGGCGCGAAAAATATAGGTCCGAAAAGTCGCTGAAGCGGAAATCGAACCCGCGTCTTTTACTTTTCGGGCGACTGTTCTTACCAGGTAAGAACCATATATATGTATATATATATATATATATATATATATATACACATATAAATGGAGGAGGAGAATATGATACAGAGAGTCAAACAAGTTTTAGGAAGGGAATGGAGGTGATAGACAGTATTTATGTTCTAAACTACTTGGTGAATAGAAAAGTGAATAAGAAGGGAGGTAAGGTAGTGGCGGCCTTCATAAATCTAAAGACGGCGTTTGATTCGGTGGACAGGGAGGTGTTAATGGAGAAATAGGGGGATAAAAGAGAAGGATTAAGAAGTTGGATAGAGGAGGTGTACAGAGAAACGAGGAGCAAAGTAAGAGTGGAAAAGGAGGAGGTACAAAGCTTTTGGACAGCAAGGGGAGTGAGGCAGGGTTGCCCAATGAGCCCACATTTATTTAATCTGTTGATAGCGGATGTAGAGGAGATACTTAAAAAAGGAGGTTGGGGAGGGGTGAAACTGGGAGGGGAAAAGTACACTGCTTAGCATATGCAGATGATATGGTACTATTGGCAGAAAATGAAGAAGGGATGATACATATGTTAGGGAAAATGGAAATTATATGGATAAGAAAAGGTTAAAAGTAAATGTGGATAAGACAAACATAATGAGGTTTAAAAAGGGAGGAGAAAGAATGAAGAAAGTTGAGTGGAGGTGGAAAGGGAAAAGATTAGAGGAAGTGAAGGAATTCACTTATTTAGGATATAAGTTGCAAAGGAATGGGGTACAGGTAAAGGACAGAGTAAGGAAAGCAGGAGCAGTGATAAGACAGGTGTGGGGAATGGGGAAAAGAAGATTTGCAGGAGATTGGATGAAAAGATTATGGCTAATGGAAAGGTTGGTGGGAACGGTGTTGGAATATGGGGCGGAAATATGGAGGTGGAAGGAGAGGAGAGAAGTAGAGGCAAGCAGAAAAGATGGATTAGGTAGACGTTAGGAGTGGACTGGTGTACGCCGGGGTACATGGTAAGAGAGGAGATAGGAAAGGATAAATTTAGGATAAGGGCAAGGAGGAGAGCAGTAGGGTACGAGAAGAAATTGGAGGAAGGAATGGGAGGAAGTTTAGCGAGGAAATACTATGAGGATATGAAAAGAGGGTAAGAGATGGAAAGGAGAGAACGGTTTGGGAGGAAGAGAGGGCAAAATTCTTTAAAGAAAGAGGAAAAGAAGGAAAGAAATGAAGGAAAAGAGAGGAAGAGGAGAGGAAGTATACGAGGGATGGGAGCAGAAAGACAGAGAAATGCAGAAGGAGGAAAGATGGGAGAGGATAAGAGAATCGAGATATAATAGATGGTATGGAGAATGGAAGGAGGAGGGATTACCGGGATATCTGAGAAAGGGATGGGGGGATAGTAGATGGAGAAGGATAATGAGGTTTAGAATAAACAATGAAATAAGAGAGGCGAGATACTGGGAAGAAGAGGGGAAAAAATGTAGGCTATGTGGGATGGAAGAAGAAACATGGGAACATGTAATAGGAGAATGTGACGGAGAAGAGAGTAAGGGAAATTGGTGGGAAAGAATGAAAGAAATATTGCAAGAGGGAGGAGAAGGGAAGGATAGATGAGGAATTTAGAGAAATGAGGAATGAGGAATAGCTGAGGGGGAAAGGAAGGAGGGGAAAAAGAGAAGAAGGTATGAGGAGGAGAATGGGTGGAGGTATGAATGAGGTGTTGGAGAATTAATGGGAAACTGGAAGCCGAGCGAGGAAATAGATAGGGACGACTCTTTCTCTCTCTTAATTAGTTAGATAGATAGATAGATTAAGTTAGATTTAAGTTAATTGTAATTAGATGTAAAAGTATATTTAAGAGTAGTCATAAGCTAAATTTGTAAGAAGTTGTAAGGTTCGGGTACGCTCCTTAAAAGCGCCTTTAATCCCTAAGGGGATAAATAAACCATAAATGAAATATATATATATATATATATATAGATAAAATATAGATAAATATAATAAATATAGATAAAATAAATATATTTTGTATTACACGTGCATACAAAATGACACTTTCTATGCACAATTTTTGTGCCGAAAGTAACAAATTTCCCAACATCGACCTACAATATATTACATACATATGTTCAATGCATTCAAAACCGTATACAATAGCTTTCCAAGCCGTGGACAATTTATTGCCCACAGGTTTCAGCGCCATCTCGCAGCACACACGAAAAACAACTAGCAAACTACCGCCACTTCGCGCCTTCCCAACACGCACCTAACCCTGCTATTCATATATCAGTCTACTGCGTAAATCAGGTACAGAAATCAGGTACTCAAAGTGCCACTTTGAATGCACTTGTAATACAAAATAGTATGTGTTGCACGTACAGAAGTTGGCTATTGGTCACGAGTGCGGGTAGGCGCACGAGCCGAAGGCGAATTACATAAAATTACATAAAACTTTCCGCACTTATAACACAATATACTATTATATATCTACTATTTTATCCATATTTATATTCTATACATATAAGTGTATTATTTTTTATATATTATATATTTTATATATTCAGATTTTATGTTTGTTTTTTTGTACGTGTATATGCATATAATAATTTATAAAGGATTAATACAATTGTTTATTTAATTGTAATATACGTATAATAAAATATATGCAATATGTATATGTATGTATATATGTATATAAAGCTAATGGTTTTTCTTACTTGTAAGCGATCATGCTGTTTCGTAAATAAAAATATCTGCAATGGAATTTCATAAAAGATACTTAATGCACAAATTGATTCCATAAGCAAGAAAATATTGTCAAGATGATTATTGATTGAATATATCAGTTCGATCATTATAAATACACCGTTAAGGCCTGACAAGAATCGAAATATTCTATCACAAATTATTTCAAACTTCGTGGAATTTCGTGATAGAGGCCAACAGCAAGCAAACAATAAATTCACCTTAAGAAAAGCAATAATTTTATCCAATGTCGGTCCGGTGCTCATATTAACTATTATTGTATTTTCTTGTATTTACATCAGTGTTTGAAACGCAACTGGCCTTGTGGTTTTGTCACGACTTTACAAAAAATTGCGCAAAAAATGCAAAACGTAGCTTATAAGTGATGAAACTCTGAGATAATGTGTGTAATAGCTCATCAGTAACATTATGTATCTCGAGAGTAATATTGCGGCGTTTATTATTTCTTATTCGCATTTCCTTGCCTTTCAACACCATGTGTAAGCCTAAGGATTAATAAATTATAAGACTAGCAAGTATTTTGAGAGGGGTATAAAGAGAGGTATAATGCTACGTGCTCTATAGCAATTATATCTCTCTTGAATTATTGTGGGATGTTTTATAATGATAGAACAGAATGAAGACGCGATTAATAAATTGTTACAGAATATGAGAAATACGTACAGAATATTATGAAATACGTACAAATACAGTAAAATGAATCGAGCATGTAACAATAGAATTATTGCTTGTTTTGTTTGTTTGAACGGTTATATTTGAAGAATAATGTGAATAAATAATAATAATAGCAATTTAACACAATTGATTTATTACAATTTGGAGAAATCGATAACAAAAAAAATATTGTTTGTAAAAATTTAAAAAAAAAACTAATTATGACTTTTAAGATTTTCTCAATCTTTTCAAAATATATTTAAATTCGTACACCTAGTTTTTATAAAAAAAACTTATCTTAAATGTTTTTGATATATGTTAAACAAAATAAGTAAGTACTTAAATAAAAAATAATAATTATTTAATATCTCGTCAACTATATGAATTTTATATTACATATGTTTTACACAACTTTTACGTAAAATTTCATATTTTATTGAATAATATATTAAATAAAAATGACTTATTTCACTTAAAGAGAATTGACTTTGAAATGACCTTAAAGAAAACCATTTAAATATTTAATGTGTTTATAAGTTTTCTCCCTTTAAACTTTGAAAATATCGTTTGACATATGTATTTTTTCTACAATATTTTGTTTTTGAGATATTTGTGGTGTGTAATTAAATTAGGACACACAATTTGCCAGATATTTTATATATATATTTATTTTTTTACATAAAGAATGTTATCATGATTGATACATATTTTTATATTTATTACATATACATTTATTTGAAAAAAGTGCACACTTATTATTTCGACTTAATCCACACCATTAGAAAGAATTGCTCGAAATGACGTCAGATAAGAAATGCCATGGATACATACTGTAAGAATTATAGAATATTTAAAGGAATTTATAAGCTTGCTACATTTTTAAATTAAAATATTAGATTTTTTGCAAAAATAGACAAATATTAATTGCGTAATTAAAAATTGCACTTATATAATCAGAATAAAAGTTTAAAATTTGTTTCCTTTTATTTAGATATAAGATTAAAACAATATAAAAATATAAAAATTTATATAAAATTATATAAAATCAAAAAATTTAAAATAAATGATATAATTACAATAATTTATATTTTTATATTTGTATATAATATATATACATATATATATATATATATATATGCGTAATTTTATTTTTATAATAAAAATATAATATTTTATCTATCTTCTGATTATATTTCTTATATTTTATATAAAATATAAAATATAAATAAATCTATGTATTTATACACACACATATACACCCACACGTGCGCGCGCGCATACACATACGCACACACTTATTCATTAATATTTTATGCAAAACATATGCATATGTATTTTTGTGCATGTTGTATACTGCAATACCTTTTAATGATAATATAGATATTAGCAATACATAGCATTAGTATCAGTGATAATGATAATTTTGCAACAAAATGGTATTTGCATACTCTATCTTTTTTGGAATAATTTTGTTTAATAATTTAAGAAAATAACAATATTGATTCTTTATGTTCCTTTATTCAATACAAAAATACAATATAATAAAATATAAATAAAAATATTACCCATATTCCAATAGAAACATTTTGTAGCAATATTTTCCTACTTTATATAAAATTATTCCAAATAAAATAGGGTATAAAAATATTTCTGTTATTTTCATTGTATATTTTAAAAGATAAAATGCAATTGTTCATTATGTTAACGTGACACAATGCACTATCTTACAGATGCATAATGTTGCAAAGTTAAAGCAGCAACTAAACCAGGAACAGATACAATAACAGGCCGTTGAGTTCGAAATAAAGTATACAACATAATCTTCTGTGTAGCAATTCCGTGTTTATACCATAATGAATTATATACAGCATCCCCCACATAAGAACTCTACAATATTGAATTTGAATGTATATAAAATATGTTATAATAACATGCAGTTATTTAATTTTATTTGTTAAAACATACCCTACTCATTAAATGATCAGCTGGCCAAGTACATAAAAATACTTTTGCCAATGATGAACAACATACGATCGAATACTGCAGTTTTACAAATAACGGAAAGTCCTATTTTAAAAATTGATATTATAATAAATAATATATAAATAAGATAACGCACAGATATATACAAATATATGTAAATTTAAGTGGAAATCAAAAGAATTCTATCTTAATTTGTGCACAAATAAAACGAAATTACATATATGTATAAAAAACAATAACAATATGAATTATTTTGGTTTTTTATAAATAGATTTTATTTTTTAATAATTATTTAAAAAATGAATTAATAAATAAATTAATACACACGCCAAGAAAGGTAAGACCGCTGAATATTACCGTTATAGTGCTAACACCTAGCGATGATAACGTTAAGTGTGAAATGGAAAGGGTTACTTGTTCTGCGAATCTGTAATGATTTTTTTTGCTACATAAAAATTATATAAATATGTATATATACATATATACATATACATAGATATACTTATACATGTAAATACACAAATACCTATAAATATACAGGGTGTTACATTTTAATCGCGATCACCTTCAAAAACTTTGTTATTTTTAAATACAAATAAGAGAGGCCTAAGAGCCATACACGAATGTTCCTTGCGTACATTTCCAACAAAAATTATTTATTATTATTGATTATTTTTGATTATATGTACAACAAAAATGTTACAAACAAAATTGTTTGATTTGAAGGGGGACAGAAGATGGTGTTATTGACTTTTTGTCTGAAGGGCGTTTTTCAAAATCATTTAAAGGTCATTTATGTCTTTTTAATTAAAACCACCATATTTTTTATAATAAATTGAGTCCTAATTTTCGGAATAAAAATATGCTTTATAATTGTAAAAAAATAAAAAGAATAAATCTTATTAGAGAAAAAAGCGTTGTTAATTTAATACAATGTATGCTATGTTCTGTAGATTCTTTTTTTTTTGTTTTCCACGATTCTTTCCTCTTTTTCGATAAGTAAATTCGCGATTTTATATCTTTTTTAATTTGCAAAGAAATAAATTATGAGACTCAGAATAGAGAGCATAGGACAGCAATTATTAAAAAACTTAATGCCAGGCTGACAGAAAAATACATTTAATGTATTGAAAAATCTAATATAAGTTGATGTTATAGAAATGTTTGTGCTGGTTTCAAAATCATTTGAAGAACAACTTGATTACTTTAAATAGGATTATCCTAAGTATTTTATGTAAATATATTCCTTGTAACATTCTACATAAAAAATATAAGGGTAAAATAGCCACAAATTGAACGGTTTATGAAATATTTTATTTCTTAATTTTGATATAAATTAATTTTGATATAAAAATATCTTATATAATATTTAGTTTTCGATAATCTTATCTTAAAATTTGTATCTATAGAATAATTAGATGAATCAATTAATATAAAGAAGACGCATAGTTGCTTTTAAGAAAAAATATGTGTAGGTTTATATTGCAAATTGTATACTTTTTTCAATGATGTTAGACATACAATATATAATATATATATATATATATATATATATATATATATATAAAACAAATTTATTAAAATTAATTTAATAAGGAAACAATTTTAACTTTGTTTTTTACATAATTAGTTAATTGCTTAATTATATATGTGTATTAATTTTACATTTATATAATAAATATTTATATTTATTATGTATATTATTAGATAATGATTTAAGATTTACCTTAAAACCTCTTGATGCTCTCGTATACATGCTTTCCAGTCAGAATGTTCCGTAATCATTTGAAATTTGTTGGCCAAAATTTCAAATCTAGCTGTTGAGAACCAAAGCAAAAGAGCAAGAAAAACGGTGGCACAGACCTGAGCATAGACTTGATACAAAGCAAATGACTGATGTAAATAAATAATTCCTTTCATCGGCTGATAATCAATAGAAAATGGATACTCTAACTCCAATACGGGATGGGCCAGTACCAATGGTATTAAAATCAAAGCAACTAAAGTTGCGGTCATCAATATTAGCATTACGCTATAAATCATTATATATTTATTTATATATTCCTGTATTATATCCTTTTCTGTTGAATTCGCATGTTTGTTGTAATTTTCTATTTTCGTAATTATATTCTGCAATGTTATTAACACATATTATTTTAGACAATTATATTATCGTTTAACTTTGTGTTAATAAAATAACATTAATTTATAGCCAAAAATTATTTTAAACCAGGCAAAAAGTTTTTTATAGATTTTTTAATGCTGTCAACAATGCCATAAACCAAATTTTACTAACATGTCAGATTTCCAAAATAATTAAGATTTGACATATAAAAAATAGTTTTTTACGATATTTGAGATTTTCTCTGATCAAACATTATGAATGTATACAGGGTTTGTCCGGAAAGTAATGCGTCGCATTTTTTTAAAAAAGAATTTATTGATCGCATAGGTAAAACAACTTAAAATTGTTCGAAGTATGACCCTTCTGCGTCAATACATTTTTGCCAACGCGATTTCCATGCGTCATAAGATTTCTGGAACTCCTTGACTGGGATGCTGTTCAGGGAGGCCGTCGAAGTAGCTTGTACGTTGTCAACCGACTCGAGCTGTTGTCCTTTGAGCTCCCTTTTCAGCCGAGGAAATAAAAAAAAGTCCGCCGGGGCCAAACTTTCTTGAGCATTTCAAAAGTTTCCAGCGGCGTCTTGTCCAGCTTCACGCAAAACTTTATCGCATAGCGTTGCTCTATCGTTCTCTCCATCACAAGTTCGACGCGACCACTAAGCAGAGGTTCACAGAATAAGCCGTCCTAACCCTCCAAGCGCATGGAAACAATTGAGCGACCTACCGTTGGAAAGCTAAGGGTACCCCCCTTCCTCCCCAACCGGTCCCATCGCTCTGCGATGTATAGTCGCGTCACAAAAAAATGCGACGCATTACTTTCCGGACAAACTCTGTAGTTTATCCCTTTATGCTGAAATGTATTTTTTTAATTTCAGTATTATGCTTCTTAGCCATATAATAAAAGATTAAAGCTGAAAACTACTTCTCATGTTCTTGAGGAAATAGGTTTTGGAAAAAAATTATTTTTACCGAAATTGATTTTATTATTTGTCTCCCTTTAGATCATACAACTTTTGCTAGGAATATTTTTTCAAAAATGCAATTGTTTTGAAAAATTCAAGGTGGGCAATTAAAATGTGTGAGACACTCTATATATAAATTATATATTTAGTGAAATCACGAAAAGTTACACTGTGTGTATTGCGATAGCCTTAAATTATAAATTATGAGTATAATTATATAACTTTATCATCATAGACGGAATATTTCAGGCTATCTCAGCAAAATGATATTTTAATTTTTTCTAACGTAACAAAAAGTAAAATATTAAAATAAAAAAGTGCATTTTATAGGGGATGAACATACATGACTTCTCATTAAAATTTTTAGATAACGTTAATCTGTTTCATAAAAAAATTTAAATATTGTAAAAAAAAACATTTTTTCCATATATAGAGGTATTAAACCTCAATTATTTCGAAAATCTGACGTGCTAATGTTATGAAAATTGATTTGCGACATTATTTTCAGCATCCAAAAATCTATAAGAAATCCCTTATTTGATTTATAATAATAAAAAGATATTGCAATTTTATTTAACTTAAATGAAAGTTATAAATATATACAAAACAATTATAGATATAATATAAACAATTTTTAATAAAATGATAGAAAATAAAAAAAAAAAAAATATATAAAATATATAAAAAATATTTCTTATATATATGTATAAATTCGAGTATAATTTATGTCTAATACCTCAAATGTGTTTTTTTAGATTTACTTTCCAAAAAGCATAGTGCTTATAGATTACATATAGAACATTTTAAAAGTTTTTAAAGTTTTATTTTATAGCGATTCTATTATTAGATTAACGATTTACATCTACTCATAACAATTATATCATGTATAAGTGGACGAAATAAAGCATTACGAATTTTATCTCCAAAAATATCGTTTCTAGAAAAATGTTTCAAATAAAAGTTGTATGATTTTAAGAAGGAAAAAAATTGGTGCTACTGATTTTTTCCTAAAGGGCGATTTTCACGATCATTTGAAGATCACTTATGTTTTTTTAAATGCAACCACCTTATATTTTTACATAAATCGATTCCTCGTAAAATTCTGCATAAAAATATTATAAGAGGGTAGAATGGTGGAAATATGTAGTTGCTAGTTGTAAATTACATACTTCTTATAAACAACTATATGATTTCATTGTTCCAATTGATTCTTCTCATTATTTGTGCTATAAAAGTACAATATTAAGGTAAGATAGTCGAAAATTAATATTTTATGAGATATTTCCATAGTTATGTAAGATTATGTTAAACTTAAATATAAAATATCTTGTAAACTATTCACTTTTTGACTATTTTACTCTCATTATTTTTATGCAGAATTATACAAGAAATCGATTTATGTAAAAAATATAATGGTTCCGTTTAAAATAATACGAATGACTTTCAAATGACCTTGAGAATCGCCCTTTAGGAAGCAGTCAATAGCATCAATTTCTTTCTCTCTCGAAATCCTACAATTTTTATTTAAAAATTTTTCTCTATAAACAATATTTTTGAAGATAAAAATCGTAACACTATTTTGTCCACTCTGTATATAAAGATATGCAGTGATAATAAACATATAATGCAATTCGTTTCTCTCTTACTTGCAAACGATCGTACTGGCGCACAAACAGATATATTTGCATTGGAACTTCGCATAAGGTGCCTAAGACGCAGCCTAGTTGTATTACGATCAAAATATTGTCATACTGAGTAATAATTCTATACGTCACCGCACAGATCATCAGCACCGAATGCAAACCGTTGAGCAAACGAAAAAATTTGTCGTAAGCGATTTGTGTTTTTGTCGCAGTGGGTGGTAACGGCCAACAGCACGCGAAGAACAAATGCATTCTCAAGAAGGCGATGAGTTTTTCGAGTGTTACAGAGCACGCCATGATATAGTTAATTCGGTGAGTTTTCGCAAAAATTCATAAAATTCACTACACGTTCTTGTGCTACTTTAAACCCAGCTGCCTCATGATACTTTTTAATCGCACGAGAAACTTGAGCGCGATAAATAGAAAGAAAAGCAACTGGTATCACATTTTAGACTATAGATAATGGATGTAAAAACGACGCACGCAACCCTGCAAATAAATGTACGGCGAACGATAAATGTTCTTTTCCTGCTGTAAAACACTGAAATACTTGAATGAATAATTAGGTGGAAACAAGCGAGAAAAAGAGAGACGCGTCTCTCTTTCTCTTGTTATTACATTTTCCTTCTTATAATGGGTTTTTATAATCTCACAATCAATATACAATAATTGCGCAATATTGTGAGATGCCTAAATGCATAAAGCATATAACACTTGGTACATTTGTTATTATTATTGACATCACTTCCGCTTAAGGGTGGCGGTTTTAAAATGGTGTAAGCCACTTACAGATGTATATTTAATTTATCTCTTCTCTCGATATAAGTACTACCGACACGTTTGTATGTAATTGTATGTAATTATTGGAAAGAAAACGCGATATATATAATTTCTTATTCCCTCTGTGTCTATATTTCTTATTGATTATTACATTAGAGAAGAAAGTGTAACAATTTCTTAAAATTTCTTTATCAAGAAATATGGTTTTGCGAAATTTCAAATCACGTGCAGTAACAACGGGATTAATGAAAATACCTTAGACTTATCAAATTTCAGTAATGCTCCTGTCGCTCAATTTTTTAATAGACATAATTGATGCTGCTTGGGTTTAAATTAAATAATAAAACATATACATATTTTTTAAAAAGAAGTAAGTAAATCACAAAAGAATTTTTTCTTACATCAATTAATTTATCTTGTTAATGTGCGCAGAAAATTATTAAGGTAAGATATATAATGGAAAATGAATATATTAGAAGCATGTTCATATATTTTGTTAAAGTGTGCCAGAATATGTCAGAATAAAATATTTCGTCAAACATTCATTTTTCAACTATACTAATGTTTCACGTCAATATTATGAGAAATCGATTCAAGTAAAATAATTATGATGATTCCGTCTAACAATGATATAATATGATAATCTTGAAATTTCAAAAATGCCTGAACTTGCAATACGATAATACTTATGACAAGACATTCTCTTCAAAATTATACAACTTTTTGACTTTGTATGAAATATTTTTGCGATAGAAACTTTGGTTTATAAATACAATAATGCGTTATTTAATATATATAAAATTAGTATTTTTTAAATTTATATTTTTTTAAATTTTTTTTTTGGCGTAATTTTATTACTATTATTGTTTCATTAACTTTTGATACTATTTATTATAAGTTTTAACTTTTTTAACCGTTAAAAAAATTAAGTTTATAAAATTTAATTTTTGTTAGCACTTTAACAAGTATTGTTACAAATATGTTAAGATAATTACAAACTGTCAATGACTTACGTATATAAAATGTTACTAATCTATTTTACGTCCAAGTATCATTCGCAATGCCATGAAATATGAAACCGTAGCACAGAGAACCTAAAAATAAAAAAAGCAATAATTTTACGAATATATTTTAATAAAAAATATAACACTTGATAATAATATCTACCGATCCACAAAATCTTATTGAAACAATAGGTATACAAGGAGTGCCGCTAAGTATAACTGGTTTCTGACACCGTTGAATGACCATAAAAATTGTTTGACGTTTATTTCGGGATGCATTTATCCATGGAGAATTATAAATATGCCAGGAAATATCGTAACTCTATAAGAAAATTGATAAAAATTTATCAGTACCTTTGCTATTTTTAAATTAAATAGAATGATACATATATTTGTTATACTAATTTAATTGTAATAAATTAAATACGTATATTCTATACAGAGCATGTAAATTGTGAATAGATAGCGCCTTTTGAAATATTAATTATTTAATGTATCATATTCAATTAATACATTATCAAAAATATGGATATATTATTTATGTCATTAATACGATATATTGCTTTTATGCGCAACAGAAGACTCAGATGTCGTTTAATAAAAGCTTATTTTATTATATTACTTTTAGGGAAAGAAATGCGTACAGTACAATAGAATAACAAAAAGACAGCACTGAAAAAATACATGTAGCTAACCTGGAAATATAAAACACAATTAGGACATTTTGCATATTGCCAACGTAACAAAAATAAATAAAATTTCAAAGACTTGAGATCGCACTTTAATATATATAAATAATTAATATATGTATATATTATATTCAAAATTTGAAATTGTAATAAAGAAATGGACGCGTTTCGCAATAAGTTATAATATATGTTTTTAGTTATAAATCGCAATTGTACAAGAAATTGGAAATAATGATAAAAATAACATATGTTTTTTGAATTCTAGCTAATTTAATTATCAAAATTATAATTGACTGTTTACATTATAAAATGAGATTTTATTTTATATTATAATTAGAAATAGAAGTAATTGACATTATGTGCAACACAAATAAATTTTAATTATATAAATAAGTGTTAATTATAAGAGGATTATAAAATATTATTGTTTTTATTTTTTTATTGTTATTTATACAATATGATAATTTATACTAATTTGAAACTATATTAAATTATACTCACATTTAAAATCAGCAGACCGCAAATGATTCCGTATATAAAAGTAACAACCGTTAATTTGAGGATTACATATCTAGTAAAATAATTAATTTCCTGTGCGTAGCTAAATTAGAAAAATATAAAACGATGTTAATTTATATATAATCAAAACATTTTAATTGAACTAATTATTAAAATAAATTGATTATAATTAATTATTCTAAATAACTATTATACCTGATTATACACTGGAAAAAAATTTTGTTGGATTAACAAAAATTCTGTTCGAAAATGGACGAAACGGAATTATTAGTTGAATCTACCAGAATTCCTTTTAATGCAACAAGAATCTACCAGAATTCCTTTTAATGTAACAAGCATCTTGTTTGTACAACAAATCAGTTTGTTGGTGCAAACAAGATATTTGTTGTATTAAAAGGAATTCTGGTAGATTCAACCAGAATTCCGTTTCGTCCATTATCGAACAGAATTTTTGTTAATCCAACAAAATTTTTTTTTCAGTGTATAATTAATTAAACTACAATTGAATAAATTATATATAAAAATGATATACACTATATTATAATATTATAACTAATTTGACTATCTAAAATATCACCTTTGCTTTTAAAATTGATAAGAAGAAATTATCAACTTAAAATAAAAAATAAAATAAAATGCTTTAACAAAGGTTGCCATTTTTATAATTTGCTTCAAGATTATTAAATATATAATAAAATATATAATAAATATAATAAAATATATTTTTATGTAAATTAAATTATTTATAATTTTTTAAATAAATTGTTTTTAATTGTACACACAAGTATGTTTTCTTAATTACTTTTTTACATAAAAAATCTAAAAAATTTTCTTATTTTTATATTAATTTTAATATTTTTGTAAACAGAATGGCCAGAAATAGTATTATATTTGGCAAGTGCAGAAAACAACGAATTACGTCACGCGTGAAGTTGTTGCACGAACCGAAAACGAATGCTGTAACCACACGAGTACAAGTGTGAATGCATCAAAAGTTGAGACAAATGCGACAACTTTACGCGCGATGTATTTGTTGTCCTCCGCACATATCATATACAATATTTTTGTAATGCCTATCGCGGAAGTTTGATTTAAAATTAAAGAATTAATTGAAATTGAATTCAAATAAGAATTAGTATTATATATTGTTATATTTATTTATCATCAAAATAAAATGTGACATTTGAACAATTATTGATATGAAACGGAATGTTTTACTCATGTATTTATCTCTCGATTTTTTTGATGGCCGGTATTTACAGTTAGTTCTTATAGTTAAGATCGTTTTAAGATCTCGTTCAACCAATCAAATGGCCGTATACCATCTCTTTATTGGTTGAACGAGGTCTGTTATGTGCATTATCTCATCGCTACTACAAGGTCTTAAGAAGATCTTAAATATAAGAACGAACTATGAATACCGCCCTTTGTGGTAGATTCAGCTGCTTCTATAAGTTCTAGCGGCATGGACGGTCTTGAACACTTGTTTTTTTTATCTATTTAATCTTTCTTGAATAATAAAGGTTATAATAAATTGACATTTTGTCTCACGTGAATTTCGTTACGTTCAAGTTTGTTATGTCAGTCGAGAAATGGTAAAACAACAACTATCAACCAATTAACCATTAAAAAGAAGATTGGTAGTAATTTAATCAACCAACTCTGGCTATTAAATAAAGATCATTAAATAGCCAGAGTTGGTTAATTAAATTACTACCATTTTTTAATTATCTGGTGACTTCAGAGATTTTTACATCTTTTATTAAAAAGAAGGTTTTTTTATGCACTAGTGCAGTAAAGTAACCCATATTACCGCACTAGTGCGGTAAAGTAAATCATAACGGTGCTTTTCACGCACTAGTGTGGTAAAGTAAGGCATACATTGAATAGTTCAGAAATAAGCCATTTTCCACACCCTAAACAGCAATCGAAAATCGAACTTATGCGACAGGCATTGCAAAAATTAAATATTATAAAGAAAACATTAAATTTTAAAAAGTAATTAAGTACACATTTTACCTGTTTTACACTTGCGCAAAAATAATTTCAAATCGATTTTATTCATTATTCTTTAAATAAATATATAAAAGAGCATCTCAAATTTTATATTTACATATAAAAATATGTCAGATTTTATATACAGGGTAGTCAAAAAGTATCGGACCCCCCCAATATTTCCGTTCCCTTGCATTTTACAAGAAAATGTTTCAGACAAAAGTTGTAGGGTTTAAAAAGATCTATTTACTGATCTTATCAGTTTGACCTTGGATGGCGTCGCCAAGGTCAGATCGAAATTACATTAACTTTTTAAATGGAACACCTAACTTTTTATTGCATATTCTTGTAGCTTATCTCGAGACCTTTCCAAAACACTACAAGAAAGTTTATTTTCGTTGAGTACTTTCCGAGTTGTGAGGCTTGAAAGCTACAGTGTACTGTAGTGTGGGTCCAGCCAGTTAAGGCAAGAGTGGCGTGTGGGTCCGGCCAGTTAAGGCAAGTGTGGCGTGTGTCCAGCCAGTTAAGGCAAGAGTGGCGTGTAGGTCCAGCTGGTCGGACCCACACGCCACTCTTGCCTTAACTGGCTGGACCCACACTACAGTACACTGTAGCTTTCAAGCCTCACAACTCGGAAAGTACTCAACGAAAATAAACTTTCTTGTAGTGTTTTGGAAAGGTCTCGAGATAAGCTATAAGAATATGCAATAAAAAGTTAGGTATTCTATTTAAAAAAGTTAATGTAATTTCGATCTGACCTTGGCGACGCCATCCAAGGTCAAACTGATAAGATCAGTAAATAGATCTTTTTAAACCCTACAACTTTTGTCTGAAACATTTTCTTGTAAAATGCAAGGAAACGGAAATATTGGGGGGGTCCGATACTTTTTGACTACCCTGTATATATATTTATACATATATATTTATACATATATATACACAAGCTATTTGAAAAGAATTCATCTGTATGTCACCAATTTTGAGTCCCTTTTCAAATGCATATAGAATTTATTTTATAAAATAGAATTTATTTTATAAAAAATTTATTTTATAAAAATAAATTCTATTTTATAAAATAAATTCTATATGCATTTGAAAAGAGACTCAAAATTGGTGACATACAGATGAATTCTTTTCAAATAGCTTGTGCTATCTGGGTTAACTTACTTGAGCGTATTTTGATACATCATGATGGAGGCTCGTAGTTTATTAATAGTAAGTCCAGATCCTATATTTTTCATTTGCCTTGTTAGTAGATGTTAGCCAATTTAAAAACATCATATTTATATTCTTTATATTGAGAGCCGATAAAAATATTTATTTCTGAGTTTATTCACGCCTTGGCCTAATCACGGCGTTATTTACTAACATCTACTAAAAAGACAAATGAAAAATATAGGATTGAAAGGGTCTGAATAGCTTAGTTGGTAAGAGCAGTCGCCCGGAAAGTGAAAGACGCGAATTCGATTCCCGCATCAGCGACTTTTCGGGCCTATATTTTTCGCGCCTATTTCTCCATATGTAAGTTTCGAGATTAATTTATATATGGAACTTTGTGATCTCAAACCAAGAGATACAGTTCCGAATAATTAATTTTTCGTGCTTTGGCTCTGTTGGCCGATTTAGAAAACATCATATTTATAATTTGTAAATATTTATCAATTCTTATTAGCCAAATATTGATAAAACATGTAGCATAGATGTACATTATCGTTAAATAAGAATATTTTGTACTTATATGATACATAAATTTCAACCATTCATTTTTTTCATGTGGCATCCATATTTTATTTAGTTGATATATCTCGAATAACAATTTCTGCAAACCCACAAATTACTGCATACATTATGTTGTACATTAATATAGATGCAACAAAGAATGCATGCAAAATTATACATACACATAAAGTGAAACATATAAATTTATGATTAGATTAGTTGTTCATAAATTTGAATGTAACATATAGAATGGCAAAAAAGAAACCCAACGATTTATACTCCAATATTTTGAAAACTTCAGATTAATAAATGTTTTAAATAAAACTTAAAATAAAATATTAAAATATATATGTATATATATTTTATAAATATAAAATTATACATAAAATAAAAGTTATAGGATAATGTGTTATAGTGCTAATATGTCTTATTCAGTTGTTATGTCATTTCGATATTAAACAATTTTGTGAAAATTTTATATTATCTTTAATGTTTTAAAGAAAAACTCCAATTTTTACTGCATAAGAACTTTTTAGTTATAAACAATTGAACTTGTGGTACTGTCAGAATAAAAAATTATACAGTAAAGTACTTATGATAACGATCTCAGCAAACACAAAGTAACAATTGCATAACATCAATGTTATTTTTCACTCAATAATTTAACCACAATATAAGATGGCTTGTACGAAACAGTTATAGTAGTGAGTGAGAAATTATAACATTGATGTTATGTAATTGTTACTTTGTGTTTGCTGGGGATAAAATAAAAAAATGAAGATTCTAAATTAAGAAGTTTAACATAATTGTTACATAATTTTTACAAAGTAATTTAATATAAAAAAACAGAATTGTTAAATAGAACACATTATGTTCAATGACTTTAAAACATTTTACTCTAAAATCCATGATTTTTGAAATATCAGTGTATTTTTTACTTCTTTTCATTTTATATACATATTTTTGTGAATAAAATAAGATAAAGTTAGTTGTCTAGAAAAATATTTTTTTATTTAACAAATAAAAAAAGTATATATCTAAAAAAAGTGAAAAATTTTCTTTAATTTCCTTTTTTCTAATTTCTTAAAAACGTTTACATTTTATCTCAAATTGAGGTTTACTATAAATGTAAAATAAAATAATAAAGTTAAGTTGCACAAAATATTAACCTGCAATCGTTTTCTTTGCATTCTAGAATAAAGGAGATTAAACATTCCATGGCAAATATCATTTCCACAAAAATATTCATTGTTTTGATGTAATCTTCTTGATTTGTAAGACATATACAATATATTTAATAAGTAAATAATTTAGAATTATCATATTTAATATATAAATAGATCATAGAATATTG